TCGAAACCCTGCTCGATACTCTTGCCACCTCCCCGTGCATGGCCCTCCAGCAGCACGACAGCGTTGCGTCAGCCTCGAACAACCCCCCCTCGAGCCATATCCGCCAGATCGCATCCTCCTCGTTCCGTCGCGAGGCGACTCGTACCTTCGAGACCATCGACCTCAACAAGGGTTGGAAAAATCTCCGCGCACGAGCTCGCGACGCTCCTAGCGCGGCTTGAAAAAGCAGCTGCTGGGTTGAAGCCTGGACTGTGCGCCGGTAGTGGTAGTTTTCTCAAGGCAGGCGATGATTTGATTGGCTTCGCGGAGGATGTAATTCGAGAAGCTGACGTGGACGGCGACGGAATGATTGATTTTGAGGAGTTTCTGCTCTCGGCGCGCGCAGGGCCGTCCCTTCTGGGCGAATACTTCGTCTCAGTTCCATCGTCCGATGACGAGGAATCAGAATCGGACGGTGGAAACGACTCAGAAAAGGACGAAATGGAAGGAGATTTGTTCCGCGCGTTTGAGGTTTTTGACGATGACAGCAACGGGGTTATTAGCGCGGAAGAGCTACAGTTCGTTATAGGTGTTCTTAACGGGGATGATTTGACGATGGAAGATTGCAAACGGATGATAAAACGGGTGGACACTAACGGGGATGGATGTGTGGATTACAGGGAGTTCAAGACCATGATGGCTGGAATCTTCAATTGACTCCAGGGTTGAGCTAGATAATAGACGACTTGGACATATTATACCGTATTTCTTATTGTATTGCCTAATAAAGAGATATTTATACGAATTGGACATCCAATCAACTTTTAGCAACCCACAGCTCCCCCCCCGGATGCACTACACTCAGGTCGCACCACCTCCCTGGTTCCCACACATACAAACCTTCCTGAGTTGAGCCTGCTGTCCATCCAGCCACACACGCCAGGCACATCACCATCACCCTCTGTCCTCTTGCAGCAATGCAACTCCCTCCCAACTCTGTCCTGCTAGAAGCTTCTGTGTCGCCTCACAAAGCACCTCCCTGTTTCCCAATCATACAAACCCTCCTGAGTTAAGCCTGCTGTCCATCCAGCCACACACGCCACACGCATAGCCCTCTGCTCACTACCCTGCCCAGGCTGTTGCTACCGCTCTCTTCTTGCAGCAACGCTACTCCCTCCCAACTCCGGTCCTGCCGGAAGCTTCTGTGTTGCCTCAGAAGGCACCACTCTCACAGGACTACAAGACCACAGCATGTATGTCCCTCCATTTCTGCTTCTGTGGCATCATTCCTTCTTCCTGGCCAGCAACAGGCAGCCGAGTTTATGGCTCCTGTTGCTCTGCCTTTGCTGGTGCTGCGGCTGCTGTAGAGGAGTCTGTGCCTCCTGTCTCCTTTATAAGGTCAGTCACGTTCCGCTCTAGCTCGTCTATGCGTGTACCCATCTCGTCGAGTGGTTGAGAAAAAATGGATTAAGAGAATCGGAAGAGGAGAGAGAAGGGATTGAGAGGGCGAGTGCGAGACAGGGAAGAGGAGAGGGGCAAGAGAGAGAGGAGATGGTGAGTTAAGGATGAACATCAGGCATGGCAGGAGAGAGGTGAAGAAGAAAAGGGAGACGAGTTAACAAACACGCCCGATTGTACACGACAGAAAAGCACATGGAGTTGCGTGCAATGTGAAAGGTGGGCATGAGAGGGAGGTGGGCGGAAGAATAGGGAGGAAGGAAAACGTAGAGCGAAGGAGAGGGAGGAGAAAAGGGGCAATCAGGGGCGGCAAAGCGGATATTCCTGGAGATGATTGTCTCGGACATGGTCTGGAAGCGTGCTTGCTGCAGGGCACAGGCGGAGGGACAAAGAACAGAGAACACAGGGAGAGAGAGCAGGTGGAGGGCGAGGCGAAACGGAAGGACAAAGATTAAAGAGAAATGCAATAGGGCTTCATTGAATGCAGGTGGAGGAACATGATGGCATGTGGAGGAACATGATGGCATGTGGTGGAACATGATGGCATGTGGTGGAACATGATGGCATGTGGTGGAACATGATGGCATGTGGTGGAACATGATGGCATGTGGTGGAACATGATGGCATGTGGAGGAATATGATGGCATGTGGAGGAACATGATGGCATGTGGAGGAACATGATGGCATGTGGAGGAACATGATGGCATGTGGAGGAACATGATGGCATGTGGAGGAACATGATGGCATGTGGAGGAACATGATGGCATGTGGAGGAACATGATGGCATGTGGAGGAACATGATGGCATGTGGAGGAACATGATGGCATGTGGAGGAACATGATGGCACTTGATTGACTTGTTGAGGCGCCTCAAAAGTCGTTTTTCTGAGCGCAGGTGGAGGAATATGATGGCACGGAATGGAGACCCGGAACAGGGAGCAGTGAAGATGGACGAGTGGCGAGGGTGAAATAGAGCACGCAAGATGATTTGACTGGTATTACTGGACTCGGAGCCTTTCCATTGGCTGAAAGAGCGTTTGTTGAGTCGACTCAGAAGTAGAGAAAGCACGATGATGATTTGAGTGGTATTACGGGGGCATTGAGCCTCACCATTTGCTGAAGAAGCGTTTGTACCTGCAAGGTGGGACACAGAGAGGGGCAACACAGAGACATGAGGAGAGAGAGGCAACACACAGAGAGGCAACACACAGAGGAGCAAGAGAAAGTGAGTGCTTCCCAGTGCATGGGACTCACACTGTACACGCACATTGCATCACGCGCGAATAGCATCGAAAGCGAACGCACAGCATGAAGTGCATGCTTCGTCACTAATCGAGCTAGGTGCTCGGATGTCATACACACACCACATATTTTCTAGTCATAGCACAGATCACCCAATTCAATCCAAGGTGCATCACATGCATGTCTTGCAGACGGACGGAGGTTGGTGTATGGAGACCAGCATAACGCTGTATTTTGAGACGTCTCAAAACTCTTCTTTTATCACGGAGGTTGGTGTATGGAGACTAGCATAACGCTGCATGACATGGCAATTATCTTATTTGTGCAGTTGAGCAAAATGCAGATGCAAGCATGGCATGGCATAGTATGGCATGGTATAGTATGGCATGGCATGGCATGGTATACCATATGGCATAGTATTGCATGGCATGGCATGGCATGGCATGGCAACTGACAAAGGCAGTGAGGTCAGCAACGTTGTGTGGCGCTGCTGCTTCTGCCTGCGTCCCCCCAGTGGTGCCCTGTGACTGTGGGTCCGATGCGGCTGCTGCGTTTCCTGAAGAATCCTGGGCGCAAGAGGGGGGGTATGGGGGGTGGGGGGGAAATGAGCTGCGTCTGCGTGCGTCCCCCCTGTGGTGCCCTGTGACTGCGGATGTTTTTGAGAATTCTCAAAAACACCCTGCAGCATCATGGCCTGTGACTGCGGATCAGACGCTGCTGCCGCGTTCCCTCAGGAATCCTGGGCGCGAGACGAGGAAGGGGGGGGTGGGGAAGGAGGGGAAGGGGAAGGGGGAAGGAGGGGGGAGAACAATATGCTGCTGCGTCTGCCTGCGTCCCCCCTGTGGTGCCCTGTGACTGCGGATCAGACGCTGCGGCCGCGTTTCCCGAGGATTCCTGGGAGAGGGAGGGAGGACGAAAGGGGGAAAATGGGGGATTTTCTAGGCGCGTCAAAGGTGTCCTCCCTGTGGTGTGGTGCCCTGTGACTGTGGATCAGGCGCTGCTGCCGCGTTACCTGAGGAATCCTGGGCGCGAGAGGGGGTGCCCAAGGGGGAGAAGGAGGGGGTTTTTTAGTCAACTCAAAAGTGGCGCTTTTTGAGTTGACTCAAAAGTGGCTCTGCTGCGTCTGCGTGCGTCCCCCCTGTGGTGGCCTGTGACTGCGGATCAGATGCTGCTGCCGCGTTCTCTGCAGAATCCTGGGAGCGAGAGAGGGCGCGGAAAGGGGAGGAGGAGAGGGAAGAACAATATGCTGCTGCGTCTGCCTGCGTCCCCCGTGCCCTGTGTCTGCGGATCAGACATTGCTGCCACGTTCTTTGAGGAATACTGCGAACAAGGGGTGCGAGGAGGGAGGTGGAAGGAGGGAGGTACAAGGAGGGAGGTCGAACCAAGACCGGCCTGACCGAACCAAACCAGTCCGAGGCTGCTCGTTTTCATGCGGCACGACGGCTGGGAGCCTATGGTCGACTGGCATGGCGATTCATGCCATGCAGCGACGCAGTCGCTTGTGAAAATTCTGAGAAATTTCAAAAGCAAAAACACGACGGCTGGGAGGCCATGTTCGATCTGGCACGGCGATTCATACCATGCTGTGACTGCGGAAAGGGGGTAGCGCGATGACGCGGATAGGGGATAGTGCGATGACGCGGAATACGCCAAAAATCACCCCACAGTCTCTGGAAATTACGAGTTCCAGAAGCGCGGCCTACTAGTAGTGTAAAGGAACATGAGAAACGTTTGGAGAGGGCGCAGCGGAAGAAGCGGAGTGAATCTGCACGAGTGTCGAGATGGTGAAAAGAGGTTCGACTCGCGAATCCCTAAAAAACGTAAGGGCGGGTCAGGGAGCGTTCGTTGTTTGAAAATTTGCAGTACAGATCCCCCGTTTTTTGCGTGACAGATTTTGCAGAGCACGGGTGTGAGTAATAAGCAGCACTTCGCCAAACTAGCATCGCAAAGGAATATCGCAAAACTCGCCCCAGATCTAACGAGGGTGAGGGAGAGGGTGTGGTTTTCGCAAGCAAAACTGCTGGTTTCGAGGGAAAGTTGATCTGTGTCAGTTTGCGGGGGAAATCCGGGTCAGATTCACGGGAATGAACGCAACCCTGTCCCGCAATAAGAATGTGTGTGGTGGTGAGAAGATGTAAATGACAAGCTAGGTTGCCGCATCCTAGCAGCGAGGCTACTATCGAGATGACTGTAACGAGAGTGTGTTGAAGCCGTGGTACTGTAGCAGAGCAAGCGGAGGCAGGAGAGCGAGAGAGGGAAAGCGAGAGAGAGCTGAAGAGGAGGGAGAAAGGGCACGAGAGAACGCGAGAGAGCGCGAGAGCCATGGGTCACGCGGCGTTTCAGCTCGTTCGCGCCGTAACCCTAACGGACACCTCTGGCAGCTCTCGCTCTTCTCCCAATCCCCCTAGCACCGCCCTCAGTCGCTTCCTCGGTCCCGCTGCGACGGCGACCCCGAGTCCGAGTCGCATTCTCTGCTGCACCCAATGGCGCTCCTCCATTCTCATTGGCTGCAGCGACGGCGCGCTGTTAGACTACCGCCCGGCAGGAGCGGCAGCATCAGCAGCGGCGGACCAATCAGCGGCTTCCGCGCCGCGTGTCGCGGCCGGCAACGGTGGCTATTCGCTGTTCGCGCGGAGAGACGGTTTCGCGCCATCCGCCATTCTGCGACTCGAAGTCGCCGCGCTGCCGACAGCTGCTGCTGCTGATAGTTCCGCTATCCCCGCCGCCCCCGCCGCCACCGCCGCTTCCGCCGCATCTGACGCTTCCGGGGCGGCGGGCGTGCTGATCGCGCTGGCGGACTGCGTGAGGCTGGCGGCGCTGCCGTCTTTGGAGCCGCTGACGTGTCTCCCGCGCACAGCTGGCGCCACGTCACTGGCGTGGGACGCGGAGGGCGGCGTGCTGTGTGTGGCGATCAAGCGGAGAGTCGTCGTGCTGCGGTTTGATGGTGGGTCCGTGTGGGTTGGTGTGGTATTCCCCCCTAAGGCCGAGCAACCTCCAAGAAGGAGCGCGAGTTCATCTGCCCAGACGCCCCTCTTGACTGTTCAACCCATTTCTTCCTCTTCCTCCTTCTCCCTTCCCTTCTTACCCTTCCTCTTTCCATCCAGGCCGAGCAACCTCTAAGGAGGGGCGGGAGTTCACCTGCCCTTCGTCCTTCCCCTTTCAACTCTTTTCCTCTCCTCTCCTCCTCAGGCCGAGCAGCCTTCAAGAAGGAGCGCGAGTTCACGTACCCAGACGCCCCTCTCAGGCCGTTCATCATCCCATCCCCTCCCCTTTGTCCTCTTCCTCCTCTCCAACCTCTTCCCCTTCGCCAATTCGATTCCCTCCTTTTCCTCCTCTCCCCACTTTACAACCCCTCCCCCCTCTCTGCCAGGCCGTTCAATCTTCAAGGAGCGCGAGCTCACCTGCCTGGACGCCCCTCTTACTTAGCCCGTTCAGCCTTTGCCACCCTCTTCCTCTTCCTCTTCCTCTTCCTCTTCCTCTTCCTCCTCAGCCATGAAGACTGGGAGAGCTGCAGTTTAGGAAAAAGCCGTTAGCAGAAGAAAGCCTTTGCCACCCGCTTCCTCTTCCTCCTCACATCTTCCACTTTCTCCCTCCCTTTTCATCGACACCTCCTCTCCTTCCCAGGCCGTTCAACCTTCAAGGAGGAGCGAGAGTTCACGTGCCCAGACGCCCCTCTCAGGCCGTTGATCCCATCCCCTTCCCTTCATCCTCCTCACCTGCCCCAAACTCTTTCCCTTTCGAACTATTCCCCCCCCAGGCCATTCAACCTTCAAGGAGGAGAGGGAGTTCACGTGTCCAGACGCCCCTCGCCTGCTCGCCCTGCCTTCTCCCACCTCTTCCTCCTTCCCATCCTCTTCCCCTTTCCCATTTCTTCCTTTCCCCGGGCCGCTCAGCCGTCAAGGAGGAGCGAGAGTTCACGTGTCCAGACACCCCTCTCAGGCCGTTGATCCCATCCCCTTCCCTTCATCCTCCTCACCTGCCCCAAACTCTTTCCCTTTCGGCCTATTCTCCCCTCAGGCCGTTCAACCTTCAAGGAGGAGCGTGAGTTCACGTGTCCAGACGCGCCTCGCCTGCTCGCCCTCCCCTCGCCCACCACGCTCTGCGCCGCCACGCCCACCAAGTACCTTCTGCACCACATTCCACCGCCCGGCACCGCTGGCAGCGGCGGCTCGTGGCGGGAAATGTTGCCATGTGGGCAGGTGGCCCCTCCCAGTGTGGTGAAGCTACCCCGTGGGGAGATGCTGGTGGGGAAGGTGAGATCTTAGCAGTGGGAAAGGGAGGTGCATGTGTGGCAGCGGCGGCTCGTGGCGGGACATGCTGCCATGCGGGCAGGTGGCCCCTCCCAGTGTGGTGAAGTTGCCTCGTGGGGAGATGCTAGTTGGCAAGGTGAGAGGGGGATGGTTGCTGCTCACACGTGTGGCACCGCTGGCATCACTGGCAGCGCTGGGAGCGGCGGCTTGTGGCGGGAAATGCTGCCATGTGGGCAGGTGGCTCCTCCCAGTGTGGTGAAGCTGCCCCGTGGGGAGATGCTAGTTGGCAAGGTGAGGTGAGGTCTTAGGAGGTGGCATGTGGGCAGTGTGGGCAGGTGGCCACGCCTATTGAGGTGATGTTTGTGGGGTCCACGTGCAGGTGAGCCTAAAAAGCGCACCTCAATACAAGGTGACTTTTGAGTCGACTCAAGAGGCGCCTATTGAGGTGATGTTTTTGGGGTCCATGTGCAGGTGAGCTTAAAAAGCGCACCACAATACAGAGAGATGCTGTGGGCAGGTGGCCGCGCCCAGTGTTTGTCGAGTTGCGGATGTCGCCATCTGTCCAGATGTTTCTGGGAGTTTTTGAGAATTCTCAAAAACTCCCTGAATTCTCAAAAACTCCCTGAATTCTCAAAAACTCCCTGAATTCTCAAAAACTCCCTGAAATCTCAAAAACTCCCTGAATTCTCAAAAACTCCCTGAATTCTCAAAAACTCCCTGAATTCTAAAAAAAACTCAAAAACCATCTGTCCAGATGTTTCTGACGAAGGTAGACTGCTGCTTTTTTTTTAGGTGCCTTTTGAGGCGATTTTTTTAGGCGCCTAAAAAATTTCCAGTGTTTGTGAAGTTGCCACCTGTCCAGATGTTTCTGGGGCGAAGGTAGACTGCTGCTTATTCTCCCTTGCTCCTCTCCTTCCCGCTGAGCCCCCCCCCCCCCCCCCCCCCCCAACCCCCCTTCTTAACCATCCGCCATGAGGACAGCATAAGGCTCTTCCTTGACGCCTCTGGCGTACGGTGCATTGTGGCGTGTACAATGCACCGTACGTATGTTTCTTGAGAATTCTAAAAAAAACATGCGCTACAATGCACCGTACGGCCCCATCAACCTTTGCCTCTCCTCTTCCCCCACACCTCTCTGCTCCCCCCCCCCTCTTCTTCATCTCCATCAGGACAGCATAGGGCTCTTTCTTGACGCCTCTGGTCGCCCTCTGCGCTCACACGGCATTAACTGGTCGCGCCCGCCCTCCCACGTGGCTGTTATGCCCCCCTATGCCCTCGCCAAGCTGCCCAACTACATCGAGGTATGGTCTTCATGTCTCAGCCTCCCTCTTACGAGTCTCTGTCATGTCATGTCCTTGTATGCTCCACCGCCCTCCCATGTGGCTGTCATGCCCCCCTATGCCCTCGCCAAGCTGCCCAACTACATTGAGGTGCGCATTGTCACACCTTCACGCACCTTCACACACAGTTTTTCACACCTTCACAAACCTTTTCACACCTTCACACACCTTTTCACACATTCACACACCTTCACAACGCACTGTCACGTCCATGTGTGCTCGACCCCTCTCCCTCGTAGCTGTCATTCCGCCCTACGCCCCCGCCAAGCTCCCCAACTACATAAGAGGTATGCCGTGCCGTGCCGTCACACTTCAATCGCATTGCACTCTCATGCCCATGCCCATGCCCATGCCCATGCCCATGCCCATGCGCACGTGTGCGTGCTCCACCTCCCACCTGTCTGTCATGCCGCCCTACGCCCTCGCCAAGCTCCCCAACTACATAAGAGGTGCGCTCGCCATGCATGTCACACCGTCGCAATGCATGGTTACATGTCACGTGGCACGTCTTCCCGTCTCGCCATATGTGCTCCACTGCCTTCCCACGTGGCACGTCGCTGCCATGCCGCCCTACGCCCGTGCTAACCTCATGTCTCTACCGCCCTCCCATGATTCACTGTCATGCCCTTGTATGCTTGCTTGCCGACCTCCCACGTGGCTGGCTGTCATGCCACCCTACGCCCGCTCCAGACCGCCCAATTACATCCAGGTGCGATCGTCACGACGCGACGAGGCACCGGAATGAGGTGTGCTTCGTGTCGTGACGATCGCACCTTGATTGCACTGGCATGTCCCTTTGTGCTGCACCGTCCTCCCACGTGCCTGTCTGTCATGCCGCCCCATGCCTGCCTTCGCCAGGCTGTCCAGCTACATGGAGGTGCACCTTGTGTAAAAAGACAACTTTTGTCAAAAGTTCTCAAAAGTTCTCACAAGTTCTCACAAGTTCTCAAAAGTTCTCAAAAGTTCTCACAAGTTCTCACAAGTTCTCACAATTCCTCAAAGGTTCTCAAAAGTTCTCACAAGTTCTCACAAGTTCTCAAAAGTTCTCACAAGTTCTCAAAAGTTCTCTTTTTTCGCCAGGCTGTCCAGCTACATGGAGATGCACCTTGCCTTCATGACTCTTTGTGATTGTCAAGAGCTTTTGCTTGGTGAGAGTGGTGAGTGAAAGCAGCAAAAGATCAAGCAAGCACATATATTGAAATAATCGGTTTCCTCCACTCTACTTTTTTCCCTTACACGCTCCCGTTCCCCTGCCTCCTCAGGTGCGCTCCTTGCTCCCAGGCCACGCCTTGGTGCAAACCATTCCCCTGCAGGAGCATGCATCGCTCTGCACCCCTCCCACTCTCCCTTGACCCTCCTGTATTCCTGATCCTGAACCCTGCCCTCCTCAGGTGCGCTCCTTGCTCCCAGGTCATGCTTTGGTGCAAACCATCCCCCTGCGGGAACATGCAGCGTTGTGGACTCCTCCAAATCTCCCCACTGCCACTACTGGCGCCGTTGAAGGCAGCAGCAGGGGGGCAGGGCGGTCAGCCCGGGGTGTGTTTGCAGTGGCGGAGGAGAGTGTGTACATCGTCGCTCCTGTCTCCCTTGCCGCTCAGGTGCGTGTCCCTCTGTGATGTGATGCAGTGCGGTGTGGTGTGGTGGTGTGCTGTGCTGTGTGGTACCAGTGCTACAAGCAGTGTCTTTGTCAAGGGCAGCAGCCGCAGAAGGGCAGCAGGGCGGTCAGCCCGGGGTGTGTTTGCAGTGGCGGAGGAGAGTGTGTACATTGTTTGCTCCTGTCTCCCTTGCTGCCCAGGTGTGTGCTGCTTAGAGGTGTGGTACGGTGTGGTGTGGTGTTGTTCGGAGGGTTTGTTTCACAGCTCCAAAGGCAGGGATGAAGAAGAAACTTACAAATCTGTACACCCAACCAATATCTTATTACTTGAAACAAACATGACCCTCTGTGTTTTCCCCTACTCTACTCACCACCATACAGATTGATCAGCTTTTGAGTGCAGGCTTGAGGATGACAAGGCTTAAAGCCTCTCTCACACCCGTGTAACCTTAGCTGCTTCCCCTGCTACACCTGATGAACCTTTTCTGTTTGCCCTGCCCAACGCAATGCAGATCGACCAGCTTGTGAGCGAGGGGCTGTTTGAAGAGGCGCTCTCTCTGTGTGAGGGGCTGGAGGATGAAGAGACTGTTTATTCCACCTGTCTGACACCTTCTCCTTCTCTACTTCCCCTGCTCATTGTGACACAGATCGACCAGCTTGTGAGTGAGGGGCTGTTTGAGGAGGCGCTCTCTCTGTGTGAGGGGCTGGAGGATGGGGAGGGGGAGGAGGAGGAAGGGGCGAGGGAGGGGGAGGAGGAGAGTGGCCATCCGAGAAGGCGCATGGACTTGGTTCGACTTCGGTGAGTTGAATGCCGAATTATGTGCATGTGTTGTGCACGTGGATGTGTATGTGCCGTGTATGCATGTGCATGTGCATGTGCATGTGCATGTACATGTGCATGAGCTATACGCCATATTGCTGTGCATCCATGCTTCTGAGGTGCCTCAAAAGGAGGGGAGCGGCCAGCCAAGGAGGCGCATGGCCAACTTGCCCTCTGCTCCTCGCGCTCTGCTCCTCGCCCCCTTTTTTCCTGAGCATACTATTATCATGTTATCCACCCCCCTTCCCGCACCTCTCTCTCCTGCCCCCTCCCCCGTCTCTCCCTCCCCACCAGTCTGGCCCACCATCTCTTCTCATCGGGTGAATTCGATCGGGCCATGCAGCAACTTTCCCTCTGCTCCTCGCCGCCCCTCCTCCCAGCCCTCTCCCTCTTCCCCTTCCTCCCCTCCCTCCCCTCCTCCATCCTCTCCCTCGCTGCCTCCTCCTCTCCCTATCCTCCGTCCTTCCCCTCCTCCTCCCCCTCCTCCCCCTCCTACCCTCTCTCCCCCTCCTCCACCCCATCTGCTGCTGCAACACCACTGGGAATGCAATCGCAATCGCAATCGCAATCGGATCTAACCGGGCGGCAGCGCAAGCTGGCGTTGCTGTCTTTAGTGGGTTTCCTGGCAGAGAAGCGAGCAGCGGCTGTAGCAGCAGCAGCAGCAGCAGCAACCGTGTCACCAGCATCAACGGTGGTTCCTGCTTCTGCTGCTGCACTAACGGAGCCCCTTGAAGCCAGAAATGAAGGAGAGGAAGAGCAGAGCATGTCAGCAGCCGAGGCAACAGCAGTTGTGATCGACACTTACCTCTCCATCGCCCTCCAGTCCCTCACCCCCGTCCCACCGCCACTCCCCCCGTGCTCCACACAACCTGCCCCAGCTTCCGCAGCAGAAGCATCAGCAGCATCAACTGAAGCAGATGCAGCGCAAGCAGCAGTGGCAGCAGCAGCAGCAGAGGCAGAAGAGAGAGCTATCCTCTCTGAATCACCTCCTGACTCGCCCGAGACTGCCTTTGACTTCAACCACTCGCTCTTCTCCTCCTCTGGGCCCCTCACATTCGGACAACGTCCCAGCCCCTCTCCCCCTGCTGCCAACAGCAGCAGCAGCAGCAGCAGCTACAACACCCACGGCTCCCTTGGCAGTAATATCAAGAGTGGTGACGCTGCAACCACCAGCACCATAGACAGCAGTAGCATCAGCGGCAGCAGCAGGCAGGGAACGAGTGGTGGTGGTGGGGGGGGGTCTTTCGAAGGGCCTCTGGATGCAGCGTCTGTTTCTCGCGCTGCTGCTGCTGTCACTGCTGCCGCTTCTGCTGGGACTGCTGCAATAGCCGCGCAATCAGCATCTTCTGAGTTCTCCCCTGCAGCAGTCGATCGCTTCATTGCTGCTCTCTCTCTTCCGAGCTCTCTCTCTCAGCCTCATCTTCCTGCTGCTTCTTCTCCCTCGGTTGTCATTCCGAATCAAAGAGGGAGAGCTGGGACTGATAGTGAGTTGCTTCAGATGCAAAGTGAAGGAGCGGGGAGAGGAGGAGGGGGGGCGTCCACGTCAGCAACGGGTGTTGCTGACTCAGCGGACCCGATGCAGCCACTCCGATCGGCCCTGCATGCGTTGTGGGCGGCGGACAACTTCTGCCACGTCAGCACTGTGGAGGCGGCGCTGCGTGAGGAGGACAGGTGGCGTGGCATGATTCGCTTTTTGTTTTTCAAGGGATTGCACAGAGAGGGTCTTGTGTTCTTAAGAGAGATGCTTAAAGGCGGTGGTGTGGGAACGGGGTGGGAGGGGGAGGAGGGGACGGAGGTTGAGGGAAGGAGGAAGGGTGAGGGGGAAGGAGCAGAGGAAGAAGGGGAGGGGGATGGTGGTGGTGGTGATAGTGGTGGTGGTGTTGGCACGAGGGGGAGGAGGAGGGATGCTGACGTGGTAGAGAACTGTTTCAAGGAATACGTGGAGCTTCTAGGTCAGCAGCCACGTCAGCAGCCGTTCGTGCTGGAGGCGCTGACGTGGCGCTTTGAGGACGACCCGACAGCAGCGCTGGCGCTGCTCACCTCACTGCGACACCCACCGCCCAACGGTAATAGTAATAATGGCCCTTAATGAAACCGGTTTTGTTTTTGGTCGTTTGTTGTTGCTTTGCTTTATTGAGCGCTGGCGCTACTGCTCACGTCGCTGCGGCACCTCCCTCCCAACGGTATGCATGCATGTGGCCTTCTCAACCCTCTTCCCGAACCTTTTCAACCTCTCAAAGTTTCTCAAGCCTTTCTAAATACCATCCGCAATTTAAGAGGGCGATATCTGGTATCTACCCGCCCTAACTTGAGATCAGGTGCCTAACAAATCTGCGCTGCTCGTGTCGCCGCGACACCCCCCTCCCAATGCTGTGCTTGCATGCGTCCGTCCTTCTCAACCCTCTTTATATATAATCCGCGAGTGCTACCTGTTTGAGGCGCCTACAAAGAGAGCTATGCGAGGTGACTTTTGAGTCGACTCAAAAGTCACCTCTAATCCGCGAGTGCTACCTTTTTTAGACGCCTACAAAGAGAGTTATGCGCCCCCCTCTCGCTCATGCTGCTCCCCTGTCAGTCATCCCCTCTCCCTCTTTTTGAGTCGTCTCAACACCCTGCCCCTCCCTCTACCTCCCGGCCAGACCTGGTGCTCGTTCTGATTCGTCAGGTGGCGCCTCATCTCAGTGCTTCCTTCCTAAAGCATCTCTTAGAGCAAACAGCCCAAACCATGGGAGACGAGGGTGGAGTTTGGCTCCTTTCTGTCATTCCCCCATCATGCTGCGGCCCTGTCCCCCCCCACTCCGTCCTGCACCCCGCCTCTCCCACCCACCAGACCTGGTGCTCTCTCTTATTCGCCAAGTCGCCCCTCATCTCAGTGCTTCCTTCCAACTCCCCTCATCGTGTTCCCTTCATGCCTCCCCGTGTTCTCTGCCTGTCCCCACCGTTTCCCACCCTTTCCACCCCACCAGACCTGGTGCTCTCTCATCCGTCAAGTCGCCCCTCATCTCAGTGCCTCCTTCCTCGAACATCTCTTAGAGCAAACCGCCCCGGCCATGGGAGAGGGGGGCGGAGGCTGCTCCTCTTCCCCGTTCCACCATCCTCCCCTCATGCTGCTGTCCTGTCCCCTCCCCAACTTCCCCACCAGACCTGGTGCTCTCTCTCATTCGTCAGGTGGCCCCTCACCTCAGTGCCTCCTTCCTGGAGCATCTCTTAGAGCAAACCGCTCAGGCCATGGGCGAGGGGGGTGGAGGGGAGGGCGTGGGGGAAGGGGGCAGGGAGGGGGAGGGGGAGGAGGAGCAGGAGGGATTTGGAGAGGGTTGGAGGGGTAGCAGCGGTGGTGGGGGGAGCGGGAGAGGGAGTGGGGAGAGTGGACGGCGGTGGAGTAGCAGTAGTGGTGCTGGTGTGTCTGGTGGGGGTGGGGGTGCGGGTGGGGAGGTGCAGGATGTGGGAGCAGCGGCATCCCAGCTACAGCTAGACCTGGTGCGTCTGTGTCTTTTTGAGCTGAATTCTGACTCATTATGATTTATTTTACGTGGAGTGGAGTGGATGGAGGGGAGCATGCTTCTCTCTGGTAGACTGTCTCCTCTCCTCTGCGCCTCCAGTCCCTCTCTCATTCATCTGTTATGCCTACTCCATACCTCTCCTATGCATCTCTCGTCTTCCTGTCTTTTACCACCCTTACCCCTCCCTCCCGTACCTCTCGTGTTGCTTTCCCGTACCTCAGGTTCGGCTCAGCCTTCACCGGGTCAAAACGGAGCTCTGCCAATCAGCAGCAGCCACGTCAGCAGCAGCAGAAGCAGCAGGCGAGCGCACTGGTGTGATTGGTCCAGAGAGGGCCAAGCTGGCAGCTGTGCTGCAGCGGGTCAGACTGCGTCTCATTCCAGAGGTGAAGTGCAGTGAGGTGATGTGATGTGAGGTGAGGTGAAGTGCAGTGATGTGAGGTGAGGCGAGGTGAGGTGAGGTGAGGTGAGGTGAGGTGAGGTGAGGTGAGGTGAGGTGAGGTGAGGTGAGGTGAGGTGAGGTGCGGAACGGTGTTGTGTGGTCGTGTATGGTAGGGTGGGTGTCGGATGGGTTGGGGAGAGGGGAGGGGAGGGCGAGGGGTGTAGGGTGGGTTTGTGAAAGGTGAGGTGCAGTGAGGTCAGATGAGATGAGATGAGGTGAAGTGAGGTTAAGGGGCATATGGGTCTTTTTTTACGAGTGAGTGGGCTTCATCTTGAGCCTGCCTGGCCATGCAGCAGTGACGCATGCACGCACCCATTCACTCTCCCACTCGGCCTTTCACGACTCCAACAAGCGACTGCCCCCCCTCCCCCTCCCCCCTCCCTGCTCGTCCCTGCAGGTGCTGCAAATGCTTCCTCCAGACTCCCTATTCGAGGAGAAGGCCTCCCTTCTTCTGCGCCTCCTGCTCCACACCTATGCCCATCCACCTGCCCAAGCCATTGCAGCCGCACCAACAGCAACAGCAGGAGGAGCAGCAGGAGGACCGGGTGCAGCGCCCGTTCACGCGGCTACTGTGGGAGCAGTGGCGCCTTTAGGTGCAAGAACGCCCATGCGTGCAGCAGAGGCGGCAGCAGCAGCAGTGGATGCAATGGGGGGCCGGGATGCGTTGCTGTGGATGGTGCTCGTGCTCTACGCCAGGAAGGTATGTTACCTTCTTGGGAAGTAGGCGAAGGAGATGGTATGTGATATTGGGAAGGGCAGCAGCAGCAGTGGAGGCAGTGAGCGGTCGGCAGGGATGCTCTGCTGTGGATGGTGCTCGTGCTCTACGCCAGGAAGGTACGATGCCTCGTTGCACGCAAGATTCATATGCCATGTCAGGAAGGGCTGTGGCAGACAGTGCATGCAGTGAGCGGTCGGCAGGGATGCTCTGCTGTGGATGGTGCTTGTGCTCTACGCCAGGAAGGAATCAAGGCTTAACAACGTACCACCCTGTCCTCTTGTACCTAGTGTGATTCTCTAAACTAAAGCCCCTAATAAATCGTCTCAAATGCTGAGGCGCCTCAAAAGGGTACTTCACTGGGAGGGTTTATTGGCGACATGAAGCTTTCTCTTGGCTTCTTGAGACGTCTCAAAAATACACTTTTAGTTATCACTCCGCTGGGAGGGGTTATTGGCGACACGAAGATTTCTCTTGGCTTCATCAGAAGTGTCGGCAGGTTAGAGCGGTCTATCTTGTGGTGCCCAAATCATACACCCCTTGCCTCTCCTCCTTCCCCCTTGCACCACCCTCCACCCCACCCAGCCCCTGAGCAGCTGAGTCAGACTCTTCACTGCATCCCCATCTGCGACCAGCTGCTCTCCCTCTCCTCTCCTCTTGCATGTGATGTGTGTTTTTCTAGGTGCCTGATATATACCCCTCCCCTTCCCCATTTTCCACCCAACCCCCGAGCAGCTGAGTCAGCCTCTTCACTGCATCTCCATCTGCGACCAAATCTTCTCCTCTCCGCCCTCTCGCCCATCCGCCACCTCCCTCTCTCACCACCCTTCTCCCACCCCTCCCTCCTCCTTCTTACCCTTCATCTCCCCTCGTATGCATCCTCCTCCCACCACCACCACCACCTATTCGTCCTCCTCCTCTTCCTCCTCCTCCTCTTCTCACTCCCACATTCCTGCGCTCATCCCTCTCCTCCCTCCCTTCTCTTCCACTTCCATAACCGCTTTCCAATCCACTCCCACCACTGTCACCACTGCACAAGCACAAGCACCACCACCAGCAGTGGGAGGGGAAACAGGAGGAGCAGCAGCAGGGGCAAAAACAGCAGCAGGAGGAAGAGCAGGAGAGACCAGAGGGGTTGCAAGGGAGGAGGCTACCCCTGATGTGGGAGGGAGCAGCTCTAGCAACTCTAGCAACTCTAGCGCCCTTCTTACTGCGTCCACACCCCACCAAGTGCTGCTGCGGGTGCTGCTGCTGTCTGACGTGGCGCTGACTCAATTTGCCGCCCACTTTGGGAGGATCTACCCTGTCAGTCAAGGGGAGGGCGAGGAGGGGAAGCAGAGAGGGGAGGAAGGTGCGGAGAAGGGGCATGGAGATGGACAGAAGGGAAGGAAAGGAGTTAGAAGGGAAGCAGAGATGGCAGAAGCACCAGCAGACACAGCAGCAGCGGATGCATCAGCAACGGCGATTGGTGCAGAGAGGAAGGGAAAGAGACTAGCTGTGATAGCAGATGTGGAAGAGGAGGGTGGGAACAGGGAGGGAAACAGCAGCCCTGCCTCGTCACCTTCCCTTGTGCTTTCCTCCCTCCCGGCACCACAAGGTCTCACGGACGTGACTTTTGAGGTGCCTCAAGGTCTCACAAGGTCTCAAAAGGCACCACAAGGTCTCACGGGCGTGACATGTGTTTCGAAAGAAGGGAGGGAAGCAGGTCAAGCCTTTGATGCGGTTGGGAGGCGAGGGGGGGCGAACAGGTGGGAGATGAGGGAGGGAGTGATGGTGGGGGCGGCTCTAGAGGTGATGGAGAGGCGGTGGGCAATGGTTGACCCCTGGGAGGCGTTACACATGCTACCAAGTGACGTACCTTTGCAGGTGAGATGTGATGTATATGACGCAGTGAGCACATGATCATGCCTCCAGCGGTGTAGGTGATGGGGAGGCGGTGGGTGATGGTTTAACCTTTGGAGGCGTTACACATGTTACCAAGTGACGTGCCGTTGCAGGTATGATGCACATGAGGCAAGGCAGGGTTTCTTTTGGAATGTCAAAGCCACCCGCACTTCCACCCCCATCTTAACTTCTATTTGCACCCCCTGAGAGTGCTGCCGTACCTGGAGGCAGTGCTGTGCGCGGGCAGCGAGCAGAGGAGGAACGCGCTGGTTTACTTACAAGGCAATCCCAAACCCACTTTCATCCACCCCCACCCCCACCCCCACCCCCACCCCCACCCTCAGAGCGTGCTGCCATACCTGCAGGCAGTGCTGCGGGCGGGCAGTGAGCAGAGGAGGAACAGTTCTCGTTTACTTACAAGGCAACCCCACCCCCACTTTCATCCACACCCCCACCCATTTCATCAGAGCGTGCTGCCATACCTGGAGGCAGTGCTGCGGGCGGGCAGTGAGCAGAGGAGGAACAGTTCTCGTTTACTTACAAGGCAACCCCACCCCCACGTTCATCCACACCCCCACCCATTTCATCAGAGCGTGCTGCCATACCTGGAGGCAGTGCTGCGGGCGGGCAGCGAGCAGAGGAGGAACAGTTCTCGTTTACTTACAAGGCAACCCCACCCCCACTTTCATCCACACCCCCACCCATTTCATCAGAGCGTGCTGCCATACCTGGAGGCAGTGCTGCGGGCGGGCAGCGAGCAGAGGAGGAACAGTTTTCGTTTACTTACAAGGCAACCCCACCCCCACTTTCATCCACACCCCCACCCATTTCATCAGAGCGTGCTGCCATACCTGGAGGCAGTGCTGCGGGCGGGCAGCGAGCAGAGGAGGAACAGTTCTCGTTTACTTACAAGGCAACCCCACCCCCACTTTCATCCACACCCCCACCCATTTCATCAGAGCGTGCTGCCATACCTGGAGGCAGTGCTGCGGGCGGGCAGCGAGCAGAGGAGGAACAGTTCTCGTTTACTTACAAGGCAACCCCACCCCCACTTTCATCCACACCCCCACCCATTTCATCAGAGCGTGCTGCCATACCTGGAGGCAGTGCTGCGGGCGGGCAGCGAGCAGAGGAGGAACAGCTCTGTGGTGAAGAACCTGAGGCGCAGCGAGAACCTGCAGGTGAGCGGTGCAGTGCGGTTGGTGAGGGGTGCAGTGGGGCTGGTGAGGGGTGCAGTGCGGCAGGTGAGGGGTGCAGTGCAGTAGATGAGTGCTGCTTCATGCTCAGAGTCGGAACAGTGCTGTGGTGGAGAACCTGAGGCGGAGTGAAAAGCTGCAGGTGAGCGGTGCAGTGTGGCTGGTGAGAGGTGCAGTGTAGCAGGTGAGGGGTGCAGTGTGGCAGGTGAAGGGTACACAGCAGTTGGAGTGAACACCTGCACGCGAGTGGTGGCCCCTGAGAAGAAGGTAAGTGAAGTATCATGTGACTCCCAAACTATGCTAGCTCACATACCTGTAGGAATCTGTATGAGTTCTATTTCGACTCGAAGACCGCCCTCGTGAAAGGTACCATGTCTGTGCCATCTGTCGTCCCTCCCTGACCTCCTCCCTTTCTTGTTCGCCCCTTCCCATCCCTTTCCACCTCCCCTTCTCCTACTCCTCCCATCTTCTACGCAGCTCCCCAAGGAGTTGGCGAATGGAAGGAAACGCCATGTGAGCATCAGGGTATACCGTGTCTCTGCACCACCTATCCTCCCTCAAATGCCCACCTCCCTTTTTCTTTTTCTTCCCTCTTCCGACCACCCCCCCTGCCCTCTCTTTCATAGCTCCGGGAGGAGTTGGCGAATGGCAGGAAGCGCCACGTCAGCATCACGGGGGACCGGCTGTGCGCCATCTGTCGCAAGCGGATTGGAGGGAGCGTGTTTGCCGTCTATCCGGGCGGCACGCTGGTGCATTTTGTCTGCTTCCAACACCACCAGATGCAGCTGCCTGCTTCTGCTGGTCCGTGATTGGAAAGGCAGTTCAGCTGCCCTTCAGGGTATTTGTAACATTTTGTCTGCTCAACACCACTAGATGCAGCTGCTTGCTGCTGCGGGACCATGATGGGAAGTCAGTCGCCTGCAGGGTATCAGTACTTGATTTTTGAATGTGTAACATACTAAGAATAGGAGATACAAGTAGGGCTTGCATTTTTGTTTTTTCTACCTCAAAAATAGTATGACTGTTCTTTCTTGCATCAAGTGTATATTCTCTTTGTAGCTACGGCTTTTTGCTCACAAGAAAATCCTCGTGTGTATTGTTTTGAGCAGCAGGTAAGAAACAACTTGTGGTTGATAGGGTTGCACATTTTCGCTAATCCTTTTGAAGGGTGTGCCGAATGATGACGGTTCCTTCGGGTTTGGTAGGATGCAGAGCAATTTGCGGCTTGGCAGTGCGGTAAAGCAGTGTGGTGAGATTCGTAATGTCAGCCCGGCTCTATTGACCAGATCAACACCTCCAAGCCAAGCACAGCTCCTAGCCGCTTTTCGTACTAATTAGTAGCCCCGCTTCTCCTTTCCCTCTTTCCCCTCGGCTTACCTCCAGTTTTATATCACCCGCCATTCCACATAAGACCGCACGTTCCACTAGTTTCTCCTAGCGTTAAACCGTCTCCTGTCTCTCGAAAAGCTGGTAGCCAGTCAATCGCAAGTTGTCTAAATCGTTGTTTTTCCGTAGGAGCTTTTTTCGCAGTTTGTATCCTGTTCGCCCGGCGTACTTTTACCTTCGCGTGCGGTTTCGCGTGGAAACTCCAGACGCGCCAAGATGGCGACCAAAGTGCAGCGGATTATGACCCAGCCCATTGTGCGTGCTAAGTCTCAGGGTGTTTCCGGGTAGTTAAAGATATAGGCAGACAACTCTAAATAGCATCCCTCTCGGTGCAGCGGAGTAATACCAATTCTATCGTGCGCGCTACAGCTCATCGAACTAAAGATCGGTTCTTGTGCTTGTGCTTGTGGTTGGGGTTGCACTTTTTTTCGCCGATTGCGTCACTATTCCTTCTCCGTTGCCGATTCCGACTCTGCTCATACGAAACTTTGAAATTCGTATACGGCACAGCTGGGTTATCAGACCTTATTTTTCGTAAATAGCATTTATCGCAATTAGGGTTCCACCACCCCAAGTCTGATCTTCTCGCTCCATGTCTCTCTGGATTCTCACTGCTTCGTTCTTATTATCTTTTACCTCGTCTAATAACGTTTTTATTTTTCCCCTCCCCTCTCCCCGGACCTCATCTTCCCCACCACCCCCCTCCCCCCGTTCCCCCTCTTCCACCCGTTCCCCCGTTCCCCCGTTCCCTCCGCCCCTTTCTCATCCGCCAATCTGTGCATGGGCGCGTCGCTGTTGCTGCGGGGTTGACGGCTTCAGAACTTGATATTCCGATTCCTACAAAGTGTGAGTATGGGCTATTTGGTTCATGACACCTGCGCTTCTCTCCCTGCTACCGTGCAGTCATTGTTAGCTCCTTGCACAAAATTTCCCGTTTCCAATTTGACAATTAGCGAACGGAGCAATTTGACGAAGGCCAGGGTTGGTTGCAAACGGTCGTTACTCCGGATTGGCTCCGTTAGGGTTGACTATGAAATCACCTGCAACTCCATCCTCGTCTCTTTCCCACTCGCATCCGTCATTCTCATTGTATCTCACCGCCTCCTTCCGCTCCGCACTGCCCCCCTCTGCACTGCCCCCCTCCGCACTGCCCCCCTCCCCTCCCCCCCCGCCTCCGCCACCCCCCCTTCCGTGTGGTGCTTGCTTCTGGTGTGGCTGTTTCTCTGCCCCAATCTTGTGTGCCGCGCTGCCCCAATCTTGTGTGCGGCTCTTGTCCTGCAGAAATCGCGGATTCAGATCTGGCTGTATCAGCAGAAGGACACGCGGATCGAGGGCAGAATCATTGTGAGTTATAGACACACCGTGAACTCTTGCGCCATCTCAAAAGCCACCTTTTGAGTCGACCCAAAATGCTTCAGTCGACTCAAAGACTAGCAGAATGACACGCGTATCGAGGGAGGAATCATTGTGAGCACCAGACACATCAAGAGCAACCGTTCTGCAAACCCCTTAGCACACCCATTTGCAGATCCCTTTTCTAGCTCTCACCATATTCATCGTAATTTTGCGGATGTGCTGATATTGCACTTTCTTGCACTTTATGGTTGCACTGTCTTGCGCCTACCATCCATATCTCTTCCTGGTTTCCAAACTTTTCGATTTACATGTTCTTCAATGTGCCGTCATCGCTGCTAGGGTTTCGACGAGTACATGAATTTTGCGCTTGAAGATGCAGAGGAGGAGACCTCTCGTCTCTTGGTGGCCCCTCACCTCCCTCTCTCTCTCCCTCTCCATCTCCCTATCACATGTGCGCCAATCGTCATCCATCCCTCTCAGGGTTTCGACAAGTACATGAATCTGGTGCTGGAAGATGCAGAGGAGGTTTCCATGAAGTAGAGGAACTCATGTGCCCTCATCCCTCTCTTTCTCCTTCGGTGCTCCAATCCACCTCCCTCTCAGGGATTTGACGAGTACATGAATCTGGTGCTGGAGGACGCAGAGGAGGAGACCTCTCTTGTGTAGCCTCTCACACCCTTCCTCACGTGTGTTCCTCGCTCTCTTGTCTATGTGGCCCCTCACAGGGTTTTGACGAGTACATGAATCTGGTGCTGGAGGACGCAGAGGAGGTTTCCATGAAGAAGCAGACCAGGAAACCACTCGGTATGTTCCTCCCTTTTCACCTCCATTCCACCGCACTCCACTCCACTCCACCCCCACCGCGCTCCACTCCCCTTTCCTTACTGCAACTCGCACCTTTCTCGTCGCATCATTGCACTTCGCATGTGGGTCATGCATTGCATTGCACCACGATTTTTTAGACGTCTTAAAAAATCGTTCATTGCACCCCGGTACTTATGTGGAATCCCAAAAGAATAAGAAATTCACTGTCTTCGCCCCTTTTCCCACCTTCCCCTCTCTCTCATTTCCCTTATTGGCTGGCATCCCGTCTCCCCCTGCTCTTGTCCTCTCCTTCCCGCTTCTCCTCCCCGCTTCTCCTCCCGCTTCTTCTCCCCGCTTCTCCTCCCCGCTTCTCCTCCCCGCTTCTTCTCCCCGCTTCTCCTCCCCGCTTCTCCTCCCCGCTTCTCCTCCCCGCTTCTCCTCCCCGCTTCTCCTCCCCGCTTCTCCTCCCCGCTTCTCCTCCCCGCTTCTCCTCCCCGCTTCTCCTCCCCGCTTCTCCTCCCCGCTTCTCCTCCCCGCTTCTCCTCCCCGCTTCTCCTCCCCGCTTCTCCTCCCCGCTTCTCCTCCCCGCTTCTCTTCCCCACCCCTCCTCCCCAACCCTCCTCCTCAGGTCGCATCTTGCTGAGAGGAGACAACATCACGCTCATGATGAACACGTGAGTGCCTTCCCCATCTGGCTGGCCTCCATAATCCATAGATGGTTCTTCAGTCCACTCATACACTCCCTCTAGGCCGCATCTTGCTGAGAGGAGACAACACCACCCTCATGATGAACACGTGAGTCCCTTGTCCTTCCTTCCGCCAACCGTCTATGCTGTGGTGATATATGCCGTGCTGCCATACCATGTTAGAGTCGCTTCTTCTGAGAACTCTCTAAAGCTGTTGCTTGCCCATCTTCCGTGTGGCCGTGTGATGTGCTGTGCTGCCATACCATGAGGATCTTGAAAACCAACCCACTCATGGCATTCTCAGTGCCATGCCATGTAGCATCACATCCCATCGCACTCCATTCCACTCCACTCTAATCCATCCCATTTCATCCCATTACATCCCATGCCATCTCATTCTGTTCTAATCCATCCCATCCCATCCCATCCCATCCCATCCCATCCCATCCCATCCCATCCCATCCCGTCCCGTCCCGTCCCATCCCATCCCATCCCATCCCATCCCATCCCATCCCATCCCATCCCATCCCATCCCATCCCATTCCATCCCATCCCATCCCATCCCATCCCATCCCATCCCATCCCATCCCATCCCATCCCATCCCATCCCATCCCATCCCATCCCATCCCATCCCATCCCATCCCATCCCATCCCATCCCATTCCATCCCATTTTGTTCTAATCCATCCCATTTCAATCAGTTCCACACAGTAAAAGGTGCATTCACATTTTGGTCATCCTTCATCCCCCCACTACCTGCCCCCCCGTCTCCCTCCCCCAAAACACCCTTTCCTCCCCCTCACTCTCTGACTGCCAATAAATTCTGTCTGGTCGTTTTTCTTTTAACCTGGGCATGGCAAGTGATGAGTTAATTTCATAATCTGCATGTTCGGGGTCAACACAAGGCCAACATCCGTGAAACCATGACTGCACTTGCAACAACAGGCCAAAATACATCATTTGCGCCCGTTCCTTCGCTGATCACGAAGGGCCGATGTTTGCCTCAACCCTGCCTGTGTTTTTGTCCTGCCTTTGACTGCTTTTTCTAACCCATCGTGTCCTATCCAGGGGGAAATAACAAGGGGGAGAATCGTGAGTGCGCTTGGTTGTGCGAGAAGGCTGTTGTGCTACACTTGCTTTGCACCTCGTCTCTTCCCTCCCTCCTCGCCTTGCCTTGCTGGGCTGCCACCAGGGGATCCTCCTGTGTGGCTGTTTCCCGTTGACACGAGGCACGTATGTAGGCAGGCATGCACACTCTTGTACTGTGTTGCAGCGATGTATGGTAGGTAGGAACGCTGATCACTAATGCTGGGCTGAGTAAAGCCCTAGGATCGTTTTAGAGACTATACTTGAGTGATATATTACAGCGGAAGTCTGTGATTACTTGAGCTAGTACTGGTATAATGAGCAAGAATTCATTAAAAATAAATTTAAAAAAACAAGAATATACACACATACACATCACTAGGTGTGTAAAGCCTTCATAAGCTTCCCTTCAACTACTGGCACAAAGCAGCACACATCCTCACCTCACACCCTTCTAGGGCAAAAGCACGCGATCCAGCTGGTGTGCCTTCACAAACGAGCCTCCTCGTGTCCACCTGCGCCCAGAAGTGACTTCTGAGTCGACTCAATAGTCACCTTGAGTCGACTCAAAGGTCCCTTCTAGGGCAGAAGCACACGATCCAGCTGGTGCGCCTTCACAAACGACCCCTCAAACATCCTCTTCGTGTCCACCTGCGCCCAGAACAGCGTCGACGCATTCCTCGCACTAAAGGCCACCTTTGTCCCAGGGTTGAAAATCAGGTTCGGCCGCACACTGTGCTTCACAAGCACATACTTGTCCTTCTGTGAGTCGAAAAACAGCAACGGAAAAAGCCCGTTCCCGTCCGGCACAGCTTTCAGCCTTTTGAGGCTGTAAAGCTCAAGGAGGATGTGGAAGATAGCGACTTTTCTCGACACCGCGTGTCTCGAACGGAAGAGGGCTCGGAAGAAGGCCGCATCGGTGGGCGCGAGGAAGGTGAGTGGGGCGTAGACAAAATCAGCATCAGCGGTCTTTTCTGGCAGGATGGAGGGAGCAGGGAATCGGGGATAAGAGAAAGAGTCAGGGAAAATGACTTCTGAGGCGCCTCAAAGGAAGGCCGCATCGGTGGGCGCGAGGAAGGTGAGTGGGGCGTAGGCAAAGTCGGCATCAGCGGTCTTTTCTGGCAGGATGGAGGGAGCGGGGATACGAGAAAGAGTCAGGGAAAATGCGTTCACTGAGTCCTGAAGGTGAAGGTTGAGGTGCAAGGGACGCCAATCTCTGGTTGAGTTGCAATGTTTAGATGCACGTAGGTAGGTCCATGCGGTGTCACGGGTTTCCTCTGGCAGGACGACGGGGAGGAAGAGGGGAGGGGGGGGAAGAGAGTGGTGGGAAAGTCGACCCAATGAGGCGTTAATGGGTCGACTTAATGAGGCTTTAATGGGTCGACTTAATGAGGCTTTAATGGGTCGACTTAATGAGGCTTTAATGGGTCGACTTAATGAGGCGTTATTTCAATGACTGTGAATCTGTGAAAGAGATACTCTGGGCTGTTAATCACATGACCCCTCTCGGCGATGTTAATCACAGCCCCTCGGCCTTCCAAGGTGATGACCCTGGTGAAAAGTAGGGCGTTGAGAGTTCACCCATGACTTGGCTCAAGCGACTCTTGACTTACGGCATGGCACAACAGAGCGGCTGCGGTTCTTCATGTGAACGGGTGGGGTGGTTTCACCCAATGGCTTATCCGTGTTGTTTCTGGGGTGATGAGGTTGTGGAAAGAAGTGAAGATTGGACACCTGGCATGCGTTTACACCCTCTCGCCCACCCTTGATTTCTCTGGCGAAGAGGAAGGAGGGATGGGAGAGAAGCGAGAGGGGGGGATGTTGGAGGGGAGAGAGAGAGTATGGATTTAGGGTTTCAGGTTTAAGGTTTCGGGTTTATGGGGGACTGCTTTGCCATACTGGAACCCGCCCTGGAGCTCCCTTAGAGTGTCTCAAACGGGTAACTGTTGATTTTGGTGATGTTTAGGATGTTATACGTACTCGCATGCATGTCTGTAAATTTCAGGACTACCAATGCATGGACCTTTTGAGGGTATGGATGAGAGGTATGGAGAGAGAGAGAGAGAGAGAGAGAGAGAGAGAGAGAGAGAGAGAGAGAGAGAGAGAGAGAGATGTCAGCGAAAAGGGAAGCTGAGGCCTTAGTCTGCATAGAAGCACACAAGTGCACAAGACTCGAAAACATGTTTAGACTCTCATTCTGCCTCGGTTTCCAAATGCCTCTGCTACTCAGAGTGGTTTTAAACAAACATGAAGTTTGTTTTCCTACATCCAGAGAGTTTCTCTGAAAACCGAGTCAGAATGAGAGATGCAAGAAGAAGGCGGGGAACAAAGAAGAAGAAAAAAAAAGCAAGAACAAGCAATGGGAGATTTAAGTGCAGAAAACGGAGAGGCTTACCAGCACTGGACACGAATGATCGCACTGTTTTCGCGAAGATGCTGCAGCCTCGCGCCTTGAGCTTCTTAACGAGTGCCTTCAATTCCGCCACGAACTGCGCCTTAGTCGGCGACAGATCCGCCTGAAAGGTTCCCGCCTCCGACGAGGTGCGGTTTGCCGGGGGAGCAGCCAAGGCGGCGGCGGTGGTAGTATGATCCGACGGCTGGGAGCTCTCCATGAGCCTCATGGCGCGGAACGCGCTCATCGCGATCGCGTACAGTGACTCGGTGGGCGGGGGAGCTGTCGGGGCAGCATCATCGTGCGCGGAGGCGGCACCCAGCGCGGAGGCGGCACCCAGCGCGGAGGCGGAACCCTGCGCGGAGGCGGCAAGCGCGGCGCTGGCTACTGCTGGAAGTGGCAGGCGCGCCGGCAGCAGGACCGCGCAGAGGGCGAGGAGGAGGAGCCGTGGCAGCGGGACGCGGCGAAGGGGCATGAAACGCGGCGAGGAAGGGGCGGCCATGATGACGAGTGGACGAATTAAAGCCGCCGCGTCGACTATCGGACTCCTGCGCGTCGGGCTGACAACGAGTCGCCGCCAAGTCAGCGCGAGAGAAGGGGCGCCGCACTCTGTTTTAGAGGCGCATAATGTACTGATAGTGGCCCCGCGGAATTTATTGTGAGACAGACAGTCTCAAACCTGACCATTGGCGCGGGAAGCGGGGGAGGAGGATGAGGGGCAGCGGCGGGAACCCAGCAACGGCTGGGCGCATGACATTACAAAATTCAGTACGCAAAAAATCACTCCGAAATCGAGGAATACCCCCAAGGTCACCTCACGAGGTATGCCTCCGAGGTAAGTCGGGGTGGACCCACATGTTACCTACTTATCAGGATACCTCCGAGGCTGGCGACGTCATCGACAATCGCCAACATCCTCGCGCATGGTCGTAACATAGACATCGACCAATCAGTTCGATCGGATTCACCAAAACCAAGGTTACCCCACCGAGAAAGGCCCACGTTTTCCGAAGGCCGCTCGAAGGGACCCGATCCGATGCGCTCGGCGTCGTCACCACCCGACCCGAGCCACACGAGGGAAACCTAGCCTGGCACCCCAGCAAGCACTCGGCCGTCCCCCTAGCGGCGTGAAATCGGACGGCCGACCCTTATTAGGTCGGTGCCAGCCTGTCCGGGACGCCGGGCCCGAACCGAAACTGCCTTTGGGAAGCACACTGACTCAGCCGTGGGGACTACACCCCGCTGGCCCCAAACACTCGCGACCCGTCGTGAGAGGTCCCCGTTACAGAGCACATGTAAAATATCATTACAGAAATTGAGTCTCGCGATGCTCTAACAAAGAAAAGCAATAACAAAAAGTTTTTCTGCAGAGAGGCAGCCTCCTACGCTTCGCCCCATACAACTGAGACGGGGTGGTTCTTGCAAAAACCGAATTTACATTCCTGACGTACGTAGCATTCCTGCCATATCTGACTCTTATAAATAACATGCACTGTTCACACGGGTGCAAGGCCCTGGGCACGAGCCATACCCTCTTTAGTAGCATGAACTGCAGTGAAGTGACGTGTTTACTGCACAACTCTGCACAGCAGAAACTGTAGAGATTCTAATCCATGCACCAATCACAACGGATGCAAACTCACACAGGCGCCAGCTCACATGGGTGCAAGCCCCTGGGGCCGCGAGCTGTACCCTCTCTACAAACCGCATTCACTGTAAGCGTTTACTGCGCACTTCCTGTCAGATGTGACTGTAGGGATTACATGTTTTACTGTTCACACGGGTGCAAGCCCCTGGGCACGAGCCGTACCCTCTACAACAGCATTCACTGTAGCGACGTGTTTGCTGCGCACTTCCGCGCAGCAGATACTGTTCATGTTGTCGAGCCACACGTGCAGGCTCGGGCGCTGCCACTCCGAACCTCGGCCCTGCCTGGATCGGATGTACTGCTTCGTGGTGCAATCTGGGCGGTGGGGAGAGGGGTGGGGGAACAATGGTGGTGCGGGAAGGAAGGGGGGAGAATGGAGGGGGATAAGGATTTGCGGAAGGGATGGCAGGAAAAGGAGCCGTGCCTGGATCGGATGTAATATACTGCTAGGTGGTGCAGTCTGGGTGGGCGGTGGTGGGGGGGCCGGTTGGGAGAGTGTTGAAAAGAATAGTGAGTGGGAAGGAGGGAAAAGGGAGGGGGATAGGGAAGTAGTAACTGGGAAGGGATGGGAGGAATAGGAGCCATGACTAAATTGGATGCACTGCTTGGTGGTGCAGTCTGGGCGGTGGTGGGGGGGGCGGTTGGGAGAGTGCTTGGTGGTGCAGTCTGGGCGGTGGTGGGGGGGGCGGTTGGGAGAGTGCTTGGTGGTGCAGTCTGGGCGGTGGTGGGGGGGCCGGTTGGGAGAGTGCTTGGAGGTGCAGTATGGGCGGTGGTGGGGGGGCCGGTTGGGAGAGTGCTTGGTGGTGCAGTCTGGGCGGTGGTGGGGGGGCCGGTTGGGAGAGTGCTTGGTGGTGCAGTCTGGGCGGTGGTGGGGGGGCCGGTTGGGAGAGTGCTTGGTGGTGCAGTCTGGGCGGTGGTGGGGGGGCCGGTTGGAAGAGTGCTTGGTGGTGCAGTCTGGGCGGTGGTGGGGGGGCCGGTTGGGAGAGTGCTTGGTGGTGCAGTCTGGGCGGTGGTGGGGGGGCCGGTTGGGAGAGTGCTTGGTGGTGCAGTCTGGGCGGTGGTGGGGGGGGCGGTTGGGAGAGTGCTTGGTGGTGCAGTCTGGGCGGTGGTGGGGGAGGGGGAGAAGGAGGGGGAAATGGGGGAATGGGAAGGAGGGAGAAGGGAGGGGAATAGGAGGGCGCGGGGAGGGTGGGGTGGGTTGGGGGGGGAACAGGGGATAGATGAGTAGTTGGACGAGCACACGTACCACAGAGCAGGATGGGGGCGGGGAGCACACGTACCACAGAGCAGGATGGTGCCGTGCATGACGGCAAAGAAGACGAGGAGTGAGGTGTAGAAGTAGGCGAGGGGGAAAGACGGGAGAGGAGGTGTGTGCTTACAGCAGAGCAGCAAGGCGTGAGGCTGCATGTCTAGGTACGTACCACAGAGCAGGATGGTGCCGTGCATGACAGCGAAGAAGAAGAGCAGAGATGTGTAGAAGTAGGCGAGGGCGAGCAGCATGAGGAAGAACACATACACCTCCTGCTCGCTTAGACCCCTGGGAGAGGTGAGCGCAAGGGGGGGGCACAAACACAGGAAGAGGAGGGGGCATCGGGACAGGGGGAGTGGGGTAGGGGATAAGTAGGCGAGGGCGAGCAGCATGAGGAAGAACACATACACCTCCTGCTCGCTTAGACCCCTGGGAGAGGTGAGCGCAAGGGGGGGGCACAAACACAGGAAGAGGAGGGGGCATCGGGACAGGGGGAGTGGGGTAGGGGATAAGTAGGCGAGGGCGAGCAGCATGAGGAAGAACACATACACCTCCTGCTCGCTTAGACCCCTGGGAGAGGTGGGAGGTGGAAGTTGGGAGGTGGGCAAACGTGGGGAAAGGTGGGGAAAGGTGGAAGCATTCGACTCTAAACCTGGGTCAAGTGCAGAATGCTTTATAGTTTTACACTCACTGAGAGCATTACTCGCTTACAGTAACCAGTCACTTACAAAATCACACTCCCATATACTTTCACACACTCAGATATCATCACACTCATTATAAGCGTCTCACTCACTTATCCCAGTCCTCCTCTTTGAGTCGCAGAACAGTGGCATAGCGTTTTGAAACTTCTCTCAACAGTCGCTCTGATCCGATCAAGCACCCAAATGAAAGTACCGGCTATCACCATGACACTCAGTATGAGCGTCTCACTCACTTATCCCAGTCCTCCTCTTTGAGTCGTAGAACAGTGGCATAGCGTTTTGAAACTTCTCTCAACAGTCGCTCTGATCCGATCAAGCACCCAAATGAAAGTACCGGCTATCACCATGACACTCAGTATGAGCGTCTCACTCACTTATCCCAGTCCTCCTCTTTGAGTCGTAGAACAGTGGCATAGCGTTTTGAAACTTCTCTCAACAGTCGCTCTGATCCGATCAAGCACCCAAATGAAAGTACCGGCTATCACCATGACACTCAGTATGAGCGTCTCACTCACTTATCCCAGTCCTCCTCTTTGAGTCGCAGAAATGTGGCATAGAGCAGCAGACCCGACGCCTGTTGTTGGGGGGATGGGGGGAAGACAGAGGGAGGAGAGTAAGAAGAGGGGAACACAGAGGGGAACAAGAAAGAATGCCAAGGAGCAATATGGAGAATGGTAACATAGAGCAGCATATCCGATGCCCGTTGTTGGTGATACTTTTGCGAATTCTCAAAAGTAACACCAACATGAATGACAAGGAGCAGTATGTGGATTGGTAACATAGAGATAGAGGGGAGGGCAAGACGGAGGGGAGGGGAAGAGTGGAAGGAGGGGATAGAGGGGAGGGCGGCAAGGGAGGGGAGGGAGGGAAGGGAGGGGAGGGAGAGAAGGGAGGGAGGGAGAAAAAGCGGTGGTTCTTGCGAGCCACACACGTGGGCCATGGGCAGCAGCAGCAGTGGTGGGCAGCAGCAGGCGAGTGTGGCCTAGTGCATATGTGACCTAGTGTGATTGTCCCTATCAGGTAGGTACCATAGCTTACCAAGGAAGCAGAGAAGAGGAACCCGGTGAAGAAGCGGTGGTTCTTGCGCGCAACACACGTGCCCACTGCCCCGCAGTGGTGGTCGAAGCGCTGCCAGCCATGCCCAGGGGAAGGGCAGGCAGGGGTTGTTGGGGTGGGGGGTGGGAGGGGAAAGGGGAGAAAAGAAGGGGATGATGAGTGGGAGGAGGAGAGGGAGCAAGGGAGTGAAGAAACACATGTGCTCACCGCCCCACAGTGGTGGCAGCTGAGTGATCCCCTGATCTCCTACTCAAAACTGTAAGCCACTAGACTAGACCACCCACCTCCATGCCGAAGCCTCGTCGCAAGCAGCGACTCGACCAAGGCTGGCTGCCGCCACACGTTGCAGGTGCTGCAGTAGCGCCGCTGGGTGATCTCCGACGGTACAGAATGCGTGCGTGCCTTGCGTACAGAATGAATGGTGTGACTTGCGCTGCGTATTGTACCACCCACAAGCGACCCACCTCCACACAAAAGCCGCATCGAGAGCAGTGACACGTTGCACGTGCTGCAGTAGCGCCGCTGGGTGATCTCCGATCGTCCGTCCAGCAGCAGGCGCCTCAAGGGGCAACAGCAGTGCACGCCTTACTGGCCTATGATGCCATACCTCCATGCAGAAGCCACATCGGGAACAGTGGCTAGTGCGCGGCTGCCGCCACACGTTGCACGTGCTGCAGTAGCGCTGGGTGATCTCCCTCCGCCCGTCCAGCAGCAGGCCTTGTCAGGCAATGCAAAAGCAGTGCTACAGCTATACAACACTACCCACCCACCTCCATGCAGAACCCGCATCGGGAGCAGTAGCTGGTCCTGGGCTGGCGCCACACGTTGCACGTGCTGCAGTAGCGCTGAGTGATCTCCTACTGCCTGTCCAGCAGCAGGCGCTACCACCCTAGGCTACAGCCATACAGCAGTACCCACCCCCATACAGCCGAGATACCGTCCATACCTCCATGCAGAACCCGCATCGAGAGCAGTGGCTAGTGCGCGGCTGGCGCCACACGTTGCAAGTGCTGCAGTAGCGCTGGGTGATCTCCGACCGCCCGTCCAGCAGCAGGCGCTTCAGGAGGCTACAGCAGTGCACTCCTTACTGACCAATGATGCAGACAGCAAGCGACCAGCCTACCCACCTCCATGCAGAAGCCGCATCGCGAGCAGTGGCTGGTCCTGGGCTGCCGCCACACGTTGCACGTGCTGCAGTAGCGCTGGGTGATCACTGATCGCCCGTCCAGCAGCAAGCGGCGCTTCAGGGTGCAAGAGCCGTGATACAGCCATACAGCCAGTGCGTCTCATGCCTCACCTCCATACAGAACCCGCATCGAGAGCAGTGGCTAGTCCTGGGCTGGCGCCACACGTTGCACGTGCTGCAGTATCGCTGGGTGATCTCTGATCGACCGTCCAGCAGCAGGCGGCGGCGCGCCCACTGGCCATGCGAGTCAATAACTAGGTCTGGGGATATCTGCCCCCTCTCTGCTGCCACTACTTCCGGGTCTGGGGGGTGTGAAGCAGGGAGAGGGGAATTTACAGCATAAGGGAATCATCAGCAGCAGGCGGCAGCGCGCCCACTGGCCGTGCGAGTCGATGACTAGGTCTGGGGATATCTGGCCCCTCTCTACTGCCACCACCTCGGCATCTGGGGGGTGTGAAGCAGGGAGAGGGGAATTAACAGCATAAGGGAATCATCAGCAGCAGGCGGCAGCGCGCCCACTGGCCGTGCGAGTCAATGACTAGGTCTGGGGATATCTGGCCCCTCTCTACTGCCACTACTTCCGGGTCTGGGGGGTGTGAAGCAGGGAGAGGGGAATTAACAGCATAAGGGAATCATCAGCAGCAGGCGGCAGCGCGCCCACTGGCCGTGCGAGTCAATGACTAGGTCTGGGGATATCTGGCCCCTCTCTACTGCCACCACCTCGGGATCTGGGGGGTGTGAAGCAGGGAGAGGGGAATTAAAAGCATAAGGGAATCATCAGCAGCAGGCGGCAGCGCGCCCACTGGCCGTGCGAGTCAATGACTAGGTCTGGGGATATCTGGCCCCTCTCTGCTGCCACCACCTCGGGATCTGGGGGGTGTGAAGCAGGGAGAGGGGAATTAACAGCATAAGGGAATCATCAGCAGCAGGCGGCAGCGCGCCCACTGGCCGTGCGAGTCAATGACTAGGTCTGGGGATATCTGGCCCCTCTCTGCTGCCACCACCTCGGGATCTGGGGGGTGTGAAGCAGGGAGAGGGGAATTAACAGCATAAGGGAATCATCAGCAGCAGGCGGCAGCGCGCCCACTGGCCGTGCGAGTCAATGACTAGGTCTGGGGATATCTGGCCCCTCTCTACTGCCACCACCTCGGGATCTGGGGGGTGTGAAGCAGGGAGAGGGGAATTAACAGCATAAGGGAATCATCAGCAGCAGGCGGCAGCGCGCCCACTGGCCGTGCGAGTCAATGACTAGGTCTGGGGATATCTGGCCCCTCTCTACTGCCACCACTTCGGGATCTGGGGGGTGCGAAGCAGGGAGAGGGGAATTAACAGCATAAGGGAATCATCAGCAGCAGGCGGCAGCGCACCCACTGGCCATGCGAGTCAATGACTAGGTCTGGGGATATCTGGCCCCTCTCTACTGCCACCACCTCGGGATCTGGGGGGTGTGAAGCAGGGAGAGGGGAATTAACAGCATAAGGGAATCATCAGCAGCAGGCGGCAGCGCGCCCACTGGCCGTGCGAGTCGATGACTAGGTCTGGGGAGATCTGCCCCCTCTCTCCTGCCACCACTTCCGGATCTGGAGGGGGGAAGAAAGCATGGGTACAGAGAGCAGGGAGGGGATAAGCAACAGCAGGTTGAGGCGTGCCCACTGGCCATGCGAGTCAATCACGAGGTCTGGGGAGATCTGGCCCCTCTCTGCTGCCACCACCTCGGGGTCTGGTTAAAGGGGGAAGGGGGAAAGGGAGAAGGAGCAGGAAGAGAAGGGCGGGTTGGGGAAACAGCAGCAAGAGGCGGAAGAGCAAGAGGAAAGAAGGAGAAAGGGGGGTGAGGTGTGAGAATGAGAGGCAGCTGCCGTCCAGCAGCAGGCGGCGCCGAGCCCACTGGCCGTGCGAGTCAATCACGAGATCAGGGGAGATCTGGCCCCTCTCTGCTGCTACCACTTCCGGGTCTGAGTGGGGGAAGAGAGCAGGGGGGGTAAACAGCAGCAGGGAGGGGTGTGGCTTACCTTTATTTTCTGAAGGCGGGATGATCCCAGGGTCGATGTGCTGCACGAGGAAGAGGAAGAGGAGGAGGTTGGAGGGGGGAGGGGGGAGGGGGGGAAAGAGAGGGAGCGAGGACCGTAGAGGTTACGACTGTACCTTTAATCTCTGAAGGCGGGATGATCCCAGGGTCGATGTGTTGCACGAGGAAGAGGAAGAGAGAAGAAGAAGGCGGGAAGTGGGGAGGTATAAGCTTGTTAGTAGTTTCAATTGTTCGTACCTTAGATGTTGGAGGGCGGGATGATCCCAGGGTCGATGTATTGTACGAGGAAGAGGAAGAGAGGGGGGTGGGGGGGTGGGGAAGGGAGCAATGACTGTAACGCGTACGATTGTACCTTTAATCTCGGAGGGAGGGATGATCCCAGGGTCGATGTGCTGTACGAGGAAGAGGAAGAGGAAGAGAGGGGGGTGGGGGGGTGGGGAAGGGAGCAATGACTGTAACGCGTACAGCTGTACCTTTAATCTCGGAGGGAGGGATGATCCCAGGGTCGATGTGCTGTACGAGGAAGAGGAAGAGGAAGAGAGGGGGGTGGGGGGGTGGGGAAGGGAGCAATGACTGTAACGCGTACAGCTGTACCTTTAATCTCGGAGGGAGGGATGATCCCAGGGTCGATGTGCTGCACGAGGAAGAGGAAGAGCAGCGCCAGGAATACCGCAGCACTCACTACCGCGTACAGCACCGCCTGCAGGGTCGGGCTCACCAAACCGGGCAGGCTGGCTCGGGAACAAGGCGCGGCCGAGTAGGTTCGGCAGGGGGTGAGGAGCGGGGAGAGAGGGGGCAGGTTGTGCAGGTGAGTAAAGTGAAGGGATTCGGAATGACGACGGGATGAGCGGGTGGTTCGAGTCGACTCTACCATGGGCGGGTGGTGGCAATGGAATGGGAAGTGCAAAACAGCAAGGGGTGCGGGGAGGAATCGGGAAGAGGGGCGGGGGGGGAGGGGGGAACGGGGAGGAGGCGTGTGGGCGGGGAGCGGAGAGGTGGATGGGGAGGGGAGGGGGTGGGAGGCACGGGCAGGGGAAGGGATTATGCGGGAGGTCAAGAGAAGGAAATGGGAGCCGAAACAGCGTCTTTAGCAGCGGGTGCTTAGGAATAGAGATGAAAATAGAGACGGACACGCGCAAATCCTAAAGCGAACCTCGCTGTAACGAGTAAGAGAAGCACCGCGCGGATGAGCAGGAAAGGAAGGCAAATAGTTACTCAATACAGAGACCTAAAGGAGAGGGAGTCTTGAATCAGCACAAATACCTACACGACTGCGAACCCTTATCAATACAAAGAATTGACCTGCACGAAAGCGAATCCTTCTTTATACAATGACCTACACGAAAGCGAATCCCGCTACAGCGAGGCCGATAATGACGGCGACGATGACGCGGAAGCCCCAGAGGCTGTCGGACCACTTGATGCCGGGCCGCGCGTCGTACTTGGCGCTGCTGGGCCGCACCTGATACCGCTTGCTGGGGTCCATAGCTGCCCGGTGCTGCTCGGTGCTACTCGGCGGTGCTCGGTGCTGTTAGGTCTATGCCGCAGTTGTTTGAAGGTGCTAGCTAGAGGTGCTGGTGAAGAGAATGAACGCTTAACCTATGCAGGCTAAATACTGAAGCATTTAAGAACGAGGATGCTTATATCGAGACTGCTTGAGATGCGGCTCGAATCTTAGCTGAGTCCAAAACGCGACTAGTTAGCTTCGTTGACCGTGCCGCGCAACACGCTTATGTGATTATAGACACACATGCGTTGGTGAGGGACGATGAAAATACTCCGCCGTAGTTTGGGCTCGCTTTCACTGTACAATGAACCGACGCGAATGGAACACCACTTATGGAGGTCGGTCGTGTCGCAGACCACAGAGCACCAGCGATTGAGGTAACTAATCTAGATGTTCTTTCTGACTGTCGGTTTGTGCGGGGAGGGAGGGGAAACGCCGTGACGGGTGATTCTGAATATGAGCTCCTGAACATTGGGAAAGCAGGTGATTTACACTTGGGTGGGCGACAGACGGACCCCTGTGTTCCATGCTGGCGACCTTTCACGAATTACAGAGTCAGGTTGTAACCACTGGCGAAAAACAGAATGTGTGCTGGGGAGGCTTGTTGCCAGCTCTACTTCCTAGGTTCTTCGAAATGTTTACCCAGACTATTCTGCGATAATCTCCAGCTAGGAATTTCCATGTTTTTGGAACTGCACCAGCAGTTTATCAGTGCTTGTTTCAGCAACTGAAAATGAGAGGGCACTGAAAACACTCTGATTTCTCTCAAGGTCAGGTTGGAGAAATCAAAGCTGGATTCTTTCCAAAACTTGACCCCTCGTCGCAGCTAGCGTGGGTGACTTTCAGGGCTGGTCTCAAATATGATTGGCTCGTAAAAAGCACCCGACTGTTCCAGCTGTTTCCGCAGGTTGACACCTTTTTCCTCCTCTTTAGTTAGATCCACTGTCTCTCATTAATTCACACAACAGTTCCTGTTTTTTCCAGCTTGTTCTACTATTTTTAATACCATTACAACTACTCCAAACCGCCGCTAAGTATTCAGAAACGTAGTTTATTTGAGTATTCAGGAATCTCCCAGATTTTTACGTTGATCAATTCGTTGAGAAAATTAACTTGTAAACTGGGATGTGGATATCATTCCATGTTCATAGTACTGGAAGATAATTACAAGCTCTGTTTATCTACCCTCCACTAAACACAGTAATGAAGCCGCTTTAACACGGTCAACATGGGCTCTGCTTTTCATCCACATCACCGCCACCTTCCCTCGTCATCCGACCAAAAGTACCCCAGAAGATGACAGAATTTGGAGCTCCAGCAGCATTCCCGAGTCAGGTGCATTTCTACACTGGCCGTCAGGTGGCTTTTCTGATGATGTCTGATTGGAGGGACAGAAGACATTGCAAGATTCAGGTTCAGCTCAGAGCCTGCCTGCTGGGGTGGGATTCTCTCATCACAATGAAAACGACAACCCACGATTTCCGCGTGGTTTTTACATACAGCGCTTCGATTTGGGAGGGGACCACTCGTCGTCCCTCTTTCCAACCAGCTCTGCCCGCCCGCCCAGCCCTTTTCATTCCGCTCCTCAAATATTTTGCCCGGCCCAATTTCAGTTTTCGGATTTACTGTCAGTTTCATGGGCACAGAAAGTTAGGGCGTATCTATGGTTCGGGTCATGCACTGTTCGGGTCATCCGAGATTCTTGGAAGACCAATCAGGCGAATTTTAGATACACTACTCTAATCCCATTGGTCCTCCCATGACCCAAAGTGTACTGATGACCTGAAGTGGCCTTATGACCCGAACCAAAGTTACGCCCTTAGTCCAGCCCAGCGTGAGGCGAGCTCATCCTCATTCTGTGTGATTTTTGCTGACCCAATTGGCTTGTTTGGGGTAATTTTTACAGGAAAATAGCAGCCTGTCTGGTCTGATTTGATGAAGATGCCCCGACAAGGAACGAATGAGTGCACGTTCATCTCCCCACCTCTCCCAAACCAGCCCCTTCACTACAGTACTCCAAACCTGGACCAAACCAAGCCACTCCGCTCAGGAGAAATGCAACTGCTGTTTACCAACCTAACACCACCTGAAGCAGAGCCTATTTTGCTTTGTACACAAACAGCGCATCGACCTCCTCCGAACCGACCAAGCACCCGCAATAACGTACGTAACTTGACCTACAGAGCAGAATCTGCAGTACGATTGAGAATTATTCTCTCATTTGGATACAAAACCCGACAACCGCGTAACCTGCTGTGGTTGAACCAACTCGGAATAAGCCCTGGGTTTGCTTTGAGGCACTTTCTGAAATCCTGAAGTTAGCGTCCTAGACATCTGTGTTAGCATCCTAGAAAGGTGGTCCTTCTCGTCGCACGACACATGGTGGACCCGACTCCGACCATCCTACTCCACCATTGTGATTCGTGAGTCGCGAGTCGTAACCCTTGTGCATGATTTAGATCCGAAGGCACATTATCCTGGCGTGTCTCGCGGCAATCTACCCCTCTGATTGACAGGAAATGGCGTGAAAATGAGTGCCTGAAGCCTGTCGCTTCCCCCTCTTGGCCCACAAAATGGAGCCGAGGTGGCCGATGGCGCCTCGACATCACAACCACCGTGACAGACGATACGCGGACGCTCGACTGGGATCTCGCTTTCCCCGCCTTCTCCTCCTCCCCCTCCTCCTCACCTCCCTACTCCTCCCAGTCGCCTTCCTTACCGCCCCAGCAGCAGCGCAATCCACGCCGTATTCCACGCTCGGCGTGCCCGTCGGAATCATCGTCGGCGGGGTGCACAACCCGCTGACGGGCGACATTAAGAACGTCGCATGGCAGGTTAACCTTCGCACGCGACGCGAGATCGGAACGGTCGGCGCGGCGGATAGCGACCCGGACGCGTGGCGCGTGGACTGTAGCGTCGCCACGGACGGCACTGCTTACGTCACGTCCACCACCTCGCGTCTCAACGTCGTGCGCTACACGACAGACGGGCCAGTGGCGCAGCCGGCCGTGAATCTTCCTGCCGGGTTCACGAGCACGATAACGGTGCTCGGAGGACCTTCCGAGAACCTTCTCGTGGTGGCAGATGGGGGGGAGTCGGCAGGAGGGGCGGTCTCGGTGGATAGGACTCTGAATACCGTTACGAAACTGGTGGGATCGGGTTACCAGTGCACGTCGGCGACATTCTGCTCTTCGCCAGCCGCGTCGCCGACAGATTTCCTCGTCCTGACTTGCCACGTCACTGCGGATGACTCTGACGTGGTTGTCACCGTCCCTATCGACCCTGCCACGGGTACATTCCAAACCGAAGCCTCGTCGATTAAATACGTCTCAGCTTCATTCGCGATTCGGCAAGCGGCGTGTTCTCCGGGAGGCGGCTTCATTGCCCTACTCAGATACGATTCGAATACTCTCTACACCTACGCGCTTCCGCTGGCTGGAACCGCGCTTCCCGCGTCGCCGCTTTCATCAACCACGCTTGCCTCAGGCACCCCCTCGACGCTAGTGATCGACGCCACTTATAAGAACGTCCTCGTTACAAGCACGTCTTCGTACAAGACGGGCGGCAACGGGCAGAGCTACCTCGGCACGCTCGACACCGTACCTTATACCGAAACCGGCGGGTGCGCTTCTACCGCGGCTGCCGGCGCGTTTCAATTCTTAACTGCCGGAACCTACGCCCGCTTAGCTCTCTACCCCGGAAGCTCCTTAGAAGCTCCGGTGGCACTAATGGCTATCTGGGAGGGAGTTTATTCCTTGAAGCTTGCAGCAGACGGTGCGGTTCAGACCGATACAGCTGGGTTTATCAATCTCGGTACGGCCGAGTCGGGTAATGATTTCTTCGCTACAGCCGTATGCGTGCAGAAGTTTGTAGCTTCCCCCTCCCCTCCGCCGCCTCCGCCGCCCTCGCCGCCTTCCCCTCCGCCCAATCCCCCGCCGCCGCCGTCTCCGCCTAAGCCTCCTTCCCCGCCCAAGCCGCCCTCCCCCCCGAGGCCTCCCCCAAGTCCCCCAAAGCCGCCGTCGCCTCCACCGCCATCTCCCCCTTCCCCGCCGCCCTCTCCGCCGCCTCCGCCTTCCCCGCCCCCTAGTCCCCCGCCCCCACCGAGTCCCCCTCCTAGCCCTCCGCCAAGACCGCCCCCTCGCCCTCCCCCAAACCCGCCCCCGTCCCCGCCCCCGCGCCCTCCCCCTAGACCTCCACCAAACCCGCCTCCATCCCCGCCCCCGCGCCCGCCCCCCAGACCTCCCCCACGCCCGCCCCCATCCCCGCCCCCGAGCCCTCCGCCCAAACCTCCCCCACGCCCGCCCAAGAGCCCTCCGCCTAAACCACCTCCGCGCCCGCCCCCCAGCCCCCCCAAGCCCCCCAAGGCGACCAAGAAGAAGGCAAGAAGAGCTCTGGAAGTGGGCGGGCGGGTGGGAGTGGGGGGAGTGGAGTTGAGTAACAGGCGGAAGCCTCCTCCGCTCCCCGCTGTGGGGGGAGTGGGGGGAATGGGTGGGGTGGGGGGGGTGGGGGGAGTGGGGTTGAGTAACAGGCGGAAACCTCCTCCGCTCCCCGTAGTAATGACGGAGAGGGAGGGTGGAAACGCGCTTCTGCTTCCGTTACAGTTGCCTGGTAAGTGTACTCATTCTCGTAATGGTACAGGGTACTTGGTTGTTGCAATTGTACTTCTCGCCTCCCAATTTCCCCATTCCATTTTCCTCCAACCTATCTCGGCCCCGTTTGTTTTCCTCCTCATCGTCCTATTTAGCAACACCCTGGATATGTCTCATTCCTCCCGCAATCTCCGCCTTCTCTTGATTGACCTTTTCCCACACCCTCCATCCCTCCCACCCTTCCTCCCGTCCTTCCCCCCACCCGTCTCCATCCCCTCCCTGCCTCTCTTCTCCCCATTTGTTTGCCTCCTTCCCTCATCCCTTCCCACTTTGCCTCCCACTATCACCCTGCCTGCTCGAGAGTTGCCTCTGTTCTCACCCCATCTCAATCTCACTGCAGTCGCCCCTGAACACCAGCAAAATGCAGAGATGGAAACTCTAGAAAATCTCATGCTTCGTCCTGATGTTGCAATTCCATCTAAACACACTTGCATTTTCATCCTCCCGTTTTTTCTGTTTTTGTGCAGGAAACCTATGACCCAAGGCTGCCTTGGTTTTGCAAATAATGTAGTAGTAGCCTTTCACTAGAACCTCTACAAATCAGTTCTGTGATTCAGTCTGCAGCATTTGCTTTGCTATCAACATTTCACACGTCGCTATGTCAATAATTGATCCTGTTTTTGTTCTGTAATTTGCGCCTGTAGTACTACCTCACTCTAATAGTGCGTTCGTTCGTATGCAAGTGTTCGAATCTATAGATATTTTGAATCCATCAAGCAGACAAATTCTTGCCTCGATGCAGTTAGATGCGACAGAAGAAGCAACAAGAGTCACCAGATCCTGCCAGTTCTCGCATGAGGAGGAACCAAACCAAACAGCAATTCCCGCGTTCACGTTTGCTCGTTTTCCCCCTTTCGCCAGATGGCCTCCCCCGAGCTAGACCAAATGTACATCCTCTGCGGAGCCAGCTGTGGGTGAGGGGGGGAACGGGTAAGGGAGGGATTCGCCAATCTCGCCATGGTTCGGCAGCGAGTGAGCACTGAGATGCTCCCTGCCACGTCTGTGTGCTGGTTGGAGAAGATATTGTACACCTGAGGTCACTCGTGGCGGGAGATGGTGTCAGGAATGGAATGGATGGAAAGCCTCTCGGCTCGGATTGCATGTGGTGAGTCCCGAATTTTCGTGATTCTGTCACAGTTTTCACAACAACAGTCCTGCCCGGATTCCAAGTTTCGTGATTTTGTGTTGTTGCCGTGCGGTGATCTGAAGCTGATTCGTGGCCAAATTTCGTGTGGATTTGCATTTCGACATTTCCGAAAACAAACGATGAACCTGTATCCTTAGCAAATCACGTGCGGCAGCATTTCAACTTCCAAACCAAAATTATCTCGGTTGACTCCAAAGAGGCGGTCAAATTGTCATCTGGTCTGCCGAACGCGCCTGGTTTACTGTATCTTTGATGCGGAACCGAAGCCAGCTAGCCCCCCGAACCGAACCCAGCAGTGCCTCTCGCGCAGCCGGATGCCCACTTGAACCAAACCAAACCTCATCCGTTCTTTCGTCGGCTCGGCACGCCGAACAGATTTGTTCGGGCTTGCGGTGCGGCTTCTTCTGGAGGGGAAGTGAAGGGAAGGCACATTACGGAGCGCAGAGGGGAAATGCATACCGTGTGTGCGTGCAGTGCACTGGGCGACGGTGGCGCCATAAAACATGGGTACAGTTCCCCTTTCTTCCTCGTCCCTCTCTAGCTGAAAGAGCCCATTCGTCCGCCATCCGCCGCTGCCTTTATGGTGCTTTATGAAGTTCATCCGCCCTTACCTCATTCCAACCGTTTACGTAGCTACGCCTTGCTCGCCTGTCCCAGGCTCCTGTGATCACTACATGCAAGGTCGGCATTGCACTCCAGTGCTTCTGGGTGGGTAGTACAACAGAGTAGACCATACTCTTCCAGCTTTGATTTACGTGCTAGAAGGAGAAGAAGCAGAAAAAGAAAACAAACCAATTTTTAGTAGTTCAGACTCTCTCCGCGGCAGCCATGTCGAAGCACTACCGCGCCATCCGCAGCTTCTTGCCCACCGCAACGGCGGTCGGAAAGCGACTCTCGCGGCAGACCTCCCAGGAGATCGTCCTAGGTGGCGGCATCGGCATTCCTCTGCCAGAAGTCTCCTCGCTCGTGCCGCGTAGTAATACAATCACGCAATCATCTCTCGGCGCGCTTCGCCCCAGCGGCCCCGCGATTTCCGCCACGTCCTCCGCTGTTTCCGCATCATCCGGCGGCGCGCCTTCTGCGGCAGTCGCCCCAGCTGAATCCTCTTTCCGGAGAAATCACGATCACTCCTGCTCCCCGTCTCTCTCTCCTGCAGCAACATCCTACCCTGCAACCCTATACCCCTCATCCACTTCTGTACCGACAGCCTGTCCTGCTCCTGCCCGTGCCACCGCGAGTGGAACCACCGGCGGCGATCATCGCCGATTCGTCAAGCCGCCCATAGCTGCCGTCCTTCCTATCTTCGGCGTAACTCGCCGAACTTTCCCAGGCCCCTCTCCACTTTCCAGAGGAATTCCCGGGTCCTGGTCCGATTCCGGACCCGCATTTGCAGCAAAGAGCGCATTCCCCGCCTCTGTTCCCGCCGCTGTTTCCGCCGCCGCCGCCGCCGCCGCCCCCACTCCACCCACACAATGCGCGGTACTGCTTCGTCGTTGTTCTAGCTCTGTCACGGGTTCCGGCGTTTCAGATGCTGAATTTCTGCAGCATGATTGGATGCAGCGAGCCGCGTGGATGCGGTTGGCCACAGCGGGGGATGCGGGCAATGGCGCTGACGATGCGGCTACTGACGTGGCGGAACGCGAGTACAGCGGGCGGAGGGACGATAAGATCGGCGACAATGGCGAGAAATGCATGGCGATCGCGGATGGTGCTAACACTCTTGACACAACGGATCGAGCAAGCGAAGCCGATCAAGCTGAAGAGGGTAAAACCGTTGATCCCCGCGATGGCGTGCACGTAGCATCACGGCCTCGTCATGGTCAAGCCAGATCAGCAACGCATTTCCTTCCGAAACCCCCAGCGGCGCCATTGACTAATCTTGAATCAGTTCTTATCGAGGACGAGGACCCTGCGTACTGGGTCGACAGTTTGCAGACGTACCACAGCGCCGGATGGATCGGCAGCAACCAACATCGCCACCACGAGCCGCTTCACGATCGTTTAGCCTCTGCTCGTGCTCCCGACGACACGTGTCAGATATCACGCACGAGTCGTTCGTATTTGCATGATCATGAGACCAATGCAGCAGGGTGGTTGGACGACAGGGATAGCGTGGCAGCAGAATCATGGGTGAACGACACCCGTCGATCGCTGGACGAGGTGTGGATGGACAGCGCGCGATCGCGCATCCGCGACGCGGCGCTGCAGCTGGTGGAGGCGCAGCAAGCGGCGCTGGAGCACAGCAGAGTCGCGTCAGCCATGGAAGCTGCAATGCTAGAGAGGCAGACGAGCCTTGGAAGGCAAAAGAGCTTGGGGAGGCAGACGAGCCTGGGGGGGAGCCCTGGGGGGAATGGGGCAGGAGGGAAAGCGAGGAGGAGAATGCTCTCCTGGTCACCTCCCGCCAATGACGTGGGTGTGAGTAGGAGCACGCGCAGCAGTCCGATGCGCAGGCTTGGTATGGGAGGTTGGGGAGGGGGAGCAGATTGTGACAATGTGGAGGTTGCTTGCAACGGGGATGGTCATGAGGCTGATCTGGCTGGAAGGGTTCGTGTTGAGGGTTTGATTGCGCGTGCTGGAGGAAGCTCACCGTTGGGAAGGGTTGGTATGATGCTCCGTTTAGGGAGTTCCAAAGGAATAGTTTCAACAAGTTGATGGCTATGTTCATTGGTACCTGGTACCTCCCTTGTTGGCTATTGATAGTCTGAAATATCGATGCAGTGCACGTGTGGCTATCTTCAAGATGTCTCAGAAGATTAGTTGAATCATTGAACTCTTTTTATCTCAATCTCACAGTGTGATTCACACTGCCCAACTTGAGATGTGAGTCAACAACACTACCTAGGAGTTTGACCTATTATGTACGTTACACAAGTAAAACAAGTGTAGTCTACGTATCAAAACTATTCTTCCTAAACCCTAGGAACCTCGCTCATCAAACCCTAGGCAACCCCATGCCCTTGCCACCGTGAGTTGATTGTTGCGGAGGAGGATGTGCAGGAAGCAACAAACCAGCCTTGGAACTCTCGAGTTTGTTTGTGGATAGTACCGTTGATTTTAGAGAGTGACTTAGCTGAGGGAGCAAGAGAGGTAGCTGTTCTGACACTGCTGGATTGTCTGTCCTTCGCGACACGGCGTCAAACATTCGCCTTGCTTGCTAAGCGACTCGCCAATGGCGCAAGCGGTGTCGCTTGTCGCTTGTCGCAGCTCCTCGTGTTTCCCTCCAGAGCTCCGTTGCTTTGTGATCGGGTAAGGCACTTTAGGACTGGTTCATAAGGGAAGCGTTTCGAGACGAAGGTTCCAAAGTAATTTAGTAGTCAAGCGTCATGTTCTATGTCCTCGATAATGGCTTCTAGCATACCTATTTCCTGAGACCCGGTAGGATGGAATGCTTCGCTTTCATAATGTATTTGTTCGATCGTCAGCGTGGTCTCGGTTCCTGAGAGCCAATATCACAATACCTATCCTAACGTGCATTTCCTTCGTGCAATGGCTTCATTTTCTTTTTACCTCGGAGCCACGCCAATGTCAGAGTGCGAACCCTGTCCCGAGTCGACGTGACTGCACTATCCTGTTAGTTCGGTATACTGAGAGCTATGATTGATGAAGTTGTTCGTTTGTTTGGCTCCATCTAACGAGCGCCTAAGGCAGCTAAACCGCTGCCTTTTACCCTATCGGAAACAATGTATCCATTGCCCTCCCGAAGCAATGTACATCCGTACCCGCTGTGAGCCATTCGCTCTCCCGCTCTGCTTCTCCCCATCCTCTCGTCCCATACTTTGACGGTGAAAACTTTTCCGCCCTTCCCTCCTATCTGGTGACCTGCATTCCGCCTTGGTGCTCTGGCAGCCTGCTCCGTTCGTGTGCCTACCGTCACCGCCACCCGCCTCCACAGCGATGCTAAGGTACGCGATTCCGTCCATTCCGCCGTCCATCTCCGCCGTCCATCACCGCCGTCGTGCGACTCAGCTACTGCTTTCATTATTTCTTTCTTTCTTTCACAACCGAGTCCCAGTGTATTCCTGTTTCAGTCCCGCCTCCCCACTTCCGTTTTACTCCTTCCTCTTGGGCTTAGACACGCCCATGCCACCTCGTTTACCTCGTCTTCCCCTCGTACACTCCTCTCCACTCCTCTCTACTCCTATCCACTCCTCTCTGCTCCACGCTCACCTCAAGCGTCTCATTGTACTCCCGCGTCTTAGTGTCCACCAGCTCGATCTGCACTGGCTTGCCATCCCGAGCAGGGGTGATCTGAGAGGGGGAGGGCTCGTTGCATTCCGCTTTGTTCCTACTGAACCTCCCGTTCCCGTCCCCCTTCCCATTTCCTTCCGCACTCGCCATCCCTGTGCTCTCCTCGTGAATCCATATCGCGCGCACGCACTGACCCGTCTCCGTCCATGCCCCCGGCCTCTCTTCCGTGCTAATCCTCGAAGCTAAATTCCCCTGGTTCGTTTACGCAGCTTGTGTTCCTGGTCTTTACAGTTTTCAACGCCTTCAATGAGGCTTTGCATTCTTCCAATCCTCCCCTCCCCGTGCGCCCTCGGCCCCCTCCCTGCTCTCTCCCGGAATTCTCCTTTCCGCCATCTATCGGCAGCGGCGCGCAGTGACGTGTCAAGCCGTGGTCGTGGCTGCCGCTGACGGCGCACCTGCCCCGCCTGCGTGTGAGTACACTGCGATGCTTCTCAAAAGAGAATATTATCAAAAGCGTTGCTTCTCACGAGCGATGCTTCTCATTTGTTGTCTCTCGTCTCTTCGTCTTCCACCCCGCTTTTGCTACGACCTTGCATTTTCTCCAGTGTGTATCGACGCCTCTTGACTCGACGCACACCTTGATCCGTTCCGGTGTCCGTGCCTTGTCCGCGTGTTGCCAATTCCGTCACCCTGCCAATTGCGTGTGAGCAGTCGGCAAGGGCAACATCGTGCGGGTGGACAAGAAGGAGAAGTACCCTTGAGTTGATTCTCGAGTGATTGCTGTGCGCTGTCCATGTGATGCCACTCCTGTGATTCTCTGTGTGAGCAGTTGGCAAGGGCAACACCATGCGGGTGGACAAGAAGGAGAAGTACCCTTGAGTTGATTCTCGAGTGATTGCTGTGCGCTGTCCATGTGATGCCAATCCTGTGATTCTCTGTGTGAGCAGTTGGCAAGGGCAACACCATGCGGGTGGACAAGAAGGAGAAGTACCTTTGAGTTGACTCGAGTGATTGCTGTGCGCTGTCCATGTGATGCCAATCCTGTGATTCTCTGTGTGAGCAGTTGGCAAGGGCAACACCATGCGGGTGGACAAGAAGGAGAAGTACCTTTGAGTTGACTCGAGTGATTGCTGTGCGCTGCCCTGTCCATGTGATGCCACTCCTGTGATTCTCTGTGTGAGCAGTTGGCAAGGGCAACACCATGCGGGTGGACAAGAAGGAGAAGTACCTTTGAGTTGACTCGAGTGATTGCTGTGCGCTGCCCTGTCCATGTGATGCCACTCCTGTGATTCTCTGTGTGAGCAGTTGGCAAGGGCAACACCATGCGGGTGGACAAGAAGGAGAAGTACCTTTGAGTTGACTCGAGTGATTGCTGTGCGCTGCCCTGTCCATGTGATGCCAATTCCGTGCCCCTGCGTGTGAACAGTCGGCAAGGGCAACATTGTGCGGGTGGACAAGGAGAAGTATTTCTGAGTAGAGAGTTGACTCAAATAAACTCTGTGCGCCTTGTCTGCGTGATCCCAATTCCGTGCCCCTCCGTGTGAACAGTCGGCAAGGGAAACTTTGTGCAGGTGGACAAGGAGAAGTACCTCAACAGCGCGTATCAATTTGACTAAGCTAAACACACCTTGACCCGTTGCCCATGCCTTGTCCCTGTGATCCAACCCCGTGCCCATCCGTGCGTGCAGTCGGCAAGGGCAACATCGTGCGGGTGGACAAGGAGAAGTACCTCACCAGCGTGGAGGTAAGCAGCTGCTCAAAGGAGTGGGTGGGTGGGTGGGGTATGAAGGCATTGGGAGCAAGAGAGGGTATTGGGGGTATGAGGGCATTGGGGGTATGAGGGCATTGGGGGAATGAGGGCATTGGGGGTATGAGGGCATTGGGGGTATGAGGGCATTGGGGGTGAGAGGCCATTGGGGATATGAGAGCATTGCCACTCCACTCTCTCCTCCCGACCTCCTCCCTTCACTCCCCACCCTCCACATTCCGCGCTCCCCTTTGCCCTCTTCCTCTCTATCCGTCTCCCTCTATCCGCGCTCCGACTTTGTCCTCGTCTTTCCATCTCTCTTTATCTGCACTCCTCTCTCCTTGCCCTCTTCCCCACCCCACCCACCCCCCCCCCTCTCCCCCCCCCCCCCCCCCCCCTTCGTCTTTTCATCGCCATCCGTGTGTCAGTTCAAGGCAGTGAAACGTCCGCTCATCCTTATGCGCAGTCCCTCTCCAACCCTCCTCCTTCCCCCTCCCCCTCCTCCTTCCCCCTCCCCCTCCTCCTCCCCCTCCACGTCCCCGTCCCCGTCCCTCCCGCGTTTCCGTACCCACGTTCGCACATTTCCTTGTTGAGACGTCGCAAAACAGCCATCTCTTTCCACACTCCTTTAGCTAAGGCAGTCAGTTGTCCACCTTTCTCAACTGCCAATTCCCCCCTTCTCCCCTGCGTTTCCCCCTTCTCCCCCCTGCGTTTCTCCCCCCCGCCCTTCGTTTCCCCCCTTCTCCCCCTCTCCCCTGCGTCCCCCCCCCTCTGCCCTGCGTTCCCTCCCCCCCCCCCTGCGTTTCCCCCCCCTCTTCCCTTCGTGTCCCCCCTTCTTCCCTGCCTTTCCCCCGTCTTCCCTGCATTTCCCGCCTCTCCCTCTTCCCCCCTTCCCCTCCTCCCTTTTTTTCCCGTACTCCTTTCCCCATTCCCTCCACCATGCCTCCTTGCACACTCCCGTTGCGCCCACTCCTCCCTCCCCCACTTCCCCCACACCCACTCTCCCTGCTCCCTCTCCCCGCTCTCCCGCTTCCCCTTTTCCCGCTCCCCCTGCTCCCGCTTCCCTCGTTCCTGCTCCCCTTCTCCCGCTCCCTCCCCGCCCACTCCCCGCTCCCCCACTCCCCTCCTGGCCCCCCGTCGCCCACTCACCCTACGCGCACGCCCCCCGCCAGTTCAAGGCAGTGGACCATCCGCCCTTCTTCACGGGGCTGGACGTGAAGACCCGAGGCGAGGCGAGGTGCGTGGTGTGTTGTGGGGTGTGTGTAAGCTTGGTTGGGCTTTAACCACCTGGCTGGCCAGAGGCGAGGTGAGGCTCGCAGGGGAGGGGGGGGAGAGACGCATTGGGGGGGGTGAGGGGGCGCACTGGGGGGAAGGGGGGAACTTTACGCACTGGGGGGTGAGGGAGCGCACTCCCCCCCGCCAGTTCAAGGCAGTGGACCATCCGCCCTTCTTCACGGGGCTGGACTACATCTACCAGGCCCGAGGCGAGGTGAGGCTCAGAATGGTTACTTACCACGTGTTTCGCGGTAACCACTGTAAGGGTGGCACTGCCATGCCACCATCCGCCCTTCTTCACAGGGCTGGACTACATCTACCAGGCCAGAGGCGAGGTGAGGCTCGGAAGGGTTACTAGAGGTTATGTGGGATGCAGTGAGGTTGGTACTGGTTGCCACCATCCGCCCTTCTTCACGGGTCTGGACTACATCTACCAGGCCCGAGGCGAGGTGAGCGAGGCACTGGGAGTGTGCGGCGCAGTGAGGGGTGAGGGGGCGCACTGGGGTTACCCAACTGTGCTGTCCCTCCCTCTCTGTACCTTCTTCCCCTTCTATCCTCTCTGTCTCGGCTCAATCAACCTCTCTCCCTCCCTCTCTCAACCTTCTTCCCCCTTCTATCCTCTCTGTCTCGGCTCAATCAACCTCTCTCCGTCCCTCTCTCAACCTTCTTCCCCCTTCTATCCTCTTTGTCTCGGCTCAATCAACCTCTCTCCCTCCCTCTCTCAACCTTCTTCCCCCTTCTATCCTCTTTGTCTCGGCTCAATCAACCTCTCTCCCTCCCTCTCTCAACCTTCTTCCCCCTTCTATCCTCTTTGTCTCGGCTCAATCAACCTCTCTCCCTCCCTCTCTCAACCTTCGTCCCCCTTCTATCCTCTTTGTCTCGGCTCAATCAACCTCTCTCCCTCCCTCTCTCAACCTTCTTCCCCCTTCTATCCTCTCTGTCTCGCCTCTACCTCTCTCCCTCGCTCTCAACCTTCTTCCCCCTTCTTTCCTCCCTGTCTCGCCTCTACCTCTCTCCCTCCCTCTCTCAACCCTCCTCCCCCTTCTATCCTCTCTTTCTCGCCTCTACCTCTCTCCCTCCCTCTCTCAACCTTCTTCCCCCTTCTATCCTCCCTGTCTCCCCTCATGCAGATCTTGGACCTTAAGGAATTCAGCGGCAACCAGTATGCGCTGGTAAGCTATCTCCAGTAGTATATATATCTGTGTGAGTGTGTTTGAAAGCAATGCATTTTATGCCAAACTCTATGTATGTCCAGCATGCATGCGTCCCTCCCCCAGTTCATTTTAGTCCTAGGCACGAAGGTCCAGCGCTCACATAAAATAATTCGAACAATTCAAGTTGTGTTTTGAGTCGACTCAAAAGTCGCTTGCATAAATAATTGGAATGGTACACTCATGCCCACCAGTATGCTTTATTTCCATTGTTTTTCATTTTCGTTGCTCTTTCAGCTTTCTTGGGCTGGAGTGCCTTCCCCTGCATGGCTTCCCACCAGCATGCTCATCAAGGTATGTATGGATCATGTGCCATGCATGGATGGAATGATATTTGTTCCATGCAAGGCTGGTTTCTTCTATGTGCCATGCATGGAAAATTAATGTGCCATGCCTGGATGGTATGTGCCGTGTGCAAGGGTGGTGTGACATGGATGGGTGGTATTTGCCAAAGATGGGTGGTAATGATTGGTATTGTGAGCTTTATGTTTTTTCTGTTTTCTTTTCTGCCAGCAAAGTGCAAGTGGGTATATTTCAGGTTTCATACAATGAGTCATGTGATATGGGGTATGTGTGATGCATGGGATGGAGTCGTGCGCCGCACATCTTTCATTTCCATGCGCTGTGTGTGTAGTGTGCATCTGATGCATGGTATGGGGTCAATGCACACGCATTTTGGCAGGCTGTTTTACCGTAGGTGCATCTGTGTGGGTTATTTACAAGCGGGTCTTGTTCACTGCGGGTGTTAATCATGTGCATAGGGTCTTACGAGCCTTTTTGGGGGTTCCTATTGACATGGGTATTGTATATTTTTTTTCAGGCTCCCAAGCTGTAGTACACATACGGTAAATGCCCTCAGTGCTCTTGCAGTTGTAACAGGTTAAAAAAATACAGTGATGCAAGTGTTATGGAATTCATTGTACGTACGTCCTGGTTGTGGACAGATAATAAATATTGCTGCTTGAAGAGGCTTAGAGTGGGATCATCATGCTTTGCACATTGCAAGGTTGGCATAATTGCAGTGTTTATCTTACGGCCAAATAATTACAATGGAATTCGCATACAGCCTTCTCAAACATCATTGTAATTTACTGACATTATGTGTAAAAACATAACTGAATCAACTGTAAATTTTTACATGTCAAGGTGTAGAATGCGAATCTGCTGCTTTGTATCCTTCATGTTCATGTTCCGAGAAGGTCGGAGCTGTTCGCGGAAGGTTGACTAGGTTCACAAACGAACCCGTCTTTAACGCGGAAGGCCACCTCCTGCTTTGCCTCCTCCCCCCACACCCCTTCTCCGCATTTTTCGCCGGGGAAGCCGCAATCATCAGGCTGAGATGCCTGTCATGCTCCGCAAATCGCTGCTGCGCTTCGACAAGCTCCAGCGCCGCGACTCGAATGCGGCATCGCGCGTCGTCCACCCACCCTGGGTCGCAGGCGCGCGCCGCGTCCAAGCATCCGCACAAGGGCTCCGAATTTCGTGAATTGTAGCTTGAAGCAAGGCCGTTACTAGAAGGGCTGCATTGGCAGCTAGAAACGGATTCGTTAGATCTGCCAGTCGCGCTGCTGCAGGCATCGTTGTTGCTTCGATGGTGGCTGTTGTCGCGATGATTGAACACATCCTGAGGTTCGCATGCGCAAGAGGAATCATTCCTCTCCGGGGACGAACCCTGCGACGAAGCGGTGTAGTCGCAGTCGACGTCATCGTCGTCGTCGCTGCAGAAAATAGGATGCCTTCCGCCGAGCTGCGCCTCCCGCGAAATTTCAAATTGAAATCTCGGCGATACCGCCGCCTCCGCCGCCGCAAGTTGAGAGCACGACGCAGACTCGCGGACGCCACCACTAGCAGCGTCCCCGCAACGATCTCTCGTACCAATAGGAGCAGATGTAGGAAAGAGCGGCGGCCATCCCCCAATCATGCTCTTCATGAGGCGTGTCGGGGAAAAGGATTCCTTCATCTCAAAACGCTCGAAATGCTGCGAACTGGCAACGAATGGAAGACTCTCAGAACTCGACTTCAAGTCGGGGGGGGTCTCTTAACTCGGATCTAAGCCGGTTGCTGAGCAGGAATGTTGGTCGTCCGAAAAAATGTGAAACTGATAACTCCTCGGCGAAACAGATTTCTATGGTGCCTCATGGAGGAAAGGACGACGTATTTATCCACTAGAGAGCTCGAAACAGGGGGAAGGGTACCTTTGCGCAGAGCTCTCCGCGGGGAAGTCATTGCGGGTACGGACAGGGCGGAAGCTCGCCCGCCCGACCATCCCGGCAGAGTCGCGCAAGGTCACAGTGCGAATTGCTGAGGCGCACATTGTAAAATCGCACAGTTCAGGGTATATCTCCAGCAAATGCTCGCTCAGATTCCGGATTTCGCGGGAGCGCTGCTGCATCTTTCGGGAGGACAGTTGACTGAGGGATTGATTGTTGCCTTTCCTGAGTCTTTTATCTCAGGACGCGAATCAGAATCGTAATCATATCTAAACGTAACAACGGCTGCTCGTTGTCGGGCGGTAGCGCTGTAACGTTTGGTGCCGGACACTGCCGTTGTCGCGTTGTATCCTTTGCTAAGGTGAGGGAAATCGCGAAGTGGAACGACAGCGGCGTGGCAGATAACGAGTGGTACTTCGCCGTCAGCTATGGTTCTGGTAGAGATGAATTGATTGGCGAGAAATCGTCGCCACCTCATCCGAGCGACGAAGCGCAGGAACCGGGAAGGGATAGGGTTCGCCACTGGGGCATTCTGGTGGTGCCATTGTCCTTTCCTTACTATCGTCCCGTTGGTTACGAAGCAGGACAGGAACGAAAAGCTACTACAGTACTAGTTACTCTCCGACAAAAATATCCGTTGCTCAGATACGAACACCAGTGCAGTAGAGATTTGGCAAGCCAAGCGACTATGGTTTCTGCTGCTGCGCACAAGCGCTGACGCTGTAGAGTGGCCCTCATAAAATCGCCAGTTCTAGGAGCCAACTCGATTCCGCCGCGTGCAAGAACTCAGACGGGAGGCCCTGTTTGGCTGTGAAACGTTCAGTACCTGAGGTTGGAGGGGGTGGGCTGTTCGTGTGATGACGACGAGTGGAGGAATGGAGGATCGAAAAGCCTGATGTCATGTGTTCCTGGGCTGAGATCCAGCTACACACATGTACTGATCCTATATGTTACTTTTATGCGTTGTACAAGATGCCAGGGAAGAAGATCTCAGGGGAATTTCAGTGTACAAGTGTTGCTCAACTGCTGCGCGCGAATTTGCCCTAACGCGCCAGAAAGTCTGCACCCGTGTAATTTGTGCCAGCTAGTTGCACCTACATTACAAGCACTTCGAACAAGTTGCAGTGACTATGAACCAATAGTAACCACAGAAACCAAAGTCAAACTGAAGAGACCGAGGTCAAAAAGTCAACGGGGAGTTACAAGTTTTTTATAAGCCCTTTTTTGCTAGGTGCGAATTGACGAAACCTATGCGAAATGCAAGAATCACTTAAACGCCAATGAGTAGGGCTACAGTGGTCTACTCAAACGAGCATCATGTGTATTGTACTTAGAAGAGAAGCTGCTGTCTGTGGAAGAGACTGTGTCACGGAGCTGAAAGAACTCCAAAACTCTACCATGTGGTGCCTGAGACCTACTGTATTCATGGACGGGTTTGACACGGGAATTTACACGACAGCCTAAAATTGTACGATGCTTCGCGAGATAACAATGAAATGAGAGTGGTTACCCTCTTCTAGTCGCCCGGTGGAGCTGGACTTGCGACGATTAGCTGACGAAGAACCTGTGATTGACGAGCCTCCTGCTTTCGTAACACCAATTGTCCATCTTGCCGTTTTGGTGCATTCGAAACCTGTATTCAGTCATCACCGACTCTGCTACATATCTCGTATCGTATGTGTTGTACGTATCTACATTTTTTTATGGTGTGTCTAAACATCAAGCCTCCAATCTCCTAAACCCTGTTATTTGTCAAAGCGTTACCAACGTCCATGCCTGATGACGCGTGTAAGTTGTTGCAACTCCCAAGAAATTTTCACTATTGTAGTCGCACCCATGGGAGAAACCCCAAAACTGAACTCAGAAGCTGCCCCCTGGCCTTCTGAACGCCAATCAAGCTCCGCACGCCACGATCCTTCCTGTCATCATGCTCTTCAGGGGAAGAAGCTTTGCATATCTGCCTCCCCGCCGAACCCACATATATCGACGGCACGGCACAAGGACTGGGTTCGCATCTTGTCGGCGCGTCGTTTAACGAGTAGTCGCCTCCGGCCATGTTCATTAATCTCCGATTGTGCTCCGCATATCGTTGCTGCGCCTCGACGAGCTCGAGCGCGGCATGACGGATTCGCGACCGCGCGTCCTCCACCCACTCGGGATCACACGCACGAGCGGCGTCGGCGCATGAAAAGACGTCTGATGTGGCCTGAAGAGAATCACGTGGATCGGTGCTCCAGAACCGAAACGAGCCTCCTACATCTTCTTCATCGTCGAGTAATTCATAGTGTGCAGGGCCTGTGACGGGGACAACCTCATTGCCGGCTCGCCGAACGTCAGTCGCGGAAACACATCTTCGAACGAACCATTTATCAGCTTCCATAGTCACCAGAATACCAGCAGTACGAAGAGACTCCTGTGACGTAGAAACTCCAGACGCGCAGCGGTCTAAAATGTTGCTCAAATGAAGCAGGTCACTAAGAAGACGATGTAAACAAATCTATTCTGAGAGCTGGTAGGCACTCACGAAGCTTGTTAGCGTGTGGGTATCTGAAGGCTGATGCGTCATGTAGGTGGAATTTGTGGTTCGACGCATTTTTATTACAAAGATGGCGAATGCGACATTCATGAACCAGAAAAGCGACCGCCAAAAGACACGGTTGAGCAGCATTTGAGGGGGCATTTATCTTAGCGGTAACACTCTTGGAGCTCGATCGCACGCGAGGTAAGCCACGTGTCCAAATCGTAACAGAGATGTTTTCTTATCGCCACGATGGTAACCATCATTCCCAGATGGTCAACATTATTGCCTGCATGGTAATGAACAGTGCATCCGGAAATCCTGGCTGGTAACTTCGCGTTCCAACCAAACTGTACACCGTACAAGTCAGGTTTGACTCAGCGAAACGATACTGACTGTCAACGTGTACCCCACAGAATGCGCATTTCTGTTTATAGTAGCGACGTTGACAATACCAGACAGTAAAACCGCGATATGGTAACCCGTAATCTGTAAATAAATTTAAAAACAAACAAAGAAACAAAAATAATTAACTATCAAACAAACACCACAAAAAAACACACAAACACACACAATGTCAAACGGAAAAGCTATCCTAGTGATAAATATTTTTCAAAACAATATTTTACCCTATCAAAAATATATTTCAGAATATTAGGAATTGGAGCTAGACCTAGTTACAAAAATTTCAATATCAATTTGAACAATATAAATTTTGCATATGATAGACAATAAATGTTGCATAAAAAACCTTTTATATATAAACAAAATGCATTCAAGGCATGATATAAACTGTATGAACAGATAATTAAGTAACAGTTTTTAAATAGTCAGGCTAGATTTGTTTTCTTTCGGAGTGTCCGTAAGATGCTTGCTATAATAGTGATAATTTATTATATCGAATAGTGCATGTAACGTTTTGCGTTTGTAAGCGTTCGTTTACTAAACAGAATTGCGCATTCTGTGGGTGTATACGTGGACAGTCAGTTTCCTTTTTTCTGAGTCAAACCTGACTTGTACGGTGTACAGTTTGGTTGGAACGCAAAGTTACCAGCCAGGATTTCCTGATGCACTGTTCATTACCATTCAGGCAATAATGTTGACCATCTGGGCATGTTGGTTACCATCGTGGCGATGAGAAGACATCTCTGTTACGATTTGGACACGTGGCTTAACCTCGCGTGCAATCGAGCTCCATGAGTGTTACTGTTAAGATAAATGCCCGCATTTGAGGGACCTGGCTGGACCGAAACTGAGGTGGCAACATTGGTGAAGCGATGAGGAAATAATTGCGCGACGCGTCCGTTTTCAAATTTTCCTCAATCCTGTAGAGTACCCTCGCACCACGTTCCCCCCTTTCTGATATCTCTCAATCCCGTGGAGGTCCACAAGCGCTTTCGCGATATGTTTATACTTCTTCAGGAAAGAGTGATGGAATTTTTCTGTTGGAAGTTACGTTATCACACCAGGCATGGTTTGCCCTACAATGTCAGTTTCTTTTAATCTCACAGGTTTATTACGGGGTACAGTTCCGTCTAATTTGTCTCTTAGTCAGGTGCGCGAATCCATGCGTGTCGTTAGGATTGGTCCACATGTAATGTATTAATGAAATTTTGTCTCTTTAGTCGGTGTGTAATGATTTCACGGTACAGTTGTCGTTACACTGAAATCCACCGCCCTCACGCAACTGTGCATCATGAGTGCCAGCAACTACGCAAAATGACAAATCCTACGAAACATTTGCAACCATTAAATCTGGATCGCGTCTGATGCGCATCACCCTAAAGCGTGGAATATCAGGGACTCTACTGTGGTAAGTAACACTTACGCGGAGTGACCAGACGATGATGGCCGGTGTAGAAACAAGTGGAACTCCACGGGATTGAGAGATATCAGAAAGGGGGGAACGTGGTGCGAGGGTACTCCACAGGATTGAGAAAAATTCGAAAACGGACGCGTCGCGCAATTATTTCAGCGATGAGACTCTGCAGCCGAATGCATCGGAAGAACGGAAGGGCCAAACAGAAACTAGGCTGAAGGGCCGAAGTCAGGACGCGCCGAAAGTAGACGATAGATCGTCAGTCAAGATCGATGTGCGTGTGGGTTACCCTATAAACTTGGCTGTAACGGTAATCCAGTACGCTTTCTGGCCAAAATTTCTGTACAGTGTGAGAATGCGACTGATCACTGTTCGCAGGAAATCTGTCAATTTTCAGCCGCGATCGTTACAACGCCGCGGTCGCCACGTTTTGCCAGACGATCTGCCCACTCGATTGTGGGGATCGATAAATGCAGACGATCCTGCGATATTTGCACTTCAACGCGTCCTCTGTTGTGGGGAGGGGATGTGAGGAGAGGAGTAGGGGTGCGGTGGAAGGGGAAGAGGGGGGTGGGTGCGGTGCGGAGAGCGGAGCGACGTAACGTAACGTCGGGTGAACGGGGTGAGCTGAGCCGAACCCAGCCATATTGGGGGGGCGCAACGAATGAGGTGAGAGAGAAGGAGATGGTGACGGGGGCGCGGGAGAGTGGGCTATTGGTCTATAAGGGGGAATAAGGGTCAGGAGCACGCGTCGGAGCCAATTGGGGTCGAGGAACCGGATGTTGTTGGTTTGGGGATTGGCTGAATGAAAGTTGAATTTCAGGGAGGATTCGTTCAGAGGACCTCGGCTGAACGCGATGTGCGGGGAGGAACAGAGAAATGCGATGCGCAGAGGTTGACGGAAGGGAGCGGGCGGAAAGGGAAACACAAGACCACAGAAGAAGTCGCATGAATCGAGTTCGACCCAGAGAGCAGGCAACTTGTCCCGCCGCATATCAGCGGCATCATCATCACCCACCCACTGGGCCACCACCACACCACCACCAGAAACAAACACCACAGACTAGATGCGAAGGATTGTTATTTCAGGACACCCAGTTCACCCTCCATCTCGGTCATCCCAAATGCATTGCTTCTAGCTCATCCACAATCATATTGACAGTTCGCTACATAGCAAGCAACGACATTGGCCACATGCAGCATTTTTTACCAGAAACATACTCGAGGATAAACGACGAATAAAAACATACAGACGTTGACCAAAAATTATTTAACCAGATTGTCTGTGGTTGACCAGATTCAGCTGAAACGTTTGGACTGTTTGTTCCAAAAGTCGAGGCATGTGATTCGCTGCCATTAGGACCGTCAACATGAATCTTCTTGAAATCGATTGGCTGTTTTGACGCATCTGATCAGCAAAGGCCCACCAAAAAAAAAGAACCCAACAAATGCATTCAATGCAGTACGTACTGTGTGTACCGCAGTCGTAACTGTGTCCAGCTGATTCGATAGGAGCAACACATCACGGATGGCACTGCGAGTTCAGTTCCTTCAAGGCCCACTGTACTTATTCTGCTGATTTAAACATGTGGACTTATTACTAACTGGGAGGAAAAAAGGTAGGTATGTGGAATAACAGCATGTGTTACCGTACAACATGTACCAGGCTATGGTAGAAAGATTGCGAGGAGCAGGATGAATGGGAGCCAAGAGTATCCCGGAGATAGTATGAATGCGAGGGGACCAAACGCACCCACCATGAATCGGCATTGCTGCATGCACAGAAAACGGGAGGACAGCACAGGAGAGGCAGATGAGTAGATGCACCAACCATTCGTCATCAATGCAAATGCTGTAGAAGGAATACCGTACGAATGCATGGGGGCCACCATTCACCCGCCAAGAACCCAACTTCCCTACCAGGTCCCAATAAACAACCTCGAATTTTCCCGGAGGTACATGAGAATGGGTAGAAGAGCAGCAGCAGATTGTTGAGACGATTCAGAAGTTATACTCAACTTCCCTACCAGGTCCCGACAAACTGACTCAAACTCACCCGGAGGTACACGAGTGTGGGCAGAGGGGCCGCAACAGATTGTTGAGACATGTCCAAAATCACACCCAACATCCCTACCAGGTGTCAATGAACCGATTCAAACTCACCCGGAGGTACACGAGGGTGGGCAGAGGGGCCGCAACATATTGTTGAGACATCTCCAAAATCACACCCAACTTCCCTACGAGGTCTTAATAAACTAATTCAAACTCACCCGGAGGTACACTAGGATGGGCAGAGGGGCAGCAGCAGCGACGAGTGCAAGCACAGCCACCACCTGCCCTGCCCTGATGGGCGACCCACACCCCATGCCCCACTGCTGTTTCCTGCTTTCCCTCCCCTCTCACCCAGAACCTCCCGCACAACTCCAAATCTCTGCCAGGTCCCAATAAACTGTCTAAAACTCACCCGGAGGTACACGAGGGTGGGCAGTGGCGCAGCAGCAGCCACGAGTGCAAGCACCACGACCACCTGCCATGCTCTGATGGGCGACCCACACCCCATGCCCCACTGCTGCCCCCTGCTACCCCTGCCCTGCCATCAAGACACCCCCTCACACCTCATGCCCCCCTGCTGCCGCCTCCTCCTGTCCCTCCTGCCCTTGCCAGTGGCTGTGAAGGGGGAAGAGGGATCAGGAGATGGAGCGGCAGCAGAAGCAGCAGCAGCAGGAGGAGGAGGAGGAGGAGAACGAGGAGGAGGGGACCGGAGCCGGACTGCTTCGGATGATGCAAGTCCTCCGTTTGACCCCCTTCGCCGCAGCGTCTTCACCCCGTCGCCTCCTTCACTCCCACTGCTACAGCCGCTACAGCTGCTGCTGCTACTACTTCTGATAATGATGCCGTCAGCAGCAGCAGCTGTAGCGGCCGCAGCAGCTGTAGCGGCCGCAGCAGCTGTAGCAGCTGCAGTGGCTGCTACAACCTCTGCAGGTAAATCCACGCCTGTCCCATCCTCATCACCCTCTCTTCCCCATCCACCTGCCTTCCCTGCTGCTCCCCCTTGCCCGTCCCCTCCCCGTCCCACCAATGCTTGCCTCTCCTCCTCCTCCCCCTCCCCACCCCTCCCCCCCCTCCCTTCCAAACAACATCCTCCCCTCTCTCCCCTCCTCTCTCTCTCCCTCTCTCCCCGTCTCCTTTGAGAGCGCCAGTTTCACCCAGCCAACGAGAGTGTGCGGGCCGCAGGGTGAGAGGAGGGCGGATCGGAGAAAGAGGAGGAGGGGAAGCACGAGAAATACAGGAACAGTGACAAAGACCAGAAAGGGCTCAACTGTAGTCACTATGTCTGGAACAGCGAGGTTGGATGTGAGAGGGGAGTTGGAAAGGGCTGGAAACGAGGAGGAGGAGGAGGAGGAGGAGGAGGAGGAGGAGGAAGAAGAGGGAGGAGGGATGGGCTCGCAGGGGGGAACAGCCCAGCCGTAGATCGAGAGAGATCCGACGGCGCAGGAGGGTCCGAGAGGGCGAGCCCAGAACCAGGGGAAGAGGCAGAGGTAGAGGAGGAGGAGCAACGAGAGGGGCCAGGCCGAGGAGTAGGAAGCAGCGAGGTAGATGTGTAGTAAGAGACGTAGGAGGGCGAGGAGAGCAGAGGAGAGGGATTTGACGAGAGTGAGAAGAGAGGAGGAGAAGGTTTGTAGATGGGAGTTTGAGGGAGGGTGGTGGGAGGGGGAAGCCGGAGAGGGGGAGGTGAAGACGGAGGTGGAATGGGGGGTTTGTCTGACTGTGGCTGGAGTGGTGGAAGGAGAATGAGAGGAGGCCGAGTGAGTGGCGTGAGTGGCGTGATTGGTGTGAGAGGCATGAGAAGAGTGGGAAGGGTGAGAAGAGGGAGAGAACTGGGAAGAGGGAGGGGAGATGAGGTATGACAAGGCCCGAGAGCCAAGGAGTATGAGGGCGAGGAAGAGGAGAGGAGAGGCAATAGCAAACACCCAGAGGTCCTCCCAGTCAGTTCCCATAATGGTCCGCTCCAGCCACGTGTGCTGGAACGGTACAGGGCGGTTGAATGCGGTGAAGGGCTGTGGGGGAGATGTGTACACTGATACACCAGCAGCAGCAGCACCAGCAGCAGCAGCAGCAGCATCTAACAGTGTTTCTTCAGCAGATGCAGCAGAGGCGTCATGTGGAAGAGGAAGAGGAGTGTGGTATGATACCCGGACGGCAAGCCACAGGCGGGAGGAGGGAGAGAAGGGCGGGCGAGCGTATCTCGTCGCGTCCCACGCCGCCCAGAAAAGCGGAGACGGCTGGCGATTGCCGTCCTCTTCACTCCCTCCCTTCTCCACTTCCTCCCGACCCTGCTCCTCCTCACCCTCCCTCGTTAGAGTCACTTCTTCTACTATCTCCATTTCAACCTCCTTTCCACTGCCCGTGCTGCTACCGGTGCTACTGCCCTCTGCACCGCTCTCCCCTCTAAGTTCCACTCGCACTCCTTGCACGCTGCTCCCCTTGCCGCCCATGCCAAACATGCCGCCCAGGATGCCGCCCAGGATGCCGCCCATGATGCCGCCCGGTTCCCGCTCGAGATAGACAACGGCAGACACGTTCAGGATGGGCGGGAGGGAAAAGACAAGCGCTCGAATCTCACCCCCCGCCACCCACGCTGCCACCTGCTCCCCCTGTCCCCCTCCCTCTTCTGCTCCTGCGCTCTTGGGCTGTGATTGTGGCAGGAAGTGAGCGTTGGGCGGGCATGTGAGCAACACCACTGGTTGTTGGGCCAGCAGCATGGGGCCTGGGGTGACAGGGCAGAAGAGAGTAGAGGGTGGTGGGGGTACGAGTTAGAAAGTGGTGGGAGTGTGTGTTGGGCGGGCACGTGAGCAGCACCACTGGTTGCCGTGCCAGCAGCATGGGGCCTGCCAAGGGTAAAAGGGTGAAAAGACAACAGCAGACACGTTCAGGATGGGCGGAAGGGAGAAGACAAGCGCTCGGATCTCACCCCCCGCCACCCACGCTGCCACCTGCTCTCCCTCTCCCTTCTCCTGTTCTCTTTTCGGCAGGAAGTGTGCATTGGGGGGGCATGTGAGCAGCACCACTGGTTGCTGTGCCAGCAGCATGGGGCCTGGTGAGAGAAAGGCAGCGGAGAGGAGGGAAGAGGGGGAGCAAGAGCGGGATTTTAGGGGTAGACATGAGGGAAACATGTGAGCAGCACCACTGGCTGCTGTGCCAGCAGCATGGGGCCTGTCAGGGGTGAAAGAGCGAGGTGGGGGGGGGGGGGGGGGAGAGAAGGCACCCGGTATCCCAAGGGTCACCTTGACTCATTGTTCAACTACTGCAGCCCTTCGAACAATGAGTCAAGCTGCTGTGCCAGCAGCATGGGGCCTGTCAGAGGTGAAAGAGCGAGGTGGGGGGGGGGGGGGGGGGAGAAGGCACCCACGCTGCCACCTGCTCCCCCTCTCCCTTCTCCTGCTGTGCCAGCAGCATGGGGTCTGTCAGGGGTAAAAGAGCGAGGTGGGGGGGGGCGGGGGGATGGTTGGGGCGCGAGAGTGGGCTTCAAGTCAGGCCCGGCAGAAAGGGGAGAATGGTTGGGCCGCTCAAGTGCATGCCAGGCATCTGGTCATGGGCCATGTTGCGAACCACTCAGAGCAACACCTGTTTTGAGCCGACTCAAAACACGACTCATTACACGCGAAAGTGCATGCCAGGCATCTGGTCATGGGCCATGTTGCGAACCACTCAGAGCAACACCTATGCAGATCTGGCTGGGAGGGAGTCACTGCCTCTCCTCACCCACCTGGTGTGATGGGGGTTCTCCTGTGTTTGGGGCGAGAGTGGGACTCAGCAGCTGAAAGTCGCTCAAGTGCATGCCAGAATGCGGGTCAGCGACTTTCATGGCCCATGGGACCAGACAGCGGGTCACGGGCCATGATGCGACCCACACAGCGGGTCACGGGCCATGATGCGACCCACACAGCGGGTCATGGGCCATGATGGTACCATACCCTGGCAGCAAAGGCAAGGCCTTAGCTGGTGTGCTGGGAACAGCAAAGGCCTTACATGCTGTGCCGCAAGCAGCACTGATGGGGAAGGGAACGCATGCAACTGCTTACTCGGGGTAGCTCACTCCTCACTGAAGCTGCTCACCCAGTGTGACGGGCTCTCCCGTGTTTGGGGCGAAAGTGGGATTCAATAGTTGAAAGTCTGTGAATTGAAGGCCAGTCACCGGGTCATGGGCTATCATGGTACCATGGCAGCAAAGGCCTCACCCGGTGTGACGGGCTCTCCCGTGTTTGGGGCGAGAGTGGGACTCAATAGTTGAAAGTCGGTGAACTGCAAGCCAGTCACCGGGTCATGGGCCATGATGCGAATCACTCTGCTGCTGCGCCAGTCACCCACCTCCCACTCCCACAACCCCGCTCCACCGCTCTCCACTCCTGCTCCACCACCACTTGCTACTCCTTCCCTTCCAGCCCCCCCCACCTCCTCTGCACTGCGACTTTCTTCCCCACTCCCTGTCCTTTCCCCGCCTGCCCTTCCACCCAACTGCCGCCCCCTCCTATCCTCCCCCTCCCCCTCCCTTTTCCCTCCACCTCTCACGGCATGCCACCTGTACAAGTGCCGCCCGAACGTCCAGTGCAGATGCCCATTCACGAGCACCATGCGGTTTGCGGCACCATGCACTGCTGCTGCTGATGATGCTGCTGCTGATGATGATGATGCTGCCACTGCGGTTGCATGTGCCAGCAATATATCGTGCATGCGACGCGGAGAGGCAGCAGGGGCAAAGAGGCCCGGGGAGGAGGAGGTGGAGGGACTGTGAGAAGAGGAAGAGGGAGAGAGGGAGGATGGGGAGGAGGGCTCGTGAGTGGTGAAAGCGAGAGGGTAGTGCGAGAACACAACAGCAGGGCCGGGGGCTGAGGATAATCCCTGTGCTGACGTGTTCCATGAGGGTGACGTGGCAGGGGTGGCTGGAAGCGCTGACGTGGCGGCCTCCCATTGGCTGAGAGCAGAATCCAGCGCGTCCAGGTCAGACGTGGTGGGATGGCCGAAGAAGTTGGAGGGTCCTCTGATGCCGACCCGGGGCGCAATGTCGACGCCTAGCAGGAGGATGGGCGGGGATGGGGATGCTGGGCGCATAAAGCGAAAGAGAGGGGGACGAGATGAGGACAAGAGAGCGCAAGATATGAGTGACGAAGTTGGAAGTTGGAGGGTCCTCTGATGCTCACGCGGGGAGCAATGTCGACCCCTAGCAGGAGGATGGGCGGGGATGGGGATGCTGGGGGCACACTGGAAAAAAGAGGGGGGCAGCGAGGGCAGGGCAAGGCAGGGTATGAGTGAGTGAAGACGTTGGAGGGCCCTCTGATGCCCACGCGGGGCACAATGCGGATCCCTAGCAGGAGAGTGGGAGGGTATGGAGATGCTGGGCCAAACGAGGAGAGGGATGGGAGAGAGAAAGATGATGGGGTAAGCAAGAAATTGTAGGGTCCTCTTAGGCCCACGCGGGGCGCAATGTCGATGCCAAGCAGAAGGATGGTGTGTGTGTGTGTAGTCTGCAACGATCCTGGAAGCCCAGGATCTTCCTCTGGTGAAGTTGGAGAATCCCCTGGTGCCCACAGGGGGAGCAATGTCGATGCCAAGCAAGAGGATGGGCGGGCGGGGACGGGGATGCTGGGGCAAACGAGCAGAGCGAGAGGAGAGGGATGGGAGAGCGAGAGAGGATGGGGTAAGCACCAAGTTTGAGGGGCATCTGATGCCCATTGCCCACAGGGGGAGCAATGTCGACGCCAAGCAAGAGGATGGGCGGGGATGGGGATGCTGAGAGAAGGGACGAGAGGGAAGAGAGAGAGGAGGGAAGGGAAGGGCAAGACAGTGCGGTAGGGTGGTGTGGGGTGGTGTGGGGTGAGCAAAGACGTTGGAAGTTGGAAGGTCCTACAGGAGGGAAAGACAGTGCGGTGGGGTGGTGTGGGGAGATGTCGGGTGAGTAACGACGTTGGAAGTTGGAGGGTCCCTTATGCCCACCCAGGATGCCACTATACCACAAACCAAATCTCACCACTGCTCACCACTGCTCACCACTTCTCACCTTTCCCCGAGTCTCCCTCAAAAGGCCGCAGCACCAGTCCCTGCACCCCCCCCCTCCCACACTGCGCGCTGACACTCTGCCGCCCAAAAAAATCCCCCTTGCCGCCTCGAATCGGCACACTGAACGCGTCATGATTACCCCTCAGATCCAGCACCCGGGGGAAGGGTACGCATGAGGAACGCCCGGGAGAAATGGGGTGATTCTGAGTTTGTTCGGTTTGTTGGGATTGAGGGGTGAGGGAGAGCGGCGGAGAGGGGGAGGAGGGCGGGTGGGCGGCGTTGATTGCGCTGCTGAGGGCGTGCATTGCTTGGGAGTAGGCGTGCCATTCTGACTCGTTCTGGGCCGTTGTTGTTCGCTGGCGGTTCTTAGACTCTGAAAGAGGGGGGGGGGGGGGGGGGAAGGGGAGGAAAGGGGAGGAACGAGGAGCGGAGAGGAGGGAAGAGGGATCAGGAACAGGGCGGGTGAGCAGTGTTAATTGCGGTGCTGAGGGCGTGCATTGCTTGGGAGTATGCGTGCCATTCTGACTCGTTCTGGGCCGTTGTTGTGCGCTGGCGGTTCTTTGACTCTAAAAGGGATGAAATGGGAGGGAAGGGGGAGGGAAGGCGGGGAAAGAGGACACAAGGCATGAGAGAACAACAGGGGTGTTTAAATAATGATCAGGAGGGGGTAGAGAAGCTAAGAAACACGCATAAAACATGATGGGGCATAGTGAGGCATAGGCACGCACATGAAACCCAACCCCGTCAGCACGGATATGAAACAGTATCAGCGTTCACATGTAACCCACATCAGCACGCACATGTAACCCCGTCAGCACGCACATGTAACCCCGTCAGCACGCACAAGTAACCCCGTCAGCACGAACGCATGCACGCACCTGTGAGATCCCCAGACACTATAAGCGCAGCAGGCGCTATAACGCGGACAGCTGGCACGAGGTGCACGAGGAGATCATTGGCTCTTGACGGCACGTGCACGCTGACGTGGACGTCCGACAGATGCATCCACCACACCACTCCGCGACGAGCCTCGCCGCCCACCTCCTCCCACCTGAACCCGCCTGCTTGCCGTCCATCGTCAAAAACCTGCCGGCCATCCTGTTGCAGTAAACGCCGTCCACCACCCGGCTGCTGACCGTCTCGTCTTAGCGAATCACCTCTTAACGAGTCTTCACTAGGCGAGTTTCCTGTTATTAATTCCTCAGCTCCTTCTCCCTCTAACAGCGGCGAAGCATACACGAGAGAGACCGACAAACAGAGAAGAAAATACGCAGCAGCTGCCATCGCTTCGCGCTTTGAAGTCGCCACTATCTTAGATCATCTCACGTGTTCGCACACGTGCAGGCTGCGAACTAGCGGGAGAGACGAAGCTGGGCATCTACCTGTCACGCATAGCACACAACGAGCGCAACTCGCTACGCAGTTACCCTAAACAAACGAAAAAATTACACCTCGCTGGGAGCGAACAGATGAAGGGAAACTGTCAGAGATGCGCCTCGGGAACACACCACAAGAAGGTAAGGTGCTTGGCGGGAATTTCAAGGTGCGGTGCTCCGCTGCAAGCTCGCTTAGATACAACGAAGTTTCGGATTACCAGCAGAACCATTATATGTCACATGCGGAAAAGTCTTAGGCTACAAAGAAATCTTGACCCGTAGTGCATTTCATTTTGGCTAACCACAATGCATCCATCATGGTTATGTGGACTGACTGAACAGCTTGTGAAGCAGCCCCATATACTGGTAGCTAGGCTATAAAATAATGCATATATTCTTACACTTGCCATTGCCAGTACTACAGTACCATACCACTGGCGTTCTCTATATCGATCATGTATCAACGGCTCTGTATGAGACTCACCTCTAGGCTGAGTTTAGGCCGGGAACCATTATTTTCTTTTTCTTTCTAGGCTGGAAACCGTTCAACAAAAGTATCCGACCGGCCTGCCCGGGTTGTGATTCGTGTGTATCGTGGCCGCTGTTTGCTTCCCAGAAGGTTCTTAACCATGTCGACAACCCGTGGGACAGATGCCGCAAAGACAACGGTCAAGAGTAAATGTGTGAGCCGATTTTGCCCCTGCTCGTAAAAACACACATAAAGAAAAAAAGGGATACTGGAGAAAGTTAACCAAATAGACACGGTAAAGACAAGGTAAATGCTGTTTCAAGAAAAATTTGTAAAATTTGGTACAGAGCAAAGATGGGGAAAGATGAAAGGCAAGTCTTCGTCATACCGGTGGAAAAAAGCCAGAGCACATACCTGAACACGAGTAACAATCTCCCGAATCTCCTCAACATCTGCAATCTGCGCCGCTGCAAGCTCCTTCAAACTGTCCCCCCCACTCTCCTCTGCACTATCCCCTTTACTCTCCCCTGCACTGCTCTCCACCTCACTCCCAACCCCCCTGACCCCACCAATCCTCTTGCCAACAGCACTAGCCCCATCTTCACTTCCAATCACCAGCAAAGAGTCCCGTCTCCCAGCACTCTCCCTTGCCACGTCAGCTCTCCTCCTCGACACGTCGCGCGCCTGTCCTGCCACGTCATCAGTGTTGCTGACCCGTGGCGTGGTTCCATTGGCCAGAGCATGGACGGATGAAGTGGCAGCAGAAGCAGAAGCATTGGTGGTGGTTGGGACTTGGGTGGGAGCAGAAGTGGCAGTGGCGGGGTTACTTTTGCCAGTGGTTGAGGTGGAGGGAAGTGGACGGGAGGTGAGGGAGGAAGAGGAGGACAGGGCTTGGTGGTGGTAAGGATCAGATGCGATTGCTGAAGGGTCTCCTCCTCCCTGCAGGAAATCATGTGAATATAATGTGACGGGGTGGAGAGAGGTAGGAGAAGGGGAAGAGGAAGGAGAGAGGAAGGAGAAGGAAAGAGGAAAGGAAGGAGGAGACAGTAAGAGAAGCATAATTGGCAGAGAGAAGCGAGAACGAACAGGAGCAGGAGCAGCAAGGGAAGAGGAAGGGGATGACGATTTAGGAAGGGAGTGAAGGCAGGGAAGGAGGGGAGAGGTGGGAAAAAAACAGGGACGGGAGGTAGGGAAGGAGGAGGAAGAGGAAAGGAAACACGGGAGAGGGAGACAGGAAGGAGGGGAGGAAAGGTAAGAATGGAGGGGAGAGGAGGCAAGAAGGGAGGGGAGGAGTGGAAAGGACGGAGAGGAGAGGAGGCAAGGAGGGAGGGGAGGAGAGGTAGTCAAGTTCATGGGAAAGGATGGGGGAGAAAAGGTGAACATGAAGAAAAAAACCGAAGACAATCTGTCAGACCGAGATGACTTTTGGAAAAACTAGAGGCATTAATTTGGCACATCTAGGGCAAATACCGAAATTACTTTTGAAACGCCTCAAATAAGCAGCGTGGCACATTGCGTTCTCTCACCAGTAGTGCTGCTAGCTTCGCCTCCAGCACCCTTATTTGCATCGCCTTCTCAGAAGCTTCCTTCTCTGCCTGTGCTGCCCTCCTCTCAGCCTCCACTGCTCTGTGCTCTGCAGCCTGGGAAAGAATGGAGACAGAGAAGGAGGTGGGGACAACGAGGAGTGTGAGGAGCGAGGAAGGAGGAGAGAGTTAAGCTTTTGTGGTGCCTCAAAAGTCCTCTCTGCCTCCACTGCTCTGTGCTCTGCAGCCTGGGAAAGAATGGAGACAGAAAAGGAGGGGGGGAAGAGGATGAGAGTGAGAGCCAGGAGGGAGGAGATAGTTGGGAGAGAGAGGCGAGAGGAGGGAGGAGGGAGGAGAGAGGGATGGGCGAGGAGTGCGGAGATCGAAAGCCGCAATTACCAACCAAACACACATGTCTGTGAGATCCCTAGTGACCATGCATACCTCACCTCCACTGCCTTTACCCATCATCATGCTGGCATCTGGCCCGCCTTCCTCAGCCTCTACCCCCACCCATTCCAGCTGATTGCAACATGCTTGTGCCGCTTCTACCCCCAACTACACGTGCCTGTGCGATCCTTAGAGGTCAAAGCTTACCTCCACGGCCTCTGACAGTCGCTCCTGCTGGCTCAGGGACGCCTGCCCCTAGTTCCAGGCAGCCGGTTGGAACCTACTCCAGTCGCCTCTACCCCTAAACACACACGCCTGTGAGATTCTTAGGGTCAACGCATACCTCCTCTGCCTCTCACAGTCGCTCCACATCCTGCTGGCTCAGGCCAGCCTGCCCTGTCTTCCAGGTGGCTGGTTGGAACATACGTCGGCTGCTTCTACCTTCAGCCACACATGCCTGTGAGATCATTGGGGGTCAAAGCATACCTCCTCTGCCTCTGACAGTCACTCCACGTCCTGCTGGCTCAGAGACGCCTTCCTTTTGTTCCTGGTGCCTGGATGGAACATACTTCAGCAGCTTCTACCTTCAGCCACACATGCCTGTGAGGTCTGTGGGTGTCAATCAAAGCATACCTCTACTGCCTCTGACAATCGCTCCACGTCCTGCTGGCTCAGAGACGCCTGCCCCATCTCCAGCAGCTCCTGCATCAAATCCTCTGCTTCCTCCTGCTGTGACGAGTGGAGAGGGGGGATAAGGAGGCACACAATAAGGGAGATAAGGAGGCAAACAATAAGAGAGGCTCACACTAAGGGGGATAAAAGAGGTTGAAGAGACGTCTGCCCCATCTCACGCTGCTCCTGCATAAAATCCTCCGCTTCCTCCTGCTGTGACAGGCGAAACAGGAGGATAGCAAGGCATGCATTGATGGGAAAGAAGGAGAAGGTTTGGGAAACGACTAGAGCCCCAGCTACTGCCTCTGACAATCGACTCAAGTCCTTCTGGCTCAGAGACGCCTGCCCCATCTCCAGCAGCTCCTGCATCAAGTTCTCCGCCTCCTCCTGCTGTGAGGGACGAAACAGGACACTGCACTGCACATTTCCACACCCTACTGCATCACACTAAACAGCTCTGTGTTGCTTGCAGGACACCCCATACCACCGTACTGAACCATACCGCACCACGCTGCACATCACACTGCACCGTACCATGCTGTGGGCTTCTCTCCACACGGTGCTCTCTGGGATCTCATCAATGCTCTTACTGCAACCACCCATAACGAGGACACACAGAAAGAGGGAAAATAATGGGGAAGTAAAGAGGGGTGAAATTCCGTACCTATCGCATTCGTGCCATCTTCCTATCGTGTACCTATCATGCTTCTATCGTGTTCCTACCGAGATCTTATCATGCTCCTACCATGCGCCTACCATGCGCCTACCATGCTCCTACCATGCGCCTACCATGCTCCTACCATGCTCCTATTATGCTTCTAGCATGCCCCTAGCCCTCTATCATGCGCTCCAGCTCTCTCACCTGTTGATCTCCCTGCCTGCATCCACTTCCTCCATCTGCTGCTTCAGCCCCTCCTCCTCCGCCTCCCACCTGCTGTTCGTGGCTGGTACAGATGGGAGGGTGGGAAGAAAGAGCATGGCAGGGTAAGGGCAAAGAAAGAAAAGTCAGGGGAGCCCACCATCTGCTGCTAAGGCCCCTCCACCTCGCCTCCCACTTGCTGTTCACGACCGGTAGAGGTGGGAGGGTGGGAAGAACGAGCATGGCAGGGTAAGGGCAAAGAAAGAGCATGGCAGGGTAAGGGTAAGTCAGGGGAGCCCTCCATCTGCTGCTAAGGCCCCTCCACCTCGCCTCCCACTTGCTGTTCGCGACTGGTAGAGGTGGGAGGGAGGGCAAAGGACAATATGAAAGAACACTCAATCTGCTGCTTAAACCCCTCCTCCTCCGCCTCCCACCTGCTGTTCGTGGCTGGTACAGATGGGAGGGTGGGAAGAAAGAGCATGGCAGGGTAAGGGCAAAGAAAGAAAAGTCAGGGGAGCCCACCATCTGCTGCTAAGGCCCCTCCACCTCGCCTCCCACTTGCTGTTCACGACCGGTAGAGGTGGGAGGGTGGGAAGAACGAGCATGGCAGGGTAAGGGCAAAGAAAGAGCATGGCAGGGTAAGGGTAAGTCAGGGGAGCCCTCCATCTGCTGCTAAGGCCCCTCCACCTCGCCTCCCACTTGCTGTTCGCGACTGGTAGAGGTGGGAGGGAGGGCAAAGGACAATATGAAAGAACACTCAATCTGCTGCTTAAACCCCTCCTCCTCCGCCTCCCACCTGCTGTTCGTGGCTGGTACAGATGGGAGGGTGGGAAGAAAGAGCATGGCAGGGTAAGGGCAAAGAAAGAAAAGTCAGGGGAGCCCACCATCTGCTGCTAAGGCCCCTCCACCTCGCCTCCCACTTGCTGTTCACGACCGGTAGAGGTGGGAGGGTGGGAAGAAAGAGCATGGCAGGGTAAGGGCAAAGAAAGAGCATGGCAGGGTAAGGGTAAGTCAGGGGAGCCCTCCATCTGCTGCTAAGGCCCCTCCACCTCGCCTCCCACTTGCTGTTCGCGGCTGGTAGAGGTGGGAGGGAGGGCAAAGGACAATATGAAAGAACACTCAATCTGCTGCTTAAACCCCTCCTCCTCCGCCTCCCACTTGCTGTTCGCGGCTGGTAGAGTTGGGAGGGCGGGAAGAAAGATACGAGATGAAATGAGCACTTTGGTAAGGAGGGCGGGGGTACGAGAGGAGCCGGAAGAAGGCTTAACCTGTTGCATGAGCCCCTCCTCCTCCGCCTCCCATTTGCTGCTAGTGGTTTCGAGGGATGAGAAAAACTAAGGGTTTGGATAGGCAATGGGAGACGGAACCAGAGAAATAGCGGTGAGGAAGACGGGAAGAGGGGGGGTAAGGGGGGATAAAGGAAGGAGCGGGAATGCTTCATCTGCTGCTTAGAATATTCCTAAATTGAGAGGGAGGATAGCGGAGAAAAGCATGCCACATGCCCACCTGGTGGTCTGTCGACTGTGCTGTGGAACAGCTCAAAGCGCAGCACCTGCGACTTGTAAGACACGAGGTGACTTTTGAGTCGAATGAAGATGCCTTCTGAGTCGAATAAAAAGTCAATGAGCTGTGGAACAGCTCAAAGCGCAGCACCTGGGACTAGAAGAGGCACATACCCATACCCAGTCCCTCATGCACACTACACCACTTGGCCCTTTTTGCCCCACTGTTCCCACCTGGTCCCCCCTGTGTGCTGCGGAAGAGTGCAAAGCGCATCACCTCAGACCGAAAGAGCACCAAAGAGCTTCCTGCATCATCCCCACCTGGTCCACAGCCCCAGAAACGCCTCATCATGCCCACCTGGCCCCTCCTGCCCCCACTATACCAACCTGGCCCCCACTATACCAACCTGGCCCCTACTGTCCCCACTATGCCCACCTGCTCCCTCCTGTGTGCTGCGGAAGAGTTCAAATCGCAGCACCTCGGACTTGGCAAGCTCGTCCCGCAGGCGAGCCACCTCCATCTGAACAAGGGGTTATGCGCAGGGATGGGGGGGGATGAATGTGGGATGGGGCGATCAAGAGGAAGGAGGGGAGGGGTTGTGGCCCAAAGCGCAGCACTCAGACTTGGCAAGCTCGTCCCGCAGGCGAGCCACCTCCGTCTGAGGGTGGGGTTGGGGGAAAGTAAGTGATCGGAATTCAATGGGGAATGGCCAGGCCAGGGCACTTCAAACATTGACAAGAAACATACAAGTTCAACCAGAGAAGTTGAGTTCAGAGGCTGCATGCCGTAAGAGTACGAGTGGCTTGACGAGGGGCGGGCAGTTGGTGAAGATGGAAAGTTTCGGAGATCATATTACAAAAAGAGTTCAACACATTTCACCTGTACATTGATCATGCCTGAAAAACAGCTCACCTGTATCTTGATCGTCCCTGACTCATCCAAATCTTCCAGCCGCTCCTCCAGTAGCGCCTGCACCATGGCTGGATTCATTTCAGCTGCCCGCTGAGCTGCCCGGCGCTTCCATTCCTCTGCCCGGATATCATGGTGGGGGAAGGGTGGGTGGGTGTGGGTGATACAGGGAAGGGTGTAACTTCCAAAGGGCACATAAATCGGCGTGACTTGAAACAGTGGTAAATTATGGTAACGTAACGTCTCAATACTAGCTGTTGTTCTCCCAGTTTGCATGGCTGAACGGTACACAGGCGACAGTCCTAACCCATGACGCACCTCTAACATCAGTGGCAGAGATTGGCGACATCTTACCACCATGGATGTCGACTCACCGCATATAGCAGCCAAGGACTTCAACTCACCGCATCTAGCAGCCATTGATCTTAGCTCAAGCTCCAGCGCTGCTGCATGTGCTTTGGCCTCCTCTAGTTGCTTGTCCTGGCAACGGGAGTGTGAGGAGGGACATCAGAAGGGGCATGAGGAGAGGCATGAAGAGGGGCACGAAGAGGAGGGACAATGACACGGATTATATAGTAGGGCGGTAAGAGACTCATGAAAGAGTATGTGCAGCAGAACATATTGCCTCCATTCCAGCGTGGGCTGGCTGGATGCGTAGTTGTAAACGTGCAACTAACATTTGCTGGTTTGGTTCACTCGCTGCTGCCGTGTTCGTGTCACCATTTACATTGGTGAAGCTTGGTTCGCTTACCGCTGGCGTTCGGTTCTTGAGCTGCTCCTGCAGTAGAAGGTCTTCCAGCGCATCCCTCTCCTCGCACACCTGCACATGTAAGCCACGCACACACAAGGGCACTCAAAGGTCAACACGAGTATACACGAGTATAAGGTCATTCCGGAAGTGCCTGAAATAAAACTTGCAGTAGAAAGTCTTCCAGCGCTTTTCTCTCCTAACACACCTGCACATGTAAGCCACTCACACACAAGGGCACTCAAAAGAAAACACGAGAATACAGGCACTCATAGGCAATTCCAGAGGCGCCAAAAAAAAAACCCCCCTGCAGCAGCAGATCCTCCAACGCGTCCCCCTCCTCACACATCTGCACGTGTGAGCCGCACGAAGACCACCACGAAGTCATGGGCACTCAAAGGTCACCAGAAGTTCATGGGCACTCAAAGGTCACCACTAATAGTAATTCGTGGGCACTCAGAGGTCAGCACTAATACACGGGCAGGCACTTAAGAGTCACCTCGATACACAAGCACTCGAAGGTCACCCCAATATTCACACACGCATTCAGGAACATGATTGTTGAACTCGCCCATAGGACATGTTGCAACGGCGCAGAAACAACTCCAAGACGAGGAGACGACACAGGGACAACCAGTCAAAGACTCACCCCCAAAGAAACAAATCAGAAAGTAGGTTCCATGGGGGGCTGTGGAGAGGGTTCATGACAGACAGTAGGGAGGACCCATAGCGTACCTGTTGGTAGTTCGCTCGGAGCTCCTCCATCTCTCTCTCCAGGTCGGCGATACCCTTGGTCCTGCTGGAGTTCTGTTGGGCGACGCAACGAAACACGGAAAAATAAATGAGTTGGGGCGTAATGGACATTGATTAATGGAGGAGGTGAGAGTTACAAACAGGAATCACATGGACGGGATACATGCTGGACTGGGGAAGTAATGTATCCACAATGAGGATTCACCTAAGAAAGTCACCAGGGAGTCGCTTGGGAGACTCCGAGACAGGGTATCATGAGACCAGAGAGCCATTTGTTTACCGCTGGGGATAAAAAATAATCAGATATTCGTTTCCAAGAAAAATCGCGGCTGGATGTGGAGCTATGGAACCAAATGATGCCCGTGCATGGTTGACGACTGACCGATGTGGCAGACAGAATACGTTTCTGACAGTTATTCAGCTCACTGAGACGACAGGTTGACATGCCACCTGAATAAATTAACTACCGCTGATGACGCCAGACTGTTTGAAACGAACTGGCGATAACGGACGCACTTAGTGGGGACAGAAGGCGGAATGATGACGCTATCGCCCTGACTGGTTCCTTCCCGATATTGAATTGACATGTTCGCGAAAGGCTTCGGACCCATTGATCCGCGAACGACACCAGATTCAGGATCTTAGCAGTTAGCCAAACCGGATACCGACCGAGCTTACATTGGGCGGTATTGGTTTCTTCCCCAGGCTGCCAGTCCACTGAACAGTCGGCGAGTACGACGGCGAGGCATTGATGGACTCCGGCGCTGACTGAGAGCCGGCGACACCAGGCTGACTGACCTGTCATCGGGCTGAATGACTTGCCGCAACACCAGCTGCTTACTTTCGAAGTGCCTCAGGCAATCGACGCTGACTGAAACGCTGACGACATCAGGCTGACCGACTCGCCTTGGCATCAGGTCAATCATCCAAAGCCTGGCATGAAACATTATCTAACCGAGCTTACATTAGGTGGTGCTGGTTTCTTCCCCAGGCCGCCGGTCCATTGAGCATTCGGCGTGTACGACGGCGACGCATCGATGGACTCCGACGCCGACTGGTACGCAGGCGACATCAGACTCTCCATTGCAGCCTGAAACTCGCTACTACTGCTCTTTATTTTCCGCTTTCCCGACCCTCCATTGGCATCCCCGTTGACCGCCAGGGCGTCGACTAGAGATTCTGACGCCAGCAGACTCCTCGTCGACTCAACGAGGTTGTGAGCCGCTCGATCCGTTCCTGAACGGTCAAGATCCGTCCGGGTATCGCTGCTGTCTGTTCTTCCGACGGAGCTAGAGACGGATTTACTGACAGGGTCTGAGGCTAAGGAAGCGGAAGGGAGTTTGTTCGACGTTAGCTCTTCCAGGATTCGGTCTATGGCGTCAGATGGGGGGGAGTTCATGCTCGAGTTCAAATCAAATACCAATCACCCACTGAGTTTACTTGGATTAGGGTGAAGCTGGATCAGTACGAAATCACACTGCAATGAAACCTCTAGGTCCCCGGTCCAAGCTGAACTATGAGCACCGATTTGCATTTCAGTAGGAAACAACAGAAAAACTAGCGCTACGACGACAACGGCTTTAGGAAATGTCACCTTTTTTCCTAACTAAAAAAGCCTAGGGGAGCTCCGGTTCTGACAAATGCTAGTGAAAGCTGTGGAAACTGGAGTGGAGTGGGGTGGAGCAGGAAGGATGCTGCTGCTGACGGGGAGTGTGCGTGAGCTTCAGCAGCACATTTCACCATCAAGAAGCTTGGGGACGAAAGCTCTTGCGAATAATATTTTGCTGTCGCGAAGATCGCCATGCCTCAATCGACCATGACAGGCAGGTGGCGAAAGAACGAAACTGTCCTCGCGATTCGTGAATACTGATGGCCATGATGCTTGTGACTCCGAGAATCTCACAAATGGATGTGCGACATCCATCTTGTCTGGCAACGGTTCTTTTGCGCGGGAAACTGGATTCAACAAAAAAGTACCGATTGAAAACGTGTTTCATAAGACCATGAACTTCCCGTTACAGTTTGCTAGAAATGCTGGTTTCACTACATGTTGGTTTCACATCCTCAAACCCAGCATTGCCCTTCTAAGCATGGTTTGAAGTAATTTAAGAGCAATTATTTCGCACAGAAAGCATTACTCTATATTGACGCTGTGAATGCTTGCACTAACACTCAACTTCCATAATTTCACCTAAAACACAACCCTAGGAATGTGCTTTAGGAAGCTACAGGACAAGCAGCGGAAAGGCACCACAGCTGTCACGGTGCATTTGTTAGCTAATGCCTTTTGCGTCACCCACACCAGCTCCTACAGCACCACCCGGTGTCCATGGGAAGCTGCTCTCTACATCCCCACTTACCAGAACCATCAACTGGACAATGAGAGCTGCTATACCTCCACTCCCTCCCTCCCTGCTCTCCTAGTCACCCATCCCTAACTGCAGCACAGACAGCACAAGCTCACACACACACACACACACACTCTGATTCCCAGCAATATCAACACCTACAGACTCCTCTCGCCAGCCTGTGCTAACCCCACTCTCTCCCACACTTCCTTCCAAACTTCCACTCACTCTCCCACCCACTCTCACACTGACTCTCGCGCCCACCTCAGCACCAACAGCAAGAGTTGATGGAAGTAAGGCCTCCGCAGCCCACCTGTCCGCTTCTGACAGCCACTGACTCTCACCCCCACCTCAACGCCAACAGCAAGATTCCATCCTCCCCCATTCTTCTCCACTTCACATCCTTCTCCTCACCACAACTGCACCGCAAACAGCACGAGCAAACATGCCCCACCTCACCCAGCCGACCCCGGTAAATCGATTGGCCATTTTCCTCCACTCACACCCCTTCTCTCCCCGCATTCCTGCTGGTGCCGTGTGCACTGCTGCAGCAGCGCACTCCCGCAGCACAGGCACAGCACCGGAAACGCACAGCACCAGCAAACTCTCTTCACAAGCACTACCCCAGCTCCTCCCAGCCCGTCACCTTTAGCCAATACTTCTGCCTCTCCTGATTCTGCTCTCTCTCCTGTCTGTTGCAAGCAACCAGCCTATGTTTCTTTCTCGACCCGCTCAGTTTCCTCACTCCCACTGCAGCGCAGACAGCACCAGCAGAAAACCCTTCCCAGCCGGTCCCTGAGAGTCGATGAGAGTGGTTTCTCAATTACTCTTTCCCACGCTCTCACCCACGCTACACACCGAGTCTCACTCCCACTGCAGCGCAGACAGCACCAGCAAAAACTCCTTCCCAGCAATATCCACCCGTACTGTCCCTCCCAGCCGGTCCTTGAGAGCCGTAGATTCACCTCCATCGCCCCCGTGCGAGCCAGCACATTGACAGGTGTCATCTCCACATTGGCCGCCGCTCCTGCCCCTCCTCCTGCCCCCCCTGCTGCTGCGGCGGCGGCAGCAGCGACACCAGCAGCAGCGGCAGCAGCAGCAGCAGCACCCATCAGGTTGGTGTTGCTGCTGCTGCTGCCGGTGCCGATGCTGCTGCCGCTGCTGCTGGCTGGTATAAGCTTCTCCTGGAGAGGCAGTGTGAAAGAGACTTTCATCATGCCGTAAAACACCTGCCCCACCAGGCCCCCTAACGCAGTGTTAAACACCATCTTAAGTGCCGGAACCTGGACTTGCTCCTTTGGCCCACTCCCTCTTGAATGCGTGTCATGTGCTGCTGCTACCCCCCCTTGTGCTGCCCCTGCCCCTGCCCCTGCCCCTGCCCCTGCCCCTGCTCCTGCTCCTGCCCCTGCCCCTGCTCCTCCGACAGCTGCTGTTGCTCCTGCTTGCGAGTCTCTACTCAAGGACGAGTCAAGTGATTGCTGCTGCCCACCTGCCCCGTTACCAGGCGCATGCGTCCCCTCCTGCTGCCCACTGCCCCCTGCTCCTCCTCCTGCTGCCCACTGCCCCCTGCTCCTCCTCCTGCTGCCCACTGCCCCCTGCTCCTCCTCCTGCTGCCCACTGCCCCCTGCTCCTCCTCCTGCTGCCCACTGCCCCTGCTCCTCCTCCTGCTGCCCACTGCCCCCTGCTCCTCCTCCTTGCTGCCCACTGCCCCCTGCTCCTCCTCCTGCTGCCCACTGCCCCCTGCTCCTCCTCCTGCTGCCCACTGCCCCCTGCTCCTCCTCCTGCTGCCCACTGCCCCCTGCTCCTCCTCCTGCTGCCCACTGCCCCCTGCTCCTCCTCCTGCTGCCCACTGCCCCCTGCTCCTCCTCCTGCTGCCCACTGCCCCCTGCTCCTCCTCCTGCTGCCCACTGCCCCCTGCTCCTCCTCCTGCTGCCCACTGCCCCCTGCTCCTCCTCCTGCTGCCCACTGCCCCCTGCTCCTCCTCCTGCTGCCCACTGCCCCCTGCTCCCCTCCTGCTGCCCACTGCCCCCTGCTCCTCCTCCTGCTGCCCACTGCCCCCTGCTCCTCCTCCTGCTGCCCACTGCCCCCTGCTCCTCCTCCTGCTGCCCACTGCCCCCTGCTCCTCCTCCTGCTGCCCACTGCCCCCTGCTCCTCCTCCTGCTGCCCACTGCCCCCTGCTCCTCCTCCTGCTGCCCACTGCCCCCTGCTCCTCCTCCTGCTGCCCACTGCCCCCTGCTCCTCCTCCTGCTGCCCACTGCCCCCTGCTCCTCCTCCTGCTGCCCACTGCCCCCTGCTCCTCCTCCTGCTGCCCACTGCCCCTGCTCCTCCTCCTGCTGCCCACTGCCCCCTGCTCCTCCTCCTGCTGCCCACTGCCCCCTGCTCCTCCTCCTGCTGCCCACTGCCCCCTGCTCCTCCTCCTGCTGCCCACTGCCCCCTGCTCCTCCTCCTGCTGCCCACTGCCCCCTGCTCCTCCTCCTGCTGCCCACTGCCCCCTGCTCCTCCTCCTGCTGCCCACTGCCCCCTGCTCCTCCTCCTGCTGCCCACTGCCCCCTGCTCCTCCTCCTGCTGCCCACTGCCCCCTGCTCCTCCTCCTGCTGCCCACTGCCCCCTGCTCCTCCTCCTGCTGCCCACTGCCCCCTGCTCCTCCTCCTGCTGCCCACTGCCCCCTGCTCCTCCTCCTGCTGCCCACTGCCCCCTGCTCCTCCTCCTGCTGCCCACTGCCCCCTGCTCCTCCTCCTGCTGCCCACTGCCCCCTGCTCCTCCTCCTGCTGCCCACTGCCCCCTGCTCCTCCTCCTGCTGCCCACTGCCCCCTGCTCCTCCTCCTGCTGCCCACTGCCCCCTGCTCCTCCTCCTGCTGCCCACTGCCCCCTGCTCCTCCTCCTGCTGCCCACTGCCCCCTGCTCCTCCTCCTGCTGCCCACTGCCCCCTGCTCCTCCTCCTGCTGCCCACTGCCCCCTGCTCCTCCTCCTGCTGCCCACTGCCCCCTGCTCCTCCTCCTGCTGCCCACTGCCCCCTGGTCCTCCTCCTGCTGCCCACTGCCCCCTGCTCCTCCTCCTGCTGCCCACTGCCCCCTGCTCCTCCTCCTGCTGCCCACTGCCCCCTGCTCCTCCTCCTGCTGCCCACTGCCCCCTGCTCCTCCTCCTGCTGCCCACTGCCCCCTGCTCCTCCTCCTGCTGCCCACTGCCCCCTGCTCCTCCTCCTGCTGCCCACTGCCCCCTGCTCCTCCTCCTGCTGCCCACTGCCCCCTGCTCCTCCTCCTGCTGCCCACTGCCCCCTGCTCCTCCTCCTGCTGCCCACTGCCCCCTGCTCCTCCTCCTGCTGCCCACTGCCCCCTGCTCCTCCTCCTGCTGCCCACTGCCCCCTGCTCCTCCTCCTGCTGCCCACTGCCCCCTGCTCCCCCTCCTGCTGCCCACTGCCCCCTGCTCCTCCTCCTGCTGCCCACTGCCCCCTGCTCCTCCTCCTGCTGCCCACTGCCCCCTGCTCCCCCTCCTGCTGCCCACTGCCCCCTGCTCCTCCTCCTGCTGCCCACTGCCCCCTGCTCCCCCTCCTGCTGCCCACTGCCCCCTGCTCCCCCTCCTGCTGCCCACTGCCCCTGCTCCTCCTCCTGCTGCCCACTGCCCCCTGCTCCTCCTCCTGCTGCCCACTGCCCCCTGCTCCTCCTCCTGCTGCCCACTGCCCCCTGCTCCTCCTCCTGCTGCCCACTGCCCCCTGCTCCTCCTCCTGCTGCCCACTGCCCCCTGCTCCTCCTCCTGCTGCCCACTGCCCCCTGCTCCTCCTCCTGCTGCCCACTGCCCCCTGCTCCTCCTCCTGCTGCCCACTGCCCCCTGCTCCTCCTCCTGCTGCCCACTGCCCCTGCTCCTCCTCCTGCTGCCCACTGCCCCCTGCTCCTCCTCCTGCTGCCCACTGCCCCCTGCTCCTCCTCCTGCTGCCCACTGCCCCCTGCTCCTCCTCCTGCTGCCCACTGCCCCCTGCTCCTCCTCCTGCTGCCCACTGCCCCCTGCTCCTCCTCCTGCTGCCCACTGCCCCCTGCTCCTCCTCCTGCTGCCCACTGCCCCCTGCTCCTCCTCCTGCTGCCCACTGCCCCCTGCTCCTCCTCCTGCTGCCCACTGCCCCCTGCTCCTCCTCCTGCTGCCCACTGCCCCCTGCTCCTCCTCCTGCTGCCCACTGCCCCCTGCTCCTCCTCCTGCTGCCCACTGCCCCCTGCTCCTCCTCCTGCTGCCCACTGCCCCCTGCTCCTCCTCCTGCTGCCCACTGCCCCCTGCTCCTCCTCCTGCTGCCCACTGCCCCCTGCTCCTCCTCCTGCTGCCCACTGCCCCCTGCTCCTCCTCCTGCTGCCCACTGCCCCCTGCTCCTCCTCCTGCTGCCCACTGCCCCCTGCTCCTCCTCCTGCTGCCCACTGCCCCCTGCTCCTCCTCCTGCTGCCCACTGCCCCCTGCTCCTCCTCCTGCTGCCCACTGCCCCCTGCTCCTCCTCCTGCTGCCCACTGCCCCCTGCTCCCCCTCCTGCTGCCCACTGCCCCCTGCTCCTCCTCCTGCTGCCCACTGCCCCCTGCTCCTCCTCCTGCTGCCCACTGCCCCCTGCTCCCCCTCCTGCTGCCCACTGCCCCCTGCTCCTCCTCCTGCTGCCCACTGCCCCCTGCTCCCCCTCCTGCTGCCCACTGCCCCTGCTCCCCCTCCTGCTGCCCACTGCCCCCTGCTCCTCCTCCTGCTGCCCACTGCCCCCTGCTCCTCTCCTGCTGCCCACTGCCCCTGCTCCTCCTCCTGCTGCCCACTGCCCCCTGCTCCTCCTCCTGCTGCCCACTGCCCCCTGCTCCTCCTCCTGCTGCCCACTGCCCCCTGCTCCTCCTCCTGCTGCCCACTGCCCCCTGCTCCTCCTCCTGCTGCCCACTGCCCCCTGCTCCTCCTCCTGCTGCCCACTGCCCCCTGCTCCTCCTCCTGCTGCCCACTGCCCCCTGCTCCTCCTCCTGCTGCCCACTGCCCCCTGCTCCTCCTCCTGCTGCCCACTGCCCCCTGCTCCTCCTCCTGCTGCCCACTGCCCCCTGCTCCTCCTCCTGCTGCCCACTGCCCCCTGCTCCTCCTCCTGCTGCCCACTGCCCCCTGCTCCTCCTCCTGCTGCCCACTGCCCCCTGCTCCTCCTCCTGCTGCCCACTGCCCCCTGCTCCTCCTCCTGCTGCCCACTGCCCCCTGCTCCTCCTCCTGCTGCCCACTGCCCCCTGCTCCTCCTCCTGCTGCCCACTGCCCCCTGCTCCTCCTCCTGCTGCCCACTGCCCCCTGCTCCTCCTCCTGCTGCCCACTGCCCCCTGCTCCTCCTCCTGCTGCCCACTGCCCCCTGCTCCTCCTCCTGCTGCCCACTGCCCCCTGCTCCTCCTCCTGCTGCCCACTGCCCCCTGCTCCTCCTCCTGCTGCCCACTGCCCCCTGCTCCTCCTCCTGCTGCCCACTGCCCCCTGCTCCTCCTCCTGCTGCCCACTGCCCCCTGCTCCTCCTCCTGCTGCCCACTGCCCCCTGCTCCTCCTCCTGCTGCCCACTGCCCCCTGCTCCTCCTCCTGCTGCCCACTGCCCCCTGCTCCTCCTCCTGCTGCCCACTGCCCCCTGCTCCTCCTCCTGCTGCCCACTGCCCCCTGCTCCTCCTCCTGCTGCCCACTGCCCCCTGCTCCTCCTCCTGCTGCCCACTGCCCCCTGCTCCTCCTCCTGCTGCCCACTGCCCCCTGCTCCTCCTCCTGCTGCCCACTGCCCCCTGCTCCTCCTCCTGCTGCCCACTGCCCCCTGCTCCTCCTCCTGCTGCCCACTGCCCCCTGCTCCTCCTCCTGCTGCCCACTGCCCCCTGCTCCTCCTCCTGCTGCCCACTGCCCCCTGCTCCTCCTCCTGCTGCCCACTGCCCCCTGCTCCTCCTCCTGCTGCCCACTGCCCCCTGCTCCTCCTCCTGCTGCCCACTGCCCCCTGCTCCTCCTCCTGCTGCCCACTGCCCCCTGCTCCTCCTCCTGCTGCCCACTGCCCCCTGCTCCTCCTCCTGCTGCCCACTGCCCCCTGCTCCTCCTCCTGCTGCCCACTGCCCCCTGCTCCTCCTCCTGCTGCCCACTGCCCCCTGCTCCTCCTCCTGCTGCCCACTGCCCCCTGCTCCTCCTCCTGCTGCCCACTGCCCCCTGCTCCCCCTCCTGCTGCCCACTGCCCCCTGCTCCTCCTCCTGCTGCCCACTGCCCCCTGCTCCCCCTCCTGCTGCCCACTGCCCCCTGCTCCTCCTCCTGCTGCCCACTGCCCCCTGCTCCTCCTCCTGCTGCCCACTGCCCCCTGCTCCCCCTCCTGCTGCCCACTGCCCCCTGCTCCTCCTCCTGCTGCCCACTGCCCCCTGCTCCCCCTCCTGCTGCCCACTGCCCCCTGCTCCCCCTCCTGCTGCCCACTGCCCCCTGCTCCCCCTCCTGCTGCCCACTGCCCCCTGCTCCTCCTCCTGCTGCCCACTGCCCCCTGCTCCCCCTCCTGCTGCCCACTGCCCCCTGCTCCTCCTCCTGCTGCCCACTGCCCCCTGCTCCCCCTCCTGCTGCCCACTGCCCCCTGCTCCTCCTCCTGCTGCCCACTGCCCCCTGCTCCTCCTCCTGCTGCCCACTGCCCCCTGCTACCCCTCCTGCTGCCCACTGCCCCCTGCTCCTCCTCCTGCTGCCCACTGCCCCCTGCTCCCCCTCCTGCTGCCCACTGCCCCTGCTCCCCCTCCTGCTGCCCACTGCCCCCTGCTCCTCCTCCTGCTGCCCACTGCCCCCTGCTCCTCCTCCTGCTGCCCACTGCCCCCTGCTCCTCCTCCTGCTGCCCACTGCCCCCTGCTCCTCCTCCTGCTGCCCACTGCCCCCTGCTCCTCCTCCTGCTGCCCACTGCCCCCTGCTCCTCCTCCTGCTGCCCACTGCCCCCTGCTCCTCCTCCTGCTGCCCACTGCCCCCTGCTCCTCCTCCTGCTGCCCACTGCCCCCTGCTCCTCCTCCTGCTGCCCACTGCCCCCTGCTCCTCCTCCTGCTGCCCACTGCCCCCTGCTCCTCCTCCTGCTGCCCACTGCCCCCTGCTCCTCCTCCTGCTGCCCACTGCCCCCTGCTCCTCCTCCTGCTGCCCACTGCCCCCTGCTCCCCCTCCTGCTGCCCACTGCCCCCTGCTCCCCCTCCTGCTGCCCACTGCCCCCTGCTCCTCCTCCTGCTGCCCACTGCCCCCTGCTCCCCCTCCTGCTGCCCACTGCCCCCTGCTCCTCCTCCTGCTGCCCACTGCCCCCTGCTCCTCCTCCTGCTGCCCACTGCCCCCTGCTCCCCCTCCTGCTGCCCACTGCCCCCTGCTCCTCCTCCTGCTGCCCACTGCCCCCTGCTCCCCCTCCTGCTGCCCACTGCCCCCTGCTCCCCCTCCTGCTGCCCACTGCCCCCTGCTCCTCCTCCTGCTGCCCACTGCCCCCTGCTCCTCCTCCTGCTGCCCACTGCCCCCTGCTCCTCCTCCTGCTGCCCACTGCCCCCTGCTCCTCCTCCTGCTGCCCACTGCCCCCTGCTCCTCCTCCTGCTGCCCACTGCCCCCTGCTCCTCCTCCTGCTGCCCACTGCCCCCTGCTCCTCCTCCTGCTGCCCACTGCCCCCTGCTCCTCCTCCTGCTGCCCACTGCCCCCTGCTCCTCCTCCTGCTGCCCACTGCCCCTGCTCCTCCTCCTGCTGCCCACTGCCCCCTGCTCCTCCTCCTGCTGCCCACTGCCCCCTGCTCCTCCTCCTGCTGCCCACTGCCCCCTGCTCCTCCTCCTGCTGCCCACTGCCCCCTGCTCCTCCTCCTGCTGCCCACTGCCCCCTGCTCCTCCTCCTGCTGCCCACTGCCCCCTGCTCCTCCTCCTGCTGCCCACTGCCCCCTGCTCCTCCTCCTGCTGCCCACTGCCCCCTGCTCCTCCTCCTGCTGCCCACTGCCCCCTGCTCCTCCTCCTGCTGCCCACTGCCCCCTGCTCCTCCTCCTGCTGCCCACTGCCCCCTGCTCCTCCTCCTGCTGCCCACTGCCCCCTGCTCCTCCTCCTGCTGCCCACTGCCCCCTGCTCCTCCTCCTGCTGCCCACTGCCCCCTGCTCCTCCTCCTGCTGCCCACTGCCCCCTGCTCCTCCTCCTGCTGCCCACTGCCCCCTGCTCCTCCTCCTGCTGCCCACTGCCCCCTGCTCCTCCTCCTGCTGCCCACTGCCCCCTGCTCCTCCTCCTGCTGCCCACTGCCCCCTGCTCCTCCTCCTGCTGCCCACTGCCCCCTGCTCCTCCTCCTGCTGCCCACTGCCCCCTGCTCCTCCTCCTGCTGCCCACTGCCCCCTGCTCCTCCTCCTGCTGCCCACTGCCCCCTGCTCCTCCTCCTGCTGCCCACTGCCCCCTGCTCCTCCTCCTGCTGCCCACTGCCCCCTGCTCCTCCTCCTGCTGCCCACTGCCCCCTGCTCCTCCTCCTGCTGCCCACTGCCCCCTGCTCCTCCTCCTGCTGCCCACTGCCCCCTGCTCCCCCTCCTGCTGCCCACTGCCCCCTGCTCCTCCTCCTGCTGCCCACTGCCCCCTGCTCCCCCTCCTGCTGCCCACTGCCCCCTGCTCCCCCTCCTGCTGCCCACTGCCCCCTGCTCCTCCTCCTGCTGCCCACTGCCCCCTGCTCCTCCTCCTGCTGCCCACTGCCCCCTGCTCCTCCTCCTGCTGCCCACTGCCCCCTGCTCCTCCTCCTGCTGCCCACTGCCCCCTGCTCCTCCTCCTGCTGCCCACTGCCCCCTGCTCCTCCTCCTGCTGCCCACTGCCCCCTGCTCCTCCTCCTGCTGCCCACTGCCCCCTGCTCCTCCTCCTGCTGCCCACTGCCCCCTGCTCCTCCTCCTGCTGCCCACTGCCCCCTGCTCCTCCTCCTGCTGCCCACTGCCCCCTGCTCCTCCTCCTGCTGCCCACTGCCCCCTGCTCCTCCTCCTGCTGCCCACTGCCCCCTGCTCCTCCTCCTGCTGCCCACTGCCCCCTGCTCCTCCTCCTGCTGCCCACTGCTGCTCCAGGTGCCCCATCCCCACAGCCTAAGCCAAGAGTCAGCACCAGGCCCTCTCCTGCTCCTCCAGCACCAGCAGCAGCACCTGCGGTATCCGTAGCACCAGCAGCACTACCGCCAATTGCACCAGCACCAGCAGCAGCACCAGCAGGACCAGCAGCAGCACCGACAGCAACACTAGCACCACCGCTGGACCCGCTCTGCCCCCCGCCACTCCCCCCCGACCCATGCAGCCGCTGCTGCCGCTGCTGCTGCCGCCGCTGGCTCTGCTGCTGCTGCTGCTGCGCCGGCAGCGGCAGCAACATATCCTTATCCAGCACCAGTAGTGCCTGCCCCACCCTGTCAGGACAAGCCCGCACCAAGCATGAACCTCTCCCATCCGTCCTCCGTAAAACCGTCCAATTCACCGCTAGAGACCGCCGAAAGGAGTCCTTATCGAGTGCTTCTATAGAGGGGAAGATGGCGGACGGGTCTGAGAAGGTGTGGTGGGCGAAGGGGACGAGCGCGCGGCCGCCTTCGTATTTGAAGGCTTGGGAGAAGACGGGGGAGCCGTGGAAGGAGAGGTCGAAGAAGAACGTGAGATCGTCCAGGTGAAAGGGTAAGGGGGAGGCGCGACCTGGCCGGAGGAATCTTTTCCTGATGGGATGGGGATGAGGAAGGGGAGGGAAGGGGGAAAAGGCAAAGAGTGGGGGGAATGGGGAGAAGAATGAAGGGGCGAAGGGGACGAGGGCGCGGCCGCCTTCGTACTTGAATGCTTGTGAGAAGACGGGGGAGCCGTGGAAGGAGAGGTCGAAGAAGAACGTGAGATCGTCCAGGTGGAAGGGCAGCGGTGAGGCCCGGCCGGGGCGGAGGAAACGCTTCCTGAAAGAGGGAGAGGATGGGGGGATGGGGAGGGGGGAGGGAAGTGGAAAAGGGCGAAGAGTGGGGAAAAAGGGGGAGGAAATATGGGGTTTGGTTGGGGGTGGAAGGAAGGGGAGAAGGGGACGAGGGCGCGGCCGCCCTTGTACTTGAAGGCTTGGGAGAAGACGGGCGAGCCGTGGAAGGAGAGGTCAAAGAAGAATGTGAGATCGTCCAGGTGGAAGGGCAGCGGGGAGGCCCGTCCTGGGCGGAGAAATCGCTTTCTGATAGAGGGAGAGGGAGAGGGAGAGGGAGAGGGGGAGGGGGAGCGGGAGCGGGCGGGGGAGGGAGAGGGAGGTTCGGAAAGGAAAAACCGCAAAAAGAGGGGGAAAAAAGGGAGAAGAATGTGAGATCGTCCAGGTGAAAGGGCAGCGGGGCGGGGAGGCCCGTCCTGGGCGGAGAAAAACGTTTCGTAAAAAAAGAGGAGGTTGGGGGAATGGGGAGTATGGGGGAGGAAGAGGGTGGGGGGAGGGGATGGATGGGGGATGAAGAGGATGGGGGCTGGGGAGGAAAGGGAAAAGACGAGGGAAGGGGAGGGGAGGGGGAAGAGGGAGACGCCGTTTACCTGTAGAAGAGGTAGAAGCCACAGGAGTCGGACACACGGCAGGCCACAGCAGGGCTGACGAGGGCAGGCCAGAGGGGGAGAGACCGACCAACCTGTACAGAAATACAAGTTCTAACAACCGCACAGCCCCTTACCTGTAGAAGAGGCAGAAACCGCAGGAATCGGAAACGTGACGGGCCACAGCACGGCTGGCGAGCGCTGGCCAGAGAGCGATGGTGTGGCGGTGGCAGAGAGGGAGATGGAGAGAGCGACCAACCTGTGTATAGAAACACAACCTGTGTAGAGATTCGAAAATGGCAGTAACCCCTTTACCTGTAAAAGAGGTAGAAGCCGCACGAGTCTGAAACACGGCGGGCCACAGCAGGGCTGGCGAGGGCGGGCCAGAGAGCGATGGTGTGGCGGTGGCAGTGGGGCTCGCTGCATGTGTACGAGATGAATTTTGCCACCGCCACACCATCGCCGGTGTACGAGATGACTTTTGAGTCGACTCAAAAGTTGCCAGAGGGGCCTGCATGTGTAAGCAAGTCTACAAGCGGCAGCAGCCTCACCTGTAGAACAAATAGAAGACACACGAGTCGGAGACCCGGCGCGCCACAGCAGGGCTGGCGAGGGCGCGATGGTGTGGCGGTGGCAGAGGGGCAGAGCACCACGAGAGGCAAACCAAGTCCCAAGTTCCCAACCTGAGTGCAAGCTCACAAGTGGCAGCAACCCCTTACCTGTAGAAGAGGTAGAAGCCGCAGGAATCGGAGACCCGACGAGCCACAGCCGGGCTGGCGAGGGCGGGCCAGAGCGCGATGGTGTGGCGGTGCCACAGAGGCTTGCTGATGGCTGCTGCCCTCCACTCGCGGCACACACACGCTGCTGCTGCCAGGTCCCTTGGGGGCAGGGCGCGGAAGGTGAGCTGGGGGAGGGGAGAGGAAGGGGAGAACAGGGGGTGAGCAGAGGTCGAAAGTGGTCAAAAGGGGTGAACAGGGGCCAGAGGGGCTCGCTGGTGGCTGCTGCTCTCCACTCGCGGCACACACACGCTGCTGCTGCCAGGTCCCTCGGGGGCAGGGCGCGGAAGGTGAGCTGCAGATGGGGAAGGAGGGGGAGGAGGGGGAGCAGGGGTAAAAAGGGGTCAACAGGGGCCAGAGAGGCTCGCTGGTGGCTGCTGCTCTCCACTCGCGGCACACACACGCTGCTGCTGCCAGGTCCTTTGGGGGCAGGGCGCAAAAGGTGAGCTGAGGGGGGGGAGGGAATAGGGGGACGACAGGGGAGGAAGGGGGTCAAGAGTGGTCAAAAGGGGTCAACAGTGGTCAACAGGGGCCAGAGAGGCTCGCTGGCAGCTGCTGCTCTCCACTCGCGGCACACACACGCTGCTGTGGTCGGTGTTGCTCCTGCTGGTGCTGCTGATTATGATTAATTACAACCCATTACAATCAGTTTCGTTGCTTTTCAATCCACTCACCTCTAAAACGGAAGGATGAGATGAAATGTCCGATGACCGACTGTTCTTCCGTGTGAACATGTGTCGCGGGGATGGCAGCGGTGGTGCTGCTGCTGTTGTCGGTGTTGCTCCTGCTGGTGCTGCTGCTGCTCCTGCAGCTGCCGTCGGTGTTGGTGCCGCTGCTGCCGCTGCTGCCGCTGCTGTTGCTGGTGCTGTTACTGCTCCTCCTCCTCCTGCCCTTCCAGCCCCTCCTGTTGCTGCAGTTGCCATTGCTCCGGCTTGCTCTGTGGCGTGTTCCTGAGCAGCAGGTACGGCAGCAGGTACGGCAGCAAGCATGGCTGCAGGTACGGCAGCAACGGCACCTGGAACAATGGCAGCACCTGACGAAACACCTGCGCTTTGACGCCAATACGCCTGACTCTGTTGCTGCTGATGCGCCTGCTGCTGCTGCTGCTGCTGCTGATGCGCCTGGTGCTGCTGCTGCTGCTGCTGATGATGATGGTGCTGCTGATGCTGCTGCTGGCTATGGCCGTTGTGCTGCTGCTGGTTCGCACTAGGGTTTCTATCGACACCTGCACCCGACACGCTGTGACTGAACACGCCCTGGTTTAGCACACTAGATCCTCCTGAGTCCCCTCTATTGGAACACGGTATTAAAAGCACCGAATCTAGAAGCATCTCTTCTCCGCCTCCTGCTCCCCTTCCTGCTCCCCCTCCCCCTCCCCCTCCCCCTCTCCCTCCCCCATCCATCCCCCCTGCCCCTCCCCCTGACCGCTTTCCAAATTTGTGACACGTGGGTGAATGTGGGACCGAGTTCTGTGTTGTTGCCATAAAGTTCGTGTCGGAGTGGCGGAGTGGCGGAAAGTGCCCGCATATAGCACTGTAGTCCCCTTGAAAGCGCAGGGTCGCTAGTAGTACCCCTGCGAAAGCTACTTACCCTTTCGTTTTGGTCCCTCCCTCCAACGCCCGCTGCAACGTCAAGCATTCAGACAACGGGACTGCCTGCCATGCCAACAAGCGAGGAGACTTGCGCAGCGCGCAGCGAAGAACGAGGACAGCACTTCCTATATTTTTCTGGGTTGGAGTGGGGTGGAGTGGAGTGGAGCACGAGTTTTGTGCAGTAACGTGCTGTAGAGCAAGAAATGTGGATTTCTATGCAGCAATGTAAAAGAGTGGAGTAGATTGAAGTGGAGTTCAGTGCGGTGCAGGAGCATCGTACCGTTAGGAGATGGAAAGGAGCAGCAGCAACTGAATTCACTGTTTTCCGAAATCAGCTGAGAAGCAGTAACGAAGTGCAGGCTGTGCGTCTTTCTTGCCAACGGGCAGGCTGACCCATTGACTCTCCAGACCAATCAAATAGAGTTGGTTTTTTAGTACGACAACTTGGCCTCCCTGGAATCATTTGAATGATTCTTCTGGTGGGCTACGGACGGTACCCAGTTGATGATTCCGATTTTCCTGTGTACTGTACAGCATTAGGCCTGCTGACACCTCCCTTTTTAATTAGAGATTTCTTTGGAGTGGGTATTAATCTGCATTATTTAGAAACCGTATTCAGAATACAATGTGATTGTGACCAGCACGACCTGTACGAAATGAAAAGGCGCAGCGTTTGGTTCAATAACGGGCAAGCATCGATGGAAAATTCACTTGGGAGGAGGCCAGCAGATGGCACCAACAGATGCAGATGACACACCACGTGATACCGTAGTGTTCTGGGTGCCCTGAAAAAACTGCTTCTAATAGTTTGCAGGGCGATTGGGTGATTACCTCCGTTGTCTGCCAAACCTAGTTGGGTAACCAGGTGCTGCTTGACAGAATGCCGCATGGTGCGTGAGTGGGACGGCATCCTCAGCCACACAACAGCATGCTAGCGTGCAACCACAACTCGCTTTACAGAGCTGCTAATGTGTGATCGCCACTCGGAATGGAAAAATTGCGGGTCGATGTTCGTATGCCATGACGATATGATCACTGTCTATAACTACTAAAAGCGGGGAGTCGCGATTTAAAGTACATAGACCACACTGCAACCAGCACTCCCACTTTGCTCCCACTACAACTCTTCTAAAACCTTGATGTTGACAGACCTATCAAATGGGCCTGATCCTGACATTGAGACTCTCGGACGACGCGCGGCTTTAAGCTCTACACAGTGGTGTCTTTTTAGTGTTCATTACGGGAACCTACACACCACTTATGCGAGTTCCAGGCTGTCGACAGTGTTTCATGCATCTTCAAGGTTATCTAATGCACATGGCTACTATCAAGGTCCCAAGCTCCCAAGAGACTACCATCGAGTTTTGCGCTCGGCAACGTCAACAACTCGCGCTACTTTCAAGGACGACACTTCCTATGTTTCAGCACAACCCAATGCTCCTAACCAACTTGGCTGTCTGGTTTTCCCTAAGGTTATGGCTCCCCTCCCTGGCCTGGACCTGCAGCGTTTCAGTTTCAAACATAAGAAGTATAAACATTCGGATTCATTATCAGCTGTGCTCAGTCCGGCTTGTATCTCAGCCTTCAACGGGCGGACAAGCTCTTCTCATCATCGCACCATGGGGAGAGCTCGCAGCAACAAGACTAGCAAGAAGTCAACAGTCACTGACAAGGCTGCCGATATGTCATCCACCGCTACGGTACCTGAGAAGGATGCTGCTGTCAAAGGTCATGCGCCTTCCACCTCCTCGTCGCCAGTGGTGCTTGGCCCTTTCAAAGACTTATTGGACCTACAGATCAAGACCGACCTCAATGGCGAACAAGTCGGCGTTGCTGCTGATGGTGCTGCTGACCCCGCTGGCAAGGAGGGTGAAAAAGAGGCCGCTGAAGGAGAGGCTGAAGATGATGCGGACGCGCAGGAGAACAATGATGCCTCGTCGGATCAGGCTCCAGACGATGATGAAGATGGTTACCTGAGCGACGACTCCGACGAACACCTGGAACCAGCTTCGCTCGGCAGCATTATCGCCTTGAAAAGATTCTCACTGACCTTGCTGGTGCCGTTTAACAGGAAACCTGAAGTCAAGCGGACTGCTGTAACTGTGGCTGCCTCGCTGGAAGAATGGAAGGACCAGCTGTCGCCAGATGCGCTGCAGACAACAACTTACCAGGAACTTACGGCGACCTATTTCTCTGGCGCATGCTATGGTCGCCTTCAAGTTACCTTCAACCACGTCCGTGACGCAAACTTTGTTTGGAGCCAAGTCATCAGGCACGAGTGCGCGAATGGCGACATTGTCGACTTTACCTGGCAGCACCTCGAAGATGCGCGTTTCCTCCGCGAGCGCCTGCTGAATCCGACGGCGAAGGAGGTTGTTGTCAAAGGAGTTCCCGCGGACATGACTGCTGAGCTGATTCGTCACCTGCTGGTGGTGTCGAAGCTGGTTAAACACGGTCGGAGTGCTTTCGCCAGCGGATTCGGTTTTCATCGTACCGTCGATCCGGTCACTGGGCTGGACACCGACCGTATCCGCGGCCTGTTTATCCCCCACGCTGATGATGAATACCGCTGGAGATACTTTGTGGAGGACCCGTCGACTGGCAGGCGCTACATGCTGCACTACCCATCGCTTACCTGTGAGCTCTGCAGCGGCCAGCACCTGTCCCGTTACCACGATCACTATGTCACCTCGAGGCAGGAGAATTTCACCAACTGGAACCTGTCGGTCAAAAAGGTTCATGACATGAACGGTATAAGCAGGACGACTCCCCACCCTCACCTCTCATTTCCGCTGCCTTCGTTTTCCACCCCGCTCAGAACATGCCTCCCGAATCGTACTGACGACTGTCTCCTCACCTCCTCTCGCAGCGGCTTCCCTGAAAGCCACAGCGTCTCTGACACGCATTCTGAAAGACCCCGCAGTCATACTCACCTCTACAGGAGGTGTGCGGGAGGAGTGGGTGTGCGTACAGACTGTATGCGAGAAGGCTCAAGGGAATCGCTTCGAGCAGGCGGCGACTCATGTCGCTTCTGCCAGGCACAAGGGAGGACTGAAGAAGGAAGGTGCTACAACACGCGCCAGCAAGAACTCTCAGAAAATGGCTGCTTTCAAAAAAGAGTTCATGATCACGCTGGCAAAGAAGTGAGCAGCGGCTTAGTGGATGAGATGACTCTGTGGCTGTTTGGCGCAAGTTGGGTAGTAGGTGTCATGTTCTCCTTTGCTGTAGCTGGATGCATCGTCGCAATAAAGATCAACCGCCCGTGGATGCTGTGGGGCTCAAGGACAGTGGTTAATGGATAAACGCAACAGCTTAACTTTCCTCGAGCTCAACATCAACGGGCTCGGTAGCTGTGGGAAACAAGAGAGATGCGGAAAGTGGATCAGGAAAGCAGCGCATGTAGTCGTACTCACCGACACACGAGTTTCACAAGATCATAACTTCTGGACGCAAGTCAGGTCGGAAGCACAAGCGGTGGTTGGCCCGTCGCAGAGAGCCGGGGGGGTGGCGGTCTTGGGTTTCCTGCCAGGCATGCGGTTCACGGACGTGGTTAAGCATGAGTCCGGCCGTATCATAAGTTTGATGATCGCATGGCGCGATCTGACATGCAGAGTGGTGGCTGTATATTTACCTGCACAAGCACCCGCTAGGGGGGTTTTCTTTCGTGACGTACTAACACCCTTTGTGCAGAGCTTGGGTGTCTCTCCGTATACCATACTTCTTGGCGACCTTAACATCGTTGCGGATCCAGAGCTGGACAAATCCTCAAAACTGGGAACACCGGCGGAAAACCAGAGGCTCCTGCAGATTTGCTCGAGATGGGATCTGCATGATGCTTTCCGGAGTCTCCATCCGACCAGGAAGGAGTACACTTTCTTCTCGAGATCTGCAAAAGCAAGCACACGGATTGACAGGGTTTTAGTGTCACACTCTCTTCTCAGCTGTGTAGTGGAGGCGAAACACAGAATGGTCCCATACGGGTTAACAGATCACTGGTTTGCTGTGTCGGTGTCGCTCAAGGCTGCATCGGCAGATGACCATGGTCCAGGGTTGTGGAGGCTTCAGGCACCCCATGCTGGGGGTGAAGGCGTCAGGAACATCATATCGGCGGTACTAGACTCGCAAGCGAATTATCCGGACCAGGGCCTGGAGAGGCTGGTGACGAACCTGCGAGCAAGCATGAGAGCTCATGTAGCGGAGGAGAGGAAAAGGGTTAAGGCGACCATGGTGCACTTGGAGCTGAAGGTGGAAGAGCTCAGATGGAAGGTGATGTCAGACCCTTCGTCGCAGGCTCTGTACGAGGACCTGATAAAAAATGAAGCGGCTCTCAAGCTTTACCAGGACAGTAACAAAGAGCGGCTGCAAGTTCTGACGGGGTTGCTGCAAGAGCTGGCGGGGGAGACTCCATCAGGCTTCCTGTCGGGCTTGGTCAAGTCCAGGAAGGCGAAAACTGAGATAGCGGAACTTACTTTCAAAGGGGTGCTGAGGAAGGGTGCAAGCGAGGCGCTGCAAGCGGCCTCGGAACATTTCCGAGAAGCCTACGCGCTGTCGCCGTCGTCCGATCCTGTGGAGCCGTGGCCGATTGAAGAGGGAAAGACGCTGCAGGAGAGTGATCGCTTACAGCTGGACAGTGAATGGTCGGAGCAGGAGGTGAAGGCCGCGGTTAAAGGCTTGCCGGCGGGGAAGGCCCCGGGGCAGGACGGCTTGCCGAAAGAATTTTTCGAAAGAAATTGGGAGCTGTTGGGCCCGGCGGTGATGAGGGAAGTCAGGATTTTTGAATCAGCGGGTGTGATTTCGGAGTCCTTCACGACGGCGGTTACGATACTTCTGCACAAAAAAGGAGACAGGGACGATTTGGGAAATTACCGGCCGATTACATTATTGAGCTTCTTCTACAAACTACTGGCGAAGGTTTTGGCGAATCGTATCAAGGTGGTCTTACCGAGAGTGATCTCCAGCAATCAGTTCGGTTTTCTTCCGGGAAGGAGCCTCACTGACGCTCTCTCTCTGGTAGCGGATGCGATCGACGCTGCGGAGCAGGAGGAC